CATCGAACACCTCTCGATACGGATATTCCAAAGCGACTTTGGAAAACGAGCGATGACAAGTGGCCGATAGTCAGAACTATTCTTGAATGGTGTACCTCATTATATCGACCGGGAGTTGCAAAAGTGTACATTGCCGCAACGCTTCTGCGTTCGTCGTCTGCATTGGATATCGATGTCACCAGAGCCGTGCTAGACTTTCTGGATACCGACCCGCTTGAAGAAACTGCCCGAAAGCAGCTTGTATATCATCTCGTGTCGGAACTCGTTCGCTCTGGCCACTTCTCGGTTCCTCAATATATCCAATGGCTTATATCCCGCGGTGGACTTTCGTCTCCTTTCGAAGCAGCACGTGACGGACCATGTTTCACGAGGCTACTTGCTGAGATTCCACTCCATTCCCTTAACGATTCTATGAAAAATGTGAGGGCAACATTACTGCGAAGAGCGTCGTATTCGGTCGATGATGAGTCCCAGGACATGGCAATGGCTATCAGTTGCATTAAGAGCACGCTCTCCGTTCCACTAGGACCCGAAGATCCGCTCCTACAGAAGATGCCCATGAGTCTAGACAAGCTATCGAAGCGGATCATGTTAAGCAGTCGATCTCTAAAGACGACCATTTCCTCGTGGCTCAGCAGTGACTTCATCGGCAACGTCGTCCGGAATTCGCAATCCAGCAAAGGCGGTGTTGAACTACCCAAGAACACGTTTGAGATGGTTCGGACTCTTCTCGAAGCCGCTGAGGATTATACTATGCTCGAAGAGGTCTTGAAGCTAACAGCGACATACCCTAACGCAGAGCTTCTCGCACTCTGTGCCGACACCATCAATCTTCATTTGCCAGTATTCACCGCAACTGGAGCAGCTAAGCCACTCTTCCAAATTCTTTACGAGCGACTCAAAACCATCATGGAAGAGCAAGGTATCGGTGCCCGTCCGCTTCTAGCTTCTCTTGCTTATCTAGCATCGCGTCTACCCGGCCTTGAAGATGTGACGACCCAACTACAGAACGATTTGATACGTATAGACCGTAGCAGCGCCGCAGATGCCTCGTCGCCGTTGTCCGACAACATGGCTACCCAACTTCAAGACGCCGAGACAGAACTAAGTGAGCAAATAGAGAAGCTTGCTAGCTACACCAGCGCCGATAGGCCAACAATGGAGCGGCTGTTCTATGCTATCATCAAAAAGCTACAAGTTTATTGGGGTAAAGCAGATGAGCGTCAACGACTTTGCTGTATCCTTCTCACCAGACTTCGTGTATTTGATATTCAACATTTCAGCGAACTTACGAGAGGATGGATTCAGCACATTCGCAAGCTAACGAACAGGCCACATATCAATCAGTTATTTCCACCTCTGATGAGCTCAGGTTGTTTGCCTCTCGCAATATTGTTCGCAACCGCTCATAGGAATCAAGATCAAACTGCCCAGCCCCAGCCGAACGCCGTCGGGTCTGCTTCTGTCTACATGCAGGAGGTATTGCAAATGTTAATCATGCCATGCAGCCCGAGTCCCATGATGTCTTCGGAGGACTGCTATCGCTTCCGTATCGTCCAGGACTACGCTAGGCGTGAGCATGCTAGGGAGTTGATGCCGTTGGTCCGCGGGGCATTGGCTGAGTATTCAACCTCCCTTCATCAGCACACGTCGATCCCTCAACCCTTAGATAACAAGCAATTCGAGGCCAAAGTCCTAGAAGTTCTCCGATCTTTAATACTTGTCGATCCAAACGCTGCCAGCCAAATTGTTTCGTTAAAAAGTCCGGACCCGAAATTAGCGGCGCTTATCGAAACCTGGACTACGAAGCTGCTGGTACCTCACAGCGGTGGCGGCCAGAAATCATTTGAGCAAGTTTTAGAATTGGCAAACGAATTTACGCTGCCTTTTTGCCAAGTTAAACTTTCCCTAAACCTCGCAGTTGATGAGCTAGGACAAGCTGAGGCATCGGAGAGAACCCAGTCGCAATTTGAGCTATTGTCGAAAGCACTCGACAACGCCATCGACGCCAATAATATCATGTGGACAGGCATGCTCCCTTCTCTTAGTCCTGATATTACGCAGCACATGAGAAACCGAGCGGAGTCACGCTTGCTAGATATCATCCCATCTCTTAAAAATCCTCCCGGAGATGCCACTTTTGATAGAGATATCCACATGGCGGAGAATCTCTTGACCGTTATCGATTCCATATTCCGTGGAGGGTCGGGATCAAAAGTATTCCAATTTTCTAGCGCTCTGGTAGACAAACTTGCAGACTTGTGGGATATCCTAGCCTCAAGAGCTGGAGAGTACGCATCACTTCAAGCCGCTGTGCTCTCACGCTGGCTACCTCTTATATTCTCTTACCTAACCCTTTTCACCTCACCATCCGCTAGTGCATTAGATGCATCACGGGTATCTGGTGGTGAAATTCGTGGTCGTGCTTTAGTCATCCTTGCGGGTCTCGTTCAGGAGCTCGATAATCACTTATCCTCCAATCTCGGACAGAAGGCCTTCGACATCGCGCTCGTGTTAGCTGATAACTTACCCGAAGAGGCACGCCTATTATGCGTACGGGCAGTGAAAGATGCCACGGCTGATCCTAGGATTAGATACTTATTTAGCTTCGCTCCGAACCCGGCAGAGAATCTAATGCTAGCTCATCGCGAGAAGCCACCCCAGGGAATACAAGAAAGGAGGGCGATGGCGATGGGTATGAATATGATACCAGAGAAGCTAACCCCCTTTGTGTTCAGGAGGTGGGAAATCCTCAGCGAACCCACTCCCGTCGTAGGCGAGAACGATACGAGTCTAAGCTTGACGCTGTTCGACGCCAGGAAGATAAAGTAATCCGTTCTACTAGAGAGTTTATACGCTCAACCACCTTATTTTTTAATGTCTTCTGGCTTGTATCGATACGGATTAGAATTTGCTACGGAGAGGCCGGGTGGCCTGTCGAGAACCTTGGAGATAGAGGTTTTTATTTCAACAGCCAGAGTCGTCTTATTCAAAGAGACGCACGATGTATCCCGCAATATTAGACGGGATATACCCCGAGCCTCCCCGGCTCCCACTACTGCTTACTTTCTTTTGTTCTCATTGGGTCCCTTAGTCACAACTCGGGGAATCTCACGGCATTTATGACTGTCACGCATTTGCTGAGCCAGAATCTTCATCTCTTATCTCTATGGTAGCGCGCGCCTGCTCGCGCGTGTTGTGCGCGTTATACGATGATACCTGGGCAGGATTTGCGAAGAAAGAATAAGCATTAAGACAAGATGCTTTTCCAGTTTTTTGTTTTCAGGGACATCGGGATCACGGTTGGGTTTCCGGTTCAGGGTTGGGGTTAGGTTATCGGCTCTACCGGTCGTGTTTATTTAGGGGAAAGCGGGATGGACTGGCTGTATAGAATTGGCTGTAGAGGGGATGGAGAGGTAACGGAAGAATAAGTGTTGTAAAGCAGCGATATAAGAGACAAGAGACATCATTTAAATAGTTTCATCGTTCATCGCGCTGTTAGTGACTATTGTGATTATAAAATTGCTATGTTGAACACTGAACTTATCCTAGCCTGTTGTCTTGCTCCTTGGGTATCAACGACAGGTTATAAATGACACAATTCCTATACCCTCGTTTTTATTAAAACCTAACAAGAGAGAAGTTAAGTATGAGTATCGAGCGGACATCTAGATGGCCGGGGAAGCAAAATTAGTGATGAGTCGAACTAGGCAGGATACCTAATGGGTGATGAACGAGGATATAGAAAAGTATATAGGTAGTATTTCCGCAAAGGATGAGCCGATCTATTATAAATTCTTTTAAAAAGCAGAAACTCACATCACATCTTAGATGTTAAAACCTTAGGGGTTATAAGTACCTTGAATTTGTTAATATTTTGATGTATACCCATCGCTGGATTTTAGACACCCCTGGGTATATAAGATAAATCTTGATCTACACTGGGAGACTTCACAAGGATTACTGATACTAGTTAACTAGTGCGCTTAAGGGGGCGTCTTGGCTATGGTAGAACGTTGTTATACAGTATACTAATTACCTAAAATAAAGAGTTTCTTCAACAGGTTTGATGTAAGTTTGGTTATTATCTTTATAAACGTATAACTACCTGTATTTATTGATAGTGTCCCTTCTCATCAGCTATCTCCGGGTTTCTTAGCTAGGGAGTATTGGCATTATACGATAATTCTTTATTCTTAACTTAAAGATGTGTTTGTCAAAAAGGAGACCTGGGGCTTGTAGTGAAGGGAAGATTCGAGAATAATGGTGTGATTACCTCTTATAAAATAGGGGGAATAATTGGGAGTTAAGGTAGGTAATTTATTTACTACCACCGAGTTCTTCTGTTTAAAAGGCCGTACACAAAAGTGAAATATGAATTAACAAGACTGGGTATCACGAGTTTTATAGGCGTTAAGGAGTAACTATCCAAGATTTATTCGACCAGAAAGAGCATGGAAAGCTGAGTTCATATTAATATGATAACTATACCTGCTAGCGCGCCGTATATATATCCTGAGTATATGTATCTGGACAACATATGTTCCGCCTGTTTTTCTACTTCAATATTCTTACGGGCTCCTAATTCGTCAGGTACTTAATGAAACTGCGATATTTAAGAGGTAGTTAATCATCACTTATACAGGCCCGTAACAACGCAAGTTGAAACCAACCTAACTGGTGAAATTCATAATTGACTAATATAAACCAAGAACTCCTTTAAACTAACTATCAAACTACAATACAAAGAGGATTAATTAACATTTAGTTATTTAAACAAGAAGTGTAGATCCAAACGCCCCCCCTCCTTATTTTCTTCGTCTCTCGTTTTACCTCTCTCCCCCTTCTTTCCGCTAGCTAGCTAGCGTTCCTTATTATAGCCCGCGGAAACAGACTGGTGGGTGGCGATCTACTTAATATTCGTGTATTGCCACACGCAATAATGATGGAAGGAATATAAATAATACATGTGCAAGTGAAAGTACGATTCCTTTCTTCGTTCATAGCTCGTCCCGGATGAAGGTATGGCTGCCGAGGACCCAAGACAGCGGCGTCTCGACGCAGAGCTGGCCCGTCGGGCTGGCGTACGTCGGGTAGATGCCCTGGGACGAGGGGGTTTGGGCGCTGGCGATGGTGGGATAACTGTGTGGTGTTGCGCGACTGGTGGGAGTCTTGTAACTACTCCTGTGAGTTTCGTAGCTGGTAGGTGTCGCGTAGTGACTGCTGCTGCTGGTTTCGTAGTCCGAATGCGCGGAATATCCGGTGCTCGTCGCGTATCCGGTATCGTAATCATCGTCATCATCATCATGATGCTTAGTTTTATAACCATCGTTGGTCTTGTATTCATCATCATCATCATCATCATCGTCGTGTTTGTACTCATACTCATCCCCATCCCCATCTCGGCACCACGACTCCGGCCTTACCGCAAGGTCGACCTCCTCGCAACCCTCAGGCCAGGTACTTTCGACGTGGTACGTGACGTACACCTGTCCCGAGCCCGGCATCTGGCAGTACCGCGCCTGCCCGCCGTAGAACCCGTCATCGTACCAACGTAGATACCCGTTCTCAACGGCGAACTTGCCGGCTGCGGAGTCCCCGCGCGGCGAAGATGCTGTTAGCGGCTCGTATAAGACGTCTCGGCCCGTTGCGAGATACTCCCCGCCGCTGTTGATCACACCGTCCGTTAAATAGAAGGTAGTTGCGTCGGCACAGCTGAGCGGGTCGGCGGGCGGAGCGCCCACATATCCCTTGTCGTGTCCCTTGTCCTTGTGGTGGTGTCCCTTGTCATGGTGTCCCTTATCATGGTGTCCTTTATCAGAGTTGTGGTGATGTTCCTTATCATGATCATGTTCCTTGTCAGAGTGATGGTGTTTCTTGTCAGAATGGTCATGGTCCTTATCAGAGTCGTGGTCATGCTTGTCGTCGTCGTGGTCATCCTTGTCGTCGTCGTGGTCATCCTTGTCAGAGTCGTGGTGTTTAGGATGTTTATTCTGGGTGTCCCTGCGACTGATAGGGGCGCGAGCCGGGACGACGGCGAGCACGATAGGAGTGTTGGAGTTGGCAACGCCCGGGATAGCCGAAGAGGAGACAGGAGACGACTTCATCAAGGAAACAGTCGAAGTGGAGGTATACCGGGTGGAAGCTGAAGCCGCGTTGACTGTCGCGACCTGAGCCGAGAATACCAGCAAGCTAGTTGCAACGGCAGTTCTGACCTGAGTCGACAACCCCATTGTGGATTTGGATGTTTTATACAAATAACTCTTACCTCGGGCGAAAATATTATTAAGAAACGTCGTCGAATTACTTAGAAGGAAGTATTAGTGTAGTAGGATGATGAGAGGTAGCAAAAGAATAGACCGGGTGGGCGAATTCGGGAGTATTTGAATATCTTATTCCAACCAACATTTTCTGTCTGTGATAACGTAAATAACCAAGGGGAATGTTCGATGTTATTACTAAAAGGGCGAGACTTGAATCTAGCTAGCCATGGCATTCCCTTATTGACTCAGATCTATCACCATAATTTATTTATTCTTAAGCTATCTCGTTGCCCTTGGAATGAACCAATTCAATCCCCTTGGCTGGAGCTGAAGATAATGGCACCATCTCAAAAGGGGGCAAATCTAAAACCGCGTCTCCCTTAAGAGCAGACTCGTCCATGTTAACTGGCTCATCAATATTGATAATTTCGTTAACAGTCAATACTAGCTTAATTTTAGAGACCTGGATTCCTGCGCGTCGAAGGGAGACCTCCCCAAATTCTTAGTAGCATAATGTTTCAGCCCAACCAATTTGTTGATCCATTGAATTTGAATTACAGTCCCTGGTATAGTGGCATTCAGTTGTACATACACCTTGCGAACAAAGCAGCGGAAAACGACGCCAAGACCTTCAATCATGTTCCAGACCGATACCCTAACTCCCTCATGACCCTGTGCTAACCTCTACATGCATTTCAACCCTCGAACTCTACAATTCTCTGTGTTGTTGAACTGGCCGTTCTTGGCCTCCCTTCTTGCGTACCATTAGCGTCAAGATTTGACTGGCTTTGCCCTTCTGGGTTCTTCGCCGCTCCAGCTCCAGCATCCGCTCCATCTAATAGATCTCTATCCGAGGATCTGACGCTCCTCCGCTCGGGATCTCCACCATATGCAGTCGGGCGTAGGCCTTGAACATCCTCCTCCTCCTCCTCTTCCTCATCTTTCTGTCCAGGTACCGCATTCTTCTCCAATTCGCGCTGTGCTTCTTCCATACGCCGGCGGACTTCAGCCGCAACGCGTGATGCATCCGTGACGATATTATCTAGAACGCCACGCAGACTACGGCCAGCACCTGCCACGCCTGCCTGCGAAACAGGAGGCGGTGCACCAGTAGAACGTCCGAAGCCAATATTAGAAAACGTGGTTAGAGATGAAGTAGACTGGTTGGTAGACGCCAAGCCATCAGTGAGGTGTAATGAGGTAGGAAATGATGATTCGAAGAATTGTTCCAGTAGCTCGTCCGCAAGCACTACCATTCGGAACGTTGGTAAAGTTATATGTAGCGGATTTGAAGGATCTAGCGCTGCGTTGGCTTTCTCGGACTGGGCTTTGGATACCGCACGTCTAGCCTCGTTGTCCGTATCTGGCTTACCTAAAGCCGATGGAATTGTCTCTCCCAAGTCAGGCTTCTTCTTTGTAGGCTTGGGACTGTCTGTTGGAGTGTCGTCTGTTGGCGTGACGTCTGTTGGAGTATCAAAAGCTAGTAAATCATCCTCATCCTCATCGTCGCCAATAGCAAATGCACTATTGTTGTCGCTTGCTGGCTCCTCAATATCGGAGAATGATTTTCCTTTATTTGTGATTTGGTTATTTGGATGATCAGGATCGGCATATTCAAAACAGCGCCGAATGAAAGCGCTCACGCTTCCTAAAAATCGCTCATTAATAGTACCCCCGATTGGTGGGCTCAGCGAGCCGCTGCTAGATTCGCTTAGGCCATTCGGCGCCGGGGTCGATGCAGATTGGCTTAATGATCCTTCAAGGCCACGGCGCGAGAGAAACAGGAGAGCTTCAGATATTCGAAGTATGCCCTCTCGATCGACTCTTCCATCGCCATCGTCATCGTAGAGCTCAAAAAAATATGTGATTGTGCCCATAATATCACGTTTCCCCTTGATATGGGCGAAGCCCGTCACGACATTTTGCAACGTTAACGTCGAGTTGGAATCCACATCCCATCTTCGGAACAATCTCTGCATGAACTCATGATCAGTCGGCTCGGGGCCCCCTCCCCACGGTGAGAGCAGGTTAGGTTCGGATCGTCTAAAACTGCCGAAGTATGAACCACGGTCTTTCTCAGGCACGTCGCGCCTAGACGAGGCTGGAGCATCAGAGATGGCCCATTTGGACACGCTCGCTAAGAATTCCCGGAATGCATCGTAGTCCATTAAGCTAGTACTGGGTCCTAGGCCGACCCGACCCTTCTCGACGCGATGGTCGTGGTTATCCGGGAATATGTCGGTCGCTCTGGCTCGGCTGGCTTTAGCTCGAGCTAGTTGCTCTTGGATAATATGATCCCGCTGTTGTCGTTCGTACAAAATCCCGTAAAACCTATCATACAAGGCTCCTAGTTCGTCAGGGCTCAGTAATTTGCTGTCGGGACCAAGATTTCGGATAGCAGTACGCTTAGCGAAATTCTCAATATTATTGAGAACCGCATCCTTGTTCTTTAATCGCAAATCTTGGATAGTGCTATGAGTAACGCCCGAGAACTCCTTAAAAGCTACTACCATCAGTTCTTGAAACCTGTTAATGGCTCGCAGCTTTGGGTTTTCCGATTTAGGATGCGCGGATTCATCGAGACGCGAGAAATATGATTTTAGAACAGATATGAAAGCACCGTCGTCCGTAGCATCTAATAATTCTTCGCCGTTGATCCTTAGAATAGCCAGTCCGACTTGGAACAGTACCTTGGGCCCCTCAACAAAGAAAACATCCAGAACCCTAAATGCAAAAACCAGGGGCATCGAGTTGATATACAGGGAGAGGAACCAGGGAAGAGAAACGACGGAAAGTTGTACATCGCTCTTAACGAGGTGTTCCCACAGAATCGGCATCGTTTTCTCAACGAGGGCTTCGAAGACCTTCTGATCCAAGAGCGTACCATACATGGTAGAGGAGTAATACCCAGGAACTAGCCTATCGCACAATGCCGAAAGGAGGAAGAACGCTTGAGTCTCAGACATGTAAATCAACAAAGCGGCCACGACGATATTCATGGCCTGACAGTACCCGACGTCGGGGTTAACCCAACTGTATGCTGTGAGAACTCGTCGTAAGCGGCTGATGCCGTCTTCGCTCTGGAATCCTGGATATTCGGGGAGACTTCGGTTTAAGTCTTTTTCTATTTCATCTATAGCCAACGACTCTTTCCCTTCGAACTTTGCGAGTGTCTCCACATATAAGGTCGGATTTTCGAGTCGTAGATATAGAGATCCAGACGTTAACTCCCAGATCTCACCTCGGAGTCGGTTTGGGAGACCGACCCTAATCAGTTTATGAAATGTGGGCTGACGAATCAGGGTCGCATTCCGACCATTATCGCGAAGATACTCGGCCCATAACCTCATCTTTGCCCGATCCCTTAGCTTCTTCGGGTCGCCAGGGTATCGAAATACCATACCTAAACCAGCATCAGGCGGGCTTGTGTTCTTTTTATCCTCTGGCCTAAGGAGGTATTCCGAGTAACATTCGGAGACAACTTTCTTGTATCTCCCGACGCTACCGACCGCATTCCTTAAGCCTTTCTTGAGACCGTCACAAAATCTTTCACACGCCGGTCGAGATCCGGCAAGCTGTATAGTGATCCTCTGCTCTCTAAAATCTTTCTTGTCTTTTAGCGCATCTTTGTCCTTGACCGATTCTTGCGTTATACCATTCCAGGTGGTGATGGCGAGAGCGAACTAGAGTCCCTCAAGGTCAGCTTGAGTTGAGTTGATACAGTAGGCTTAAGTAAAGAGGAATGTCTTGGTACCTGAAGGTTCTGGGTATTTAGGCGCTCGACCTTTCTAATAGCGCAGAGGGGGAAAGTAAATCCATTCCCACTAGGGCCGGCGCCGTGTGTCTGGCCGGTGAATGCGGCGGCACTCGAGGGGCTGGCACCTTGTGAAAAACTAGTCGGGGTAGTGGAAAAACAAATATAGAACTCGGAAAGATGCAGCTTGCCGACATAGTGCCAGCCGCGGTCGCGCTCTTTGTCGCCCTGAGTGACGTTCGAAGGCGGTATGGTAAGCTCGGCGGGTATCTCGTATAGGGGCGTCTGGGAGCTGGGAAGTCGGAACTGATTCTGGAATAGAGAAGCTTTGGAGGGATGCCTGTCTGAGTTGGTCAGGTTTAGTCCTTGCATAGGATCAATCAGCTGCTGAGCAGCCGACTGAGCCTTCTGCACAAAGCTGCTGAGGTTATTAAACATGGTTCAAGACCTTCCAGCAGAGTCGAGTCCATGTACTTGTAACTCAATTCATTTCTAATAACGTTTAGATGAGCAATAACGCTGAACGGGTCAGAGATGGAATATAGGTATGTAGAAAATGGAAAAGCAGCAGTCGTACTCGTCGTGGAAAGGCTAGATTAGATGTTGTGTCAGCCGTTATCGTGTGTAAGTGTAAGTGTGTGAGGTATGGATGTGTAGGTTGTTGTAAGGAGAGATGTTCCTCCGTGGGGTCGCTACAGGTTCAGGGACAGGCACTGCCCAGTGACCTACCTAGGTTACCTAAGGTGTGCCGCTTTGGCCGGGCTTCAGCCTCTCCCGGTAAAAATGGACAAATGACCCTCCTAGTGTACCGTATTGTGGCTGAAGCTGTCTATCTTGAAACCCCTTGAAGTGGGGTACTTTGGTATCTAACGTATTGTACAATGTACATTCACTACATCATCTCAAGCTTAGCTAATCTAATTAGAATTCCCCGATATCACGCTCTAACACGGCTAGACCCGGATCTTATTTTCCTCAACCTTTCACTTATAAAGTGCCTTTACACCGTGATTTAATCAATAACCACCCGAATTGGCCATATTATAATCGGCTAATTATTGATAGGCTATGTATGTCTGTCCCCTAAGCACGGTCTAATTCTCAAATGTGTTGCGCATGTTTGCGTCTCAAAGCTTCGATATGGTCTGTCCTGTCTGTATGATCCAGGTAGAAGGGCAAAGGTGATTGGTTGGAATGCGTGGGCGCAACATCCTGCAACTACACAGCACGTTCCAGCTCTCCATGCATCCACGCAGCGTACAAAGGGTAGTTTCCCTTCGTGGTCTAGATCAGACAGTGTTGGAATCCACATTGGTCCACTTTCATCACCTGCAACAATGGAATCCCTCCCCGCTTGGAGTTTGTTCTGCAGCAAACGTCATCGCTACAAGGCTGGAGATCGCATACATAGTAGGTCCAGTATTTGCTTACTACCTACCTCTTACCTATCTAACCTACCTAACCTACCTAAGGTACCTACATAATCTAAACTTACCTATTAACTATCTTAAACCTATCCAACCCGTCCAGCCCGTCCAGCCCTTCCACTCCAGCCCAGTCTAACCAAATAACCGAATAACCAAATAATAACCAAAAACCAAAAACCCGAATACTATACTAACCAAGTCCGTTTTAAGAGTCCACCATTATTACTACTTATTACGATCTAATGCGCTAAAGAAGCGGGAAGCGGGCAAATCGCAACTTATCTTAGCCCTCTCTTATAAGTTTTTCCCTCTTTTCCCTCGGCCAAAGTCTATACATGTGCCGCCTCCTTTTCACTATATTCACCATGTGTATTCTTTGAAATACACCGGCTTATACCTTATACCATATATCCAATTCGTTGTGCATTGCCTCTTCGACGACCTATAGTCGCTAGTCAGAGGCGTCCTCGCTGCTATTAGAAATATTTTGCGCTAAGAAATGGGTATCGTCTGATGATATCCGCCAATTGCGAAAGGCAGCCTTTACTTAGCTGGAAGCTGGAATATTCCAAAAGTACCTCGGATGAATCTTAAAAAGATGGCCGCTACGGTTGCCAAACCCGGCCTCATTCCACGGGTCCTACAGGAACACAATTTACGGCCCGGCGCGAACACAGACACCAATAATCTTCCCCAGCCAGAGGCTGACGTCGACCCAAAAGTACCACCCCAACACCAGCGATTGAAGCTGAGCGACTTTGCCCTCATGAGGACTTTAGGAACTGGTAACACACCTACCTGCCACCACCTGCCACCACACCTATTTTAGATGCGCCAAGCGTTTACCGTGTCTGCCGTTCTAACCCTATTTCTTATAGGCACCTTTGCTAGAGTCTGTCTGGTCCGTCCTGCCAACGCTAACGAAGAGGACCGCGACAAGGTGTTCGCTCTCAAGATCCTACGGAAAACCGAAGTTATCAAGTTAAAGCAGATAGACCACGTTCGAGACGAGCGCCGTATACTAAGCGATGTCGCTGGCCACCCTTTTATTACCGAATTAATCACCACCTTCTCCGATCACGACTCCTTGTACATGCTTCTCGACTATGTTCCAGGTGGTGAGCTCTTTAGTTACCTACGAAGACATCGACGATTTCCAGAAGAATGGGCCCAGTTCTATGCTGCCGAGATCGTCTTGGTACTCGAATATCTTCATGACGACCAGGGCGGTGTCGCATATCGCGACTTGAAACCGGAGAACCTTCTCCTGGACGGCCAGGGCCACGTGAAGTTGGTTGATTTTGGGTTTGCGAAGAGACTAGGTAGCAGCGAAAGTAGGCCTGTTGAGACCTACACTCTTTGTGGTACGCCCGAGTACTTGGCGCCCGAGGTTATTCAGAACAAGGGACACACCATCGCCGTTGATTGGTGGGCCCTGGGTATTCTGATCTACGAGTTCCTCACTGGCTATCCTCCATTTTGGCATCAGAATCCTATTGAGATTTACAAGCAGTGAGTACCGGGAGTCGCACGTTTCACCGCTCGTAAAAGCTAATAAGATGACAGGATAATAGAGAAGCCCGTGCTCTTCCCCGCCGAGCCCCCTATTTCGCCTAATGCGCAAAACATCATCCGTTCGTTCTGCACTGTGGATCGCTCTAGGCGATTAGGAAATCTCATCGGCGGTACTCGTCAAGTTAAGGAGCATCCCTTCTTCGAAGGCATAGATTGGGACGCGCTTTACCACCGGCAAATCAGGCCCCCGATACAGCCCAACGTACGGTACCCGGGCGACGCACAGTGCTTCGATATCTACCCGGAGGACGATGGCAAGCGGGAGCCATATACTGACGAACTATCTCGTCAATATGAACGCTACTTTGAAGGGTTCTAAAGAGTCATGGATAATGAAATATCTTCCAACTGTCTAGACGAGGGTATGCGACGACAAGGCGTAATTTTGGGGGGGTTATTTGGCTACTACGGGCAGAATTTCCCAGCGGTCTGGTCATGATGTATTTACGGGACCTACGTTCGCACGGTTTTCAGGAGTCTCGGTGGCGTTTGTTATATACCTATACTAAGATATCATGAGGGGTAGCCTGAGGGCCCTATCATGATATCCAGGACAAAGTAGCGTATCGCGGGGTTTTTATTCCCTAGCGAGTTATCATGTACTTATATTACTACTAAAGCGCGTCCATTTCTTGCTATTCATTCGCACGGGTTGGATCGGTCGATATTGGGACCGCATTAACCTAGACATGTGAATAGGCGATAGGTACATGATTTAATACCTAGATGAAGGTAGTTGGTTTATACGTATTAGGTAGCCTTATGTACTATATAATATAAAAATCGCATCCGTCTCACCGGCTGTTATTAAAGACTTGATGTAAACGTTATAATTATGCTATTAAAGCTCTTTTAGTATCATTTAAATATCTGGATTGAATAACTTGCCTTAGTAGGAAGGTTTGAAGATTTGAAAGTTACTTGATATGGTAGAAGTATCTATTTTCTGCTTACCACTTTACCCCCCTACTTGCCTTGTAAGCCATGTATAAGGACCACAGTGAGCTATTTATATCCCTACTCACTTCAAAATGGAAGGCTCTTAGCAAGTGTATAAGTCAAACAACGGCCGGAGCTAATATAGAAAGTACCTAGCATAGTTGCGCTTGATTTAATTTTAAACCACCGCTCATGAAGATTTCTAATGATATATTACTGTGATAGCAATGCCCATCTGTAGCCAAACCATGCGGCTGGAAGTACTAAAGCTACTAAACGAAAAGCAACGAGCTCGGATAGAAAAAGTCAACCAATTTATATTATCGAGATACACCGAGAATCTATGTAGCTTTTCAAGTTCAAACCAACACCATCGTTAGTCGTAGTTACACATCATCGTCTTCGCTTCAGATGGGAAGTGGATATTTGAAATTCCATTCCCCTTCATCCGTCTTCTCGCCAAAGTTGATTCGTATCTTACTGGCTGTATTGTGCATGGAGATAAGAGGATATATCTTTTTGGTTGTAAATCTTGTTGTCTGATTGTGGCATCCTCCTGCGATAAAAGGTAACCATGTTAGTTAGTATGAACTCGAGCTAAGTAAGTATTTGTTAACGAGGTGATCTGATATAGGTTAGGTACCTACTCACCAACGTATTGGCCGTCAACCGTGTAGTAAATGACGCCGACGCCACCTATCCAATTAACTCCACAACCAACTGTACTGCCCTCTGCGAATCTCCTGCCAATGTTTGTTTCATCATCCCCATTGTCGTTACCCAAAAACTGGTATGCATAGCCAGTGTCGCCGTGATAACCCGCTGATATACCATGGTCGACGCGCCCAGCAAACGCGTAACTCATGCCGGTGTACTCTCCACAGAGTCCGATACACACAGTTGTCCTGGTTTTGGGCATTCCTTCAGCTGGTAAGATTTCAATTTCGAAGTATGAGGGAGGATCTCCGATATTCCGAGGCGGGAAAGGGTGATCAGCCCGAACATTTACAATAGGCTGTCGGTTGAGAGGTATCGGACTCGACACGCCGTTAGTTGTCTTACTTTCATGAGAGAACTGTACTTCTCTGTGGTCTGGTGACCAGTTGATAGCCTGTTCTAAAACTTCTTTCGCTTCCCAATTGTCGGGAATTATCAGGCTAGTTGGCCTCAGAATTGCTGCCATGATCTTAGGTATGTGTTCTTTAGCCGGCTTAGACAAATCTTTCAGGGAGAGGAGGGCCTCTATAGTCCATCCGTCCCGATCAGCGGGGACGTCATTGATAACGGCTACCTCGTCGATGAAGATATTATCTTCCAAGGTCCACGGCGGCGGCACTTCTCTATCGCTTCCTATTTTTAGGAGGAGTTCAACCATTCGCTCATTGTTGCCCGCATCCCGCAGGCAACCGTCTCCAAGACTATCTCTATTGTCTATGCTAGCCCTTTTGTCGAGGAGGAATTTAGATGTATCGTAGTTGTCTTTCGAGAGAGCCAAATGCAACGGCGTTTGCTTTTCTTTATTTTTGTCGTCTATATCAAGACCCCTTTCATGATAGACCTCGATTAATTTCGTCAATTTCGTCAAATCATTAGCTGCATGGTGAAGAGGCGTATTCCCTTCGTTATCCTTGCAATTCACCTCAGCTCCCTTCTGTAAAAGTTCTTGAATCCTAATAGCGCTGTCTGTTCCACGATATAATGCAGCAATATGCAACGGCGTATAGCCCTCGTCGTCCATTACATTGACATCGGCCGAGGCTTCAAGCAATATTTTGTGGAAAATGGGATTCTTGTTGCGCTCCGCGTAATGCAACGCCGTAGTATCCCCGTCGTCGGCAATGTTAATATCTGCTTTGTGACTTAAGAGCGTGCGCACGCTTAATTCGTTACCATTCTTCACTGCAAGCATAAGTGCGGTACTTCCATTTATATCTACGAAGTTAACCTCAGCGCCGTGTGATAACAATGCGTCTAGGATCTTCTCCGCGCCCGCCGCTTCATGCAAAGGGACCCGGCCCCGTTTAGTACAACAAATGTTGGGGTTGGCACCAGCAGTGAGGAGGAGTTCGACACAGCCGAGAAGTTTGCTCCGAGTCGAGTAGTGTAAGGCTATCTCTCCGTTTTTATCAACGGCATCTATATCCGAGCCAAGATCAAGTAGTCTTTGAACCATAGCTTCGTTCCCTGTATCAATTGCATAATGTAGGGGTGTTTGGCCGTAGTTTGAGGGAGTCTTTACATATAGATGACCAAAAGATTGGACGAGCTCATCTAAAAATCCTATATAGCCCTTGGCAGCTACCACATGGAAAGCAGAAACTCCTTTAAAACCAACAAGCGCCGTAACTGTTGGGTCTTCTGCTAGCATAAAACGAGCGGCCTCCAAGTTACCCCATTTCAGTGCGTAAAGAAACGGGGGATCATCGCAAAAGTACGAGCATAGGGGTCTGCTTTTGTTGATCTTGTGTACGAGCTTGCTATCTCTCTTGACCAGCAGCTTAATGATTTCGATGTGATGATTCTTGATAGCTAGGTGAAGCGGAGTCACATAGCCTGTATCTTGTTTCACTACCTTTGAGATAACGCCTGAGCGGGCTAACAACGAAGGGGGAGCGACACCCTCTAAGGGAGCCCATTCGTATATATTAGCTTTATTAGCTAACAAGACTTCGACGATCTCGGTCATACCCCTCGAGGCGGCATAATAGAGGGGCTTCCATCCTTTGTTGGCTGAATTAGGCCCGGCCCCGGCAATTAGGAGGCTCCTAGTGACATCTACGTGTCCTCCGATTACAGCTCGTTGAAGAGGAGAGTAGCCATTCCCATCGCCAAAGTTGGGATTGGCTTTCTTCTTAAGCAGCCGACTTACAACACTGTTGTAGCCCTTCGAGGCGGCCATTGTTAGCGGAGACTCACCATCGACAATGAAGTCGACGTTGTCGATCTTTCCTAGAAGAAACCACACAGCTACCAAATGGCCCTTCGATAGTGAGTGGATGACCAACTCCTTATCCTTAGAGCTGACTTCTGTGCGCAGACAAACCCTTTCAAGTTCGTCCAGGTACCTCACGACTGCAGCGTGGTGAGTTGGTGTTTGACTTTGCTTTTCTTCGGCCAACCTATCAACTTTCTCGTCTAGGAGGGACCGAATGATAGTTGAGCTGACACCGGCCGATGTAATGGGAAGGGAAGGCTTTTCTCCATCTATGACGTTGGCTAATTCCTCATCATTTAATGCCCCAATCAAGAGCTTGAAGATGCCAAGATTGCCGAGTTGGCAGGCAAAGTGTAGTGGCGTTTTCCTTTCCTTGTCGGGTGTGACCGGACTAGCATTGTGCTGAAGAAGAAGTGCTATTATATCAGGGTCTCTGAAAATGGCATGATGGAGTGCCGTCCTTCCGTCCTTGTCAGTCAATTTTATATCAGCTCCTCGTTCGCAAAGTCCTGCCACGAATAGGATGTGGTTCAACTGAGTCGCAACGATCAATGGTGATTTTCCGTCTTTATCTTTCCTGTCAAGGTTGAGTACCCCCCGACTAATGATATGCTTGAAGATTTCCTCATTTCCGCCGACTGCAGCGGAATGTAGCAGGGTCCTCTTCTCAGAGTCAATCCAATTCCAATCCACGTTGGAACTGTCGAAGAATCTGACTGCAGGGAGACTTCCGACCTGTGCTGCTCTATGGAGGGCGCGTTCCGCCAGTCGTTCATAGTCATCGTGAAGCATATTATCGGACAGAAGTTTCTCCAAATAATCAATTCGGCCGAGACTGGCCGCCTCTAAAACAGCATCATCTATCCTAGCCGCTTTATGGAGAAAGAGATCTACCAGGTCGGTATGGCCTCGCTTTACTGCAATACGCAAGAGTTTAGCAAAGTCCGGGAGGGCGGCGGTATCGCTGCGCAGAAGGTGTTCCACGATGTTATATAGGCCGAGAATTGTAGCCACTTCTAATGTTCCAATATCTTCGGTAATGTCCTCTCTGGGCCTTGAATTAACGCAGAATAGTCGATACCACCTATTCCTCAGAGAGTCGTTTTCTAGAAACGCTAGAACCTCGGCCTCAGAGTTATCAGACTGTACACTAGGTCCCTGAAGATGTCTTGTCGGTTCTTGCTGCTGACTCGACTTTGCGCATTCAACGCTCAGCTGGATGTGAGCGTGGTAATGTGTTAGCCAGTGCCGGACAGCATAGTCGAGAAATTCCAATTCCACTTGTTGCTTATGGCAGGTTTGGATCTGCTCGCGCCAGCTCACATGTGCGAAGCAGACGTTTTGAGGCTCTTTCGACAAAATTTCAGAAATATAGCGGAGACACAAACATGCCAATTTTCCATGACTGAGCAACTGTAAGCTTTGGAATTGCTTGTTATCATCTAGGAGGTTTTGAGTGTTTACGTCATTGAAATGCACGAAGCCGTTGTCGACCCGAAGCACGAGATCTAAATGCCGCGCGATATCTGTTTCAGTAGAGACTAGGCTCCGCTGAATTGGATCTGTGGGCTCATATGATCGTTCGTCGAGGGCTACAGCTACAGCTACAGCAAGTTCTCTAGTCTGTAGTGGGCGGGCTGCTTTTTGGGCCCAGGAAATGGCAGAATTGCTCCAGTACAAAATACCACGGTTCGGAGTCTCGATATAGTGGTTTAATACTGCCTCGCCAGTTCTGGGACAGTCTCTCAGCGCTACATCCACAGCTTCTATCGCCGAGAGCAGAAAACCACGCGACAGAACTTCCGCGTACTGACCAGCGTTGGTAAGAGACGATAACTCCGGTATTCTGATATCTCGAGAGCGATTCGGTGGCGCTAGTGTCTGCAAAGCCGGATGTACGAACGAGACTGTGTTGATCTTAGCTTGGATCAACGAGTTTCGGTGACTGTCATCAAGCCCCAAGTCCAAAACTTGCCGAGAAGTAGCACATAAATCGAAAACCTCTCTAGCGCTGCTCAAAACTAATAAGTATTTATAGTTCAGAGAACGGAGGAACTCTTCTAGTATCCTAAGAGATGACTGGGCAACACTAGGCCAAAGGTGGACGTTATTGGCAAGGATAACAGTCTTCCAGTCGCGAGACGTCCGCAAGAGGATGCGAAGTAGGGCCCAAAGGACATTCTCATTTGTCGCATTATGCGACTTATAGTGCTGGAGATATAAAGGACGAATGTGGTAAAACAATGCCGGCCGCTGGGAGACAATTTGGTGGACAAATAATCGAAATAGTGCCTGCAGGTTTAAACTAGCCATTTCGAAGGGCTGGAGTAAAAGGTCTAGAAGGAGGGCATTGGGCTCATGCAACATGATGTCCTGTGCGATGAGCTTCACCAATGTAACCTTGCCATATCTAGGAGGCCCGACGACTTGGATTGAGTGATAGTTCGAAGAAGACCATTTTGACTGCCACACCGAGACATAACTGGTGTATGATTTTAGATCGAGGCTTTCGCTGGGGACATACAATGCCGTGCTCTGGTGAATAGGGCGATTTGATGGCGATAGCACTTGGAGGAAGTCGAGAAGATTTGAATAAAATAAACTCGCCTCTACTCGTTCCGTATCCCACGTATCTAGACATCGAAGTTAGCAGCAATATAATAGGCTATGTGGCTTACCATAGGAACGAGTATAAAAGGATATAGGGTACTAACGATGGGTCATAAGGCTCCTGGGAAATAGGAAGCCCCTAAAATCAAGATCGGTTATAGGGCCGTGCTTTGTTGAGAAAGACATTTCCAGATGTAAGTCATCACCGGCAGGCAATTTCGATGGTGACGACTCATCTAGTTCCTAATTTAGAGCCGATGATTAGAATCAGGTCACCAGAGTGCTAGGCACGTTATGGGTCAGGGCCACTCTACCAAGGTCCTGCCGGAGGGTTTATTGTGTTCCCGCAGGTTCGTGATATTGTACCTCAAAGCGTGGTGGAAATAAGATACCGCCTTGTTCATGGAGCTGGCTAGCCTTGCTAAGACATTGGACTTCCGGCCCTTGATCTTGACATCAGCAGTCCTAATCATCTCGTCCAGTATATCCTCCCATGTTGCAAGGTCGACCACATTCTGCGGAGTTGCAATAAAAACCTAGGTACCAATGAGTCTTAGCGGATCAGCAGTTCTACCAACGCGGACCTGGCGGTAAACTCGCAAGCTCCTTTGTTCTTAGAGCAATATCATAGTACCTTGGGTTTGTATTGGCGATGCCCATGGCCCGTTTCACAACGAGCCCACCAAGTCCATATGCAACGAAGATGATTGGCCTCCATTCAGACTAATCAAGAATTAGTACTGAAAACATGAAAAAGAGATCAAAGATATTGTCTAGGCCCTAGTGTACCTTGCTTTGAGAGCATTGATTTTTGACTACACTGAGGAGGAGGTGGGCCTCCTCCTCTAAGCCCTCAGCAGAACAAGATCTCTCATACCGAGGCTTATTGGGCACTTGTAGGCCATCTTGTTTACTGCCTTTTGGACTTTGTCCTTTCACATCGAGGTCCGATTCATTGCCCGGGACTGAGCTCAACCTAGACGAGGCAGCTCGGCCATCTACTATAGCGGTGTGGCTCGTAAACAGGGCAAAGTCGAATACTTGTGCTTCAGAAGCGATATGTGGCATCAAGTATACCCAGTCGGCAGAACTGAGATCTTTCAGTGATGCATCCAAGTCATGGCGAGAATTTAATCCCACAAGGTAGATTCTGCTTGCTGTTAGCGTTATATCTTACGATGTCAAGGCGTAGTACTACTCGTATATCTTTTCATTGTTATTAGAGCTAATCGACCTAGCGACGTCCTTAGGGGGGCTCATGTTGTTTTGGATATTCATAGATCAAGAGGATACGCGGTTATCTGGGAAATCTGGCTGTTGAAGGGCTAACAAGTGAGGAAGCCACCAAGTGAATGGGTCCCAATATCTATACCTAGTCTTCAACAGCCAGCTCAATAATCTTCACCGCGTATGCCTAGACGAGAGTGACTCACGCAGTAACGATCTTGACACGAGCTCATGTGATACGGCCTCGTTGGTTGCATACAAGAGCGCCACTGACGTAGCCGAACATGGGGTGAGAATCCGACTGGAAAAATCAAATCCATAGGATCCAGCTCAGATACGACAGGTCATTCACGTAGACGTAAGTTCTCGGTGCAATGCTCCGGCTGCTGCCTAAAACAATGCTGCACCGCGTACCCTTCCCGGCCTTGGTGTCAATGATTAGATGTAAGCCGTTCACCGATCTAGACTTAATCGTGAAGGTACCCCTGACGAGGATTGCAGCATGTAGCTCGCGTATACGTCCGCACGTCTCAGTTATATAGAGACTTGGCGCGTTCTCGCGCGAGCTAACCTATTACTCGAAGAGGGTTGTTTCTTTACTGTGTACCTAGTGTACATGATGGATACACAATGCTCCCGTCGAATCTTAATAATCCGAGCCCTCGATAGATCGTGCTGTTAGTTATAGTGGAAATGGTTGAAAGAGATACGTATAGTGAAGGAGTAGCTTTTCCCTAGTGATTAATCCAGAAGAAGAGAAAGTTCGTCTCAAGGGGCCAAAATAGACGGTAAACGATGTAAAGCCATTGATTAACTCCATATCTATTCTGCACACTGCCCAGCTGCGAAACCAATATTCGCGCCCAGTCGAAATCTTAAAGACTTGAAAATTTTAACAAAAGGATATCTACCGGGAGCGGATACCTATCCCGAGAGACCGAACTGACATATAATATAAAAAGCATATGGATTTAATAAGACTAAGGGTATGTTGAAGGGGTAATATGATGTTGATTCAGTAAAGTTTCTAAGGACTGGGCAAGACCCGGTAATTGTCAGTATAGCTCAGTTATTACGTAATCCCCACCACAGGGCAATAACTACCTAGGTACCTACCTAACCTACATAAACCTAAAAAGTTATACAATTAAGTACCTGAGACTAGACTAGCTCAGCTTACAATAAACGAGGTGAATAAAGAAGTCCTGATGGGATATACCTCAATAATCCACGTGCATAAAACAAGGAGTTGTCCGACAAGGGGGTTCAAACAAAATGAGCCGCAAGACAAAATAGGATTAGCATAGCCCCTTATTGTTACCGTACACTAACAACTCACTTCACGACGAAAGGGGCATTCTCTTCATCTGCTTCCAAGTTCCTCGGTCTTAACGCAGTCTTTTTTTTTTCTTTTTTTTTAAAAAAAAAAAAAAAAAAAAAAAAAAGGAAACTTATTCCTCTACTAGGTTGTAACTATCCAATTAGCCGCGCCTGTTAGAGCTATGTCAACAGTTTCTATAACAATTGCTGTTTGGAAGTAAACGGCTAGACTTGACTTATTCTGAGACAGTGCGCTTAAATACACGTAAAAAACCGTTGGTCCGTTTGAGTAAAGAAACTGACCGGTCCGTTGCAGATTACTTGCATCCGCGCTGAGATCAGCTTATTCCCCATCTCGCTTTAAACGTGCGAACCAAGATTCGCCAGCACACGGATATTCTCCAACGTAATTACAATCTCTAAATGCAAAGCTTGCCCAGTCACAATGTCAAAGACCAAATGATGAATTGCTGAAATGTGCTTCCATTCCCTTCTAGCTGTATGGCCACCCCCACTCCAGTTCACTTCGTATAAATAAGAAAATAGATATCAGGGAAATTAACCAAGCCTCGTGATAATAAAAATGTACAGTCGGAGCTTGGTTGTTGATCATTAAAAAATATTTGTCATGCGCCCGACCGCCGGGACTCTCTATCCTGCCACACACAGCGTGACATTACACATCAACGTCGGATCTGTCGCGGCAAAAACAGAGAGCCTACGAATCAAAAACTCTAGTACATTACCGCTCGACAGCGAACTGCCATGCTGTTTCAAACACTACCCCCATCCCCAAATTTCAACTATGCCGCAAGGCAAGTTTGTAACTGCGCTTGGCAATCCGAAAGTTTGAAACTAGCACCAGCGTTCGCTGCGTCGCTGCAATTGTTGTTTTGTATCTACGCAATGGTTAGCAACTTGAAAAAATGCATCCAAGGTTTAAAACACTCACATCGCAGGCCCTCTGCTTAGCAGCAGCTTGGTCCACAAACGTGTTCCTAAAAATGATTAGTTAGCGACTTGTGCTTATACCAAATCTAGGTTTCCGAGCTCACCCGTTGACAGCAAACGGTCTGCTAGCATCTCCAGAGTTTGTTACGCTCGGAGGTGCGCCGCCAAGGTTCTTAGTCTGTTGGGTTGCGCTGTTAGCATTACCGCCAGCACTTGTATTTGTGTTCGAATTACTTGAGCCTTTGCCTTGGCCACTACGACCATTTCCGCCTGCATTGTTGCCGGTGTTGCCGGTGTTACCGTTGGCGGCATTGTTGGTTCCACCGTTGTTGTTGTTGGCATTGTTGGCATTATTGCCATTGTTGTTGCCGTTACCGCCAACTGAGAAACGTAATTAGTAAATCTGAAAGCGTAGATACAGCATAAAAATGGATTGAATCTTACCAGTGAACTTATTGCAGTCATCCTGAGCACCACGTTGGGCAACAGGCATAAGGACAGGCTGATGGTTGGCGGCAGAGAACATAGTGCATACACGGTAGTTACCAGCGGGTAAACCACCAGTGACGGTAGCCGACAAAAGTCCGTTGCCATTACCAGCATCGTTGATACCCTTGAAGAAAACGAACTTGGTAGCATCAAGAGGCTTGGTAGGGTTCAAAGAGTTACCCATGTCTTGAACTGTAACGTGTGTGTGGCCAATAATTTGACCTTGGCCATCCAGATCCTGAGGTGCAGAGTAGTACGTGTTGGCGGCATTCGTGAATGTACCGGGAGAAAAGTTCTGCACTTGAACCTGGATATCAAAGTCCTTGTTGGCCTGGATGTTGTCGTTGTGCTGAGGGTTGATCAAAACACTCGAAACCATCTTGGTGGTTGCGGGGATTTTACCCATAGCTAGATATTATTAGCAACCACATACCAGATCAAGCTGTAGGTAATGGAGATTTACTTACGGATACCGTTACATGAACCCGTCTTCACCTGAAGACCGTTGGTCAAAGTCTGACCGCTACAGAAGTTGATGAAGTTGGCATTGTCGCTGAGTGATGTTAGTTACTAACCCCATTCAACTTGAATCTCAACAACTTACGTCTTAGACGCCGACTCTCCATCTGCTGCATCTGGGTCACCATCGGACTGCGAACCGGTCTGAATGGCATTTGAATTCAATGTTAACGAGGCCTGGTTGTTCTTATTGTTGTTGGCATTGTTATTGGTGTTGCCGGCATTGTTGTTCTGGTTTCCGTTGTTACCACCGTTTTGAGCATTGTTCTGATTGCCTTGGTTCTGGCCGTTGTTGCCGCCCTGACCACCCTGACCGAAGTTACCGCCACCGAATTGGCCACCGCCGAACTGGCCGCCACCGAATTGTCTGACGTTGAGGGCTCGGGCCGCTCGTCGGTTCATTATCTGATCGAACGGACGGTGAATAGCTGAGGCTTCGGCAAAAGCCGTGACGCCTAGCAGGCCGATGAGAATACTCTGGGCATGCATATTTAATAAAAATACCCTAGGCGGATCGAGCGAGAGGGACAAGTTCTTTTCACTCCGTCTTTCGAGGTGTAAGAATTAAGAATGGAAATGGTAAGATCCAAAAATGGTTCCAGACCGTTTTCGAATTAGCTGAAAGAAGTGGTCACAGACAACACTGAAGTGAATTGGAATGGGAAATGCCAAATGCTGTCAAAAAGAGAACGAATGGATAAGACACACTACCAGCGTATTCTAAGGGGAAAAGAAAGGAATGATAGAAACTCGACAGAGAATCAAAAATAAGAATTAAAAGCTGATGATGGGAACAGAAGGCATAAAAAAGGCGAGGCCAAGACATTTCCTTATTATATACTCCACCAGCAGGGTGACAGGCCCCTCGGACGAATTGTGCCTGGATGCTATGGAATCAAAGGCATCCGCAACAAACACTACATCATATTCCCAGTAGAGGTTCCATCCCCAGGAGATGTATCCACAGTCTCAAAACGCGGACGGGGATGGCAGAGAGGATGTCGAGGATAATGACAGGACCTTGCAAGGTGCGGAGGCAGGGATATGGGATGATCGAGTCTCTGGCCTCGCCTTGGCAAGACCCCACCATCACCGAAGTATTGTATATACGAATGCATGGGGGAGGTGAAGCTTCAACAATCCTAGTCGAAAAGAGACATTACATATATACTAGTTACTAGTTAGTATACGCCGTAGTCCCTTAAACTCCTTTGATTTCTTCCTCTTTGCGAAGCGACCTACATAGTTCGGGATAAGGCTGGGCTGATTAGAGGATGCATCACTGATACATTCATCTATCGTCTTAGGTAGTGGATAACTCCTATTCATCTGATAATATCCCGTAAATGCTGAAAATATGATATAGCCGCTGTCTGGAGAACCGAGCACTACTACGTGTAAGTCGCCCAACTTGAGATGACACAAGGAGAGTTTAGCGAAGGCAATCGTGCCTATTGGAGCTATTGATCAACCTATTAGAGCATCATCGACGACACGATACAATGAACAGAGCGCTGAGACGAATCTCGGTTGCCTTATCCCGTGGTGGGTGAGGTAGGGTATAGGAGATAGAGATCTGGCGCAATCTATGAGAATTCTCGTAAAGTCCCATTAAAGATTAAAGTTGAAGAAGGGGGGGGCGCTAAGACTTCGGGGTTCAGTTGGCCGAACAGCTGAAGTGGAGTGGTCCGGGCTAAGCGGGTGCATCTGTCTTTGCGGCTCGGTATGTCGCAAGTCCCGCATTAATTCGGCAAGCCAACCAATTAGCGTAAGCCTAGCTGCAGTAGATCAGGCACCTCACGTTTCGACCCCTGGCAGTATTCTGAAGCAAAACATACACTACCGACAGAAAAAAAAACTAATAAGCGCGGATCTGGTGTCTATCGAACTTCAGCTAGCGCTAGTAGAGTAGTGATCGTACAAACTAGCTACAACTGAGTACATTACATACTACACTCAAATAAAATAATACTATGTACGGATTACTTGGATCTCCTTTTAGCGATCCATAACTTTGGATGACAGATAATAGTTCAGCAGAACGATCATCTATCAATAAGGTCTTAGATTGCCGATCCCTTGGCATTCTATAACCGGAAAATCATTTTTATTGTTTTAGCATAGGTACAATACGAAACGAGTCCGTTGCTAGGTTCACGTTAATCTACTATGTAGGCTATGATCTTGTAGGATTCGTGATTTCTCGGCTGAACACGAGTAGGACTTGGATAACAGTTACTGCTCTATTCAATTTCATTCTTATAGGGCATATTGCGGCTCGAATAAGTATCATATATATTAACATGCCGTACAAGGTAGACACTAGGTAGCTATACTTTTACTGGAACTTACAGGTATGTCAGATTAACTAGGTAGGATAGGTACTTAAGTAGGTACCTAAGTCATATCAACACCTACATAGTACATAGTAATGAAGATCAAACTGCGTTCGTTCTCGCCGTCCAATTATGAGATCGGCCCCTTCTGATCTATCTAGACCCACCGTGAGCAACGTGAAAACAAGCTTAAAAAATGAAACCGAGCACCAAATGTATTCCGTCGAGCTGGGGTTACTCCCCCAGATACAACATATTGCCTGGTAACGCCATTCACCAGCCTTCAGAGTAAAAGCCGAGACGTTATGAAGTTGTAAAATAGCGTCAATCGAAGAGAATCCGATCTGGAAGCAGATCTTCCTAAGGTCCCGCTGCAACATCTATCAAATAATTGAATTGAATTGATTTGTCAGATCAACTGAAAAAAAAGGACCCGCTCATATGGTTCGTGACTTTATTTCCGGGATCAAGCCCGGCATCTTCGTACCCTGAATCCAATAGGGGTTCTTCACATACATACATAGTAATAGCTTTTTATCAAGTCTTCACCTTTACATAGTGCACAGCCGATTTGATCCAGACTATCGAGGAGGATTAAGAACCCTCACGATACCTCCTGGTGTTGTGTCCTGCCTAATCCCGAGATTCTAGATGCTGAGAGCCCTGAAACAGCTCGATCGGTTTCTGCCTCCCCTAAAATGTGACATTCCCTGAATCCAAGGGAGTTAACGAGACTTTGTCGGCAATCTCATCCGAGATCCTTTACCAAGCCATTCCGTATTTAGCTCTAGTTCAGATGGGAAATTGGTCGCTTAGACAAATGGCTGCATAGGTACGGATAAAGTCCACTGAAAAAGTACCTTGGGCTGCTTGGGGTCATGGCTGGAGCACCCTTGTAATTAGTCCTAGCTTTATCTTAACCCCTTGACAGTTCTAGAAGGCCCTCCAGATTCCTCATTGGACAGCCCGCCAGTTACAGGAGTTACACATCTAGGTACCCCGTCCTCACGGGACAGCACTCTATTTTATCATCAAGGTTGAAAGCAGGAGAAACATTCACAAGGTCAAAGATGGGATGAAAATGACGTCTAGATACGCCGAGCTTGGCTTGGAATGAAACAACGACTTCAGCACCGTTGTATGTAAAAAACACACGCTTCGCTTGACGCATTAGCAGAAGATCTTTCTCCGTCTCTCTCTCTTACGGTAATAGGGATCTCTACCCGCGATAGGATGAAGAGCTTCAACCTCCCAACTTAATCTATCACCGCTTTAATCCTAATTCCTAACGGGCGCAATATGGCGCCTAGATAGCAATGCGCATCGCCTTGCTTACTCTGCTCGGTTAGAAATCTGATATTGTCGCCAATGCCTACGCCGTCCCGGGACCTCTGAATACCTACATAATCGGTGCTAGATGTACCACCGGCTTTGCGCGCTTCGAGCGCCGGTTTTCTCGTGTTTGACTAACCTGGGTGCCAATGAGGAAAAGGCTGGCAGCCGGAGCTACGAGCGCCCTAAGCAATCCGAGTTTGAAGCACGTCCCATAATACAATGATGAAACTTCGGCCGGCCCCTGATTCACGATCAGGGCTATCACGTGGGAACTTCTTTTTTCGCAAGGAACATTCCCCTATCCGTAACCAAGATTAAGAAACGCCAAGAACCAGCCAGTGCAAGGGGAATGATCTTCCGCCCAGAAATCAACAGGAGGATACATAAAAAAATCAGAACTGCCTATTGCGTGAGTGAGGTAACAGCTTTTAGCCCAGCCAAGATTTTTCGGGGTCCTACCTCATAACTTTAAGGAGCTAAGAAATATAAGTTCCTAATATATATGTCCCCATTTGGCGAGCGTCGTCTCGAAGCTATCACATTTCCTATCGGCGCCCTCGCCAAGAGGCTTCAAGTCTTGTGCATGCCGCAATAATCGGAAGAATCTAGTAAAGGAAGCTAAAGGATTCCCACGGGCCGCACACAAGCTTCACCCGTTCGTATCCATCTGCTACAAGGAAACCAATGATATTTATTTTTCAATATGGCAGCATTTCAATTTTTTGGATTTCATTCCTATCCCTATCTAACATATCTTTGGGACCAGATTTACTAAAGATTCTAATTTTGGAGATCCTTTGAAAGGCTCCCGTTATAGTTCGTCAATAGGCTGAGCCGTTCCAGAAGCTTTGTCAGCTATGAGGTCTAGCCAGGTCGCGAGGCGGTATCCTGCCTTGGCCACCTGAAGCTCGATCACCGGGGCGGCTTTCTCATAGTAATCGCCCGCGAGCTCCTGACCAACAATTGCTTCAGGTCCTTCAGGGAGCACTATACGAGGCCAGTCAGCTGTTGCGTCTCGGAACGAAGATTCGCAGTGAGTAGTTATGGGATTACTTACCGTGGGAGCAAACAATAGCATTAGACTCGTTTGCCCAGCCCATGGCCGTCTGGATAGGATCATCGAAACTAAGGCCGACATTCCAAAGTTTACTGGCTGCCTCATACTTGCCCGACTTGATTTGGTGGGTAAGGTTGGCCGCCCATGCGAACCCAGCCACATAAGGCTTCCTATGGATGCCTCCCAGCATCTTTTCTGCGATGCTCGTGTCCCAGACGTGGTGCAAATTCAGTTCGGATGACTCCCATTTGACGTGGATACCGTTGCCTCCATAAGCGACGTTTTCCACGTGCAGAGGTTGATGGATATCGCCGACGAAATGAATAACGAATTTAGCAGCTTGGTTTCTCCGCGACGGCCACAGCCCGGTATCGAGTAGTTGGGACGTGTAATTCTGGATCGAGCTCACAACACAGCCATCCTCCTTGCAGTCCCTCTCAAAGTCTACACCGCAGTACGTCGGTGGCGTGTCTTTCGCATCGATGAAATGGAAATTCTTGGAGAATCGCCCCCATTTCGTGTACCTGATGCTATCCGCCCAAGTAGCTACCCCAGCGAGGTAATGCTCGGTATCATTCTGTAGGATATTCTGGAAGAATGCAGTCGTATCATCCTTGACCAAATTTGTTGCTATGTAAGCCACAGTGATGTGTCCCAGGCCTGAGATTTGACGAAACCTACTCGTTAATTAAACAGTTCTTATAAAGTGAAGGTTGAACACCTTATATATTTCTATCCACTTACTTCCCCATGCCAGAGCACCTGGTAGTAAGAGCGTGCTCACGGCGATAGCTTTATGACCAAGCTTCATGATAACTAAGTTAATTGTTAAGATTTACTTAATTCAATCGCTAAATATAAAATAGTTCTGTTTATATCGCCTTACAAAAATAAATGACAATAAAATACCTTTCAAAAACAATGTATAGGTAGATAAGGCATATAGGGGTATAGGTATAGGTAAACACATTTATCGTCGGTGCGCGTCTACCCGTTTTGCCCTTTTCGCAGCATGTCTAAATTTGGTTGTCGAGGGAACACACGCGTGACCATTAAATCTCATCTGATTTGCTGCGGTCGCAGATGACCCGGCCTATTGCTGCGGCTGCTGGCATCTAACATAAGACATGGCTTATAAGTTAAAACGACGAATAACCACCCATTTATTGTCGGGGTTTAACAAAAAGGTTACCACTGGACTATGTAAATATCCTCCGATAACTAAATTTTCGATTTTATTTCGGAGTTTTCAGTTAATTTGAATTCGTTGCATGTTAAACCTTGGAAATTGTACATCATGTACATAGGCAGTAGGTACGTAACCTTAAGAGGTATGTACGGTAGCTCAACTATCGGAAACACCCGAGATAGTACTGTGCAAGCTAACCGCAGGTGGCGTCACTACTGCGGAGGTAGCCCCAAGACTCTGGGGGGGCTGCAGCCGGCGCGCAGGCACAGCTGCACAACCGCATACCATAGTAACTTTATTGGTGGCGCTAAACCCTATTCGCTGCTGCTTTCCCTCCTATGCGTCCCTTATCTCTGCGCGACGCTGCACAGTTACGCAGAAATGCGACTAAAGATCGCTGGTGCATGCGATAAGGGAAAACTTACTGAAGCCACTACCGTCCACCACTGACCATCCACTGATAACCTCTTTCCAGCTGACTCTTACCAGACAAACCATCTGACTACCTAACTAAAGTCGGGTCTTTCTCTCTTTTTCTCTTTCTTAACCCCAATCCCTAATATTCCAATTACCCATCTACCATCCATCTCTATTATCTATTAACTATTTCTCATCATATTATTGCGAACTTGGAAATGAATCCCGTTGATATGGCCTTATCGCACGGCCTCTCCGTTAATGAGATCTTATCTGGGATATTCGGTAGCATCAGCTTGACAGCATGGATCTGCTTGCTCGTACGTGTTTTGGGGGACAAAGAGAGCTCTCCGTATATTATTATATCACCTTGGGAGTATTTTACTAACCATGCGATAGCTTCCTCAGCTTATCACTAATTACAGAGCCAAGAGTGCAGACGGCTTATCCATGATATTCCTAGCTGTCTGGCTCTTTGGCGATCTCGCGAATCTATCAGGTACGTTTAGGTATACCTATCATTTCTGCCAGTATCCGAAAATACTAGGATTTGTATCCACCTATCATATGTCTTCAACTCAATAATGAAGCATGTGTCGAGCTGACCGTTGTCTCTAATCTCTAGGTGCTCTTGTGACTGGACTCGCACCTACGGCGACCGCACTGGCGGGCTACTTCTGCATATCCGATGTCATCCTAATTACACAGTCCGTCTATTATAACACCCTTAACGCCCGAAAAACCCGCCAGCGAACACGGTCGACCGAATCTGAGACTTCGGAAGACGAACCCCTCTTACAGCCGCGGAGGAGGTCGTCTAGCGGCCTTCCAGGCTCGCACAGACGTCATTCGATGCACCATTCCGAGTCCGGCCTAGACCCCATTAAGAGAATCGTCACGGGCGAAGATGATACGCCCGACAGCAACCCTTGGTTACACAACACACTAAGCGTTGCGGCTGTCTACATCGTTGGGGCTGCCGGTTGGTTTGTGTCGTATAAGGTTGGGGCTTGGGATAAGCCCGATGCTCCTGAAGAGCCAGCAACTGAATCGCCAGTTGCTGTTCTAGGACTTACTCTGGGATATGCCAGTGCTATTTGTTATCTGTGGTACGTGTACTTGACCGCGATAAACCCCGAACTATGTGCTAATAGAAGTTCAGTGCCCGAATTCCCCAGATAATCAAGAATTACCGGGAGAAATCCTGCGAGGGTCTTGCTCTACTTTTCTTCCTATTATCTCTCACTGGTAATTTAACGTATGGCCTAAGTGTTTTCACTTACTCCCCAGAACCGGAGTATATTATTAAAGCCATCCCTTGGCTTCTCGGATCTCTTGGCACGATTGTCGAGGATTGTATCATTTTCTACCAGTTCAAGATCTACTCGAAAAGGGGAGGTAGCAAGGCCAACGGTACCGGCGAGGCTACGTAAAGTTGCTTGCTCGCAAGATTAGGTACTTACTTAATGTAGGTAGGTTTGCGACGCGGTTCAGTTAACTTGGAATTATATAGGGGATAAGGTCATCATGGCAGGAGCATTATCTAGGCGTTCTACAATGGGTATTTGCAGGTATTCCCCGGTTTGGGAGTTGGATAATATTTACATCATTGAAAATATGCATTCGATCAAAGCTTTACGGATCTTAACAGGTCAAATCCTCCACGTTCGTACTGGAACCCGTCTGGGTTACCGTTGAAGGCCCCCAATGTACATTCTTATATCAAATCTTGCCTAGATGTAAGGACTTTTCTTAAGAGATGAGATATAACATGTCATATTTTGTATGCTTTTATTCTCTGTACTGCTTTAAAACAGGTTGACAATCAGCCGGTTGAAAAATGGCCGTATTCTCTCCGACCAAACTCTATGATAGTTGTTTTCACCATGATCACCAGGGCAGCGATGATAATTCTCATCACATCTTGCCTCAGTCAGCTCGCTATTCAACACATCACGAGGCTAGAATAATTGTGACGATATTACAGAAGGTGTGCTAAGCGGTTTTGTCAACACATATTAGATGACTATAATCCTATTTATAAATAGGTATTAAAGCCGCTACCTAGACACAATTATAAGTCACACCCATACTAGCGAATCAGGGCCCAATAAGCATTTAATATATACCCTTTTAGGAGCAATTTAAGAAATTTAACCAATTAGACTTAAACGAAGGAAGCCCCTATATCTATATAGTTGGCTGGGTGTATAGGAGATACTTAGTATTCAACGATCATCAAGTCTAGGTTTCTTGGTAGAGTATTATTATATCTAGGGTTCTAACCATAGGTATTAAAGGTAATGTCAAATTAGCGATCATGCTGTCATGAGAGTCATTAGGTACTAGCTGTAACGGATAGTAAGGTGAAATCATCGCGAATGACAGGTATCTATGGGCGGACTGGATGATATCTGTCATATTATAGGCATTCCTGGGTAGGTACCGAATGCATCGTAGTATTTAAACAACTAACGACCAAATGCCTATGCGACTTAACCTCGTTGTCTGAAGTGAACTAGGATTCTACACACGATTTCTCGCCGACCAAGAAACTGCTTTCATCAAATCTAGTATAAGACTCAGGTCTTATCTCCAAAGTGCTCGCTTACAATCCTCCCCCGCTTTCACGAGGCTGATATGGTAAGTGGAAATTATTCAAGCTTGACCACCCTCTGAGCGGTTGACCCGGCTTGGCCTGGACCATTCGTCCCGCATCCACCTTTTCGGTTACATTATCCATGGATCTGGCGAGAACCATGGAAATGCCGCCTGTTATAAATAGGACTTTGATAATCTGGCTTGGGGCGCGGTTCCTCAGAATCTCGACGAAGCGCTCTAGATACGGCACGGTGCTGGAGCACTCGGCTAGCTGGAGTTTGTCAATGATGACGATGAGAATCGGTGGGCTGTAAGCTAGTAAAGAGCGTATCAAATCCAGAGCTACAGATGCGCTGGTTAAACTACCGTCTAGGCTCTTAAAGACCTGTGTATCAAACTCCTCTGTTGCCGAGTCGATTGTATCAGGTAGAAGGCGTATGAGTTGGCCGGCGATGCAGTACAATAGAGAAATTAGTACCTCTTCCTGCTTCGACATGGCTGACACCAGCGTGGAATTTAACGACTGTTGGGGAATGTAACCAGACGTAGGCGTAAATGATACGCATGGTACGGGATTGCGGGCGCTCAAAGCTGAGTCGTATATCCTCGCGGCGGCAAGTGAGAGCTGCCGTTCTGCCGCAACATAGACTGGGCCCCAGATCCAGAGGAACTTTGAAGACGGATCTCCAATCCAGTTGCCAATCCTCTGTGTCACCTCTGCAGGAAGAAAAGACCTAGAAATGGTGCTAGTGGCTGTCAAGACCTGTGACCTCCCATCCTGGAGGAAGGTGTCCAGGTAAGGTGCCGTGCTTTCTTGGATCTCGTCTTTAGTATATGAGTAACAGACTTCGAGTCGGTCTAAATAGTTTAGAAATTAATAATGGGTGCTTATGGGTTTGGACGATATTTAAGCCGATGTAGAACTCGGAAACTGACCTTCTGATATAGTAGCTAGATCATTTCCAACAATGGATATCTGCCGATCTGATAGAATCTCTCCTCTTTCTATTGCTAGAGCTTTGGTAGTAACTTTCTGCTCTTAAGTTGGTGTTAATTACTGCATCTCACCTAGAAAGCTAGAACCGTATATGGAAAACTTACGGTATTTGGTGGCTTGACCCGTGGCGAGAAGTGAGCTCGTAGCATTGTCGCCTAACGCTAAGAACACCAGATCTCTAAGCTCATGTAGTAATTTATTAGTGTCACGTCCCACCTCCCTATCCTCCTGCCTACCGGTATTGTCCGCTAGTACCTCTTCACGTAAGAGTTTCATCCTTTGGTTGATCTCTACCACTCCTCGTTCGGTCTGTGTTGTAATCAGCTGGACACTGCTCACTCCTTGTTGGATATCTTGAACTCTATCCTGCGTAACTTGATCCGCCTCGAGCCTAATTCGTTCGACCGCTTTCTTTACAGACCCAACGATCTTGTCAATATCAGCAGCCGAGTTCTTGTTAAAGGCGTTCCTAAACCGGCGTGATTTATTGCTATACCAATCGATAGCATCGCAGAGAAAATCAAACACGGCTACGTAGAGACCCACGACAGAGTTCTTCATCTGTGGGGAGTTGGAAATTCTGATACTCTTGTCGATAGTCTCAAGGTCTTTCGTAATATCTTCTAGGGCCTCCGAAAATTTCTCAGCCTGAGTTTTGTGATTAACAGATGCCTGCGATCGGATACATTTCATAAATTAGCTATGGTACCTGATATTGAATACAATTACCTATCACAGAGTATGAGCCAGGGAGAGGGAAACAAGGACAAACTTTAACCACAGATGTAATGACCCCGGTGATTAGACTGGTGTACTTGTCACCATTAGGAATGATGCTGAACAGGTAGGAATAATCGTTCATGGTGTCAAGAAAGCTTTCCACGGCAGATTTAGTCTTTCCGGATTTTGATTCCTTCTTTTTGGCCCATGTCGTCTCTGCTGTCTGAACAGCTTCCAATAGTTTGGGGATGCTGGGTATATCTCTCAAGATTTCTTCATCATGGAGACTTGAGCTTGAGTGAAGCTCTTTCCACTTTTCGACCACTCGTACTTTGTGGTTCTCTAAGCGGAGCAGTGCTGGATCACTGCTGCTCTCTAGTTACCATCATATTACACATATTAATCTAGTTTTGGCTTACCTGGACCGTCCTTGGGGCCGCAACCACTGCACCCAACTGTCAAAATCCTCCCGTTGCTGACACTCCTTTGCCACTTGACGCTGCGCGGTGGCACCCAGCCCCTGACTCAAAGTATTGCTGGGCGTCTCTTCTGCGACAGCAAGGCTATATCGCCGAACCACTTGGTGGATTTCGGTCTCAAAACTATCTTCCATATCCTCAATGGGATATTGAGATACTTGATATTCCTATTGGTGGTTTGATGAGAGGCAATTCGTTAGATAAATAACTCATAGAGAAAGGAGCGAAGCACATTAATGAGTAACAGTCGAGGCTACGAATCGTCTTGTAATTACACAACTTTGGGCAGCAGGAGTAGTTTCGGCTACGAACCATTGGGCCGAAGTTAATTATTGAAATGTAGTCAGCTGAAGATTACCTACCCCCTATTCCATAATAAGCACGAGGATTGGTCCTAAGCGCTTACTCTCTTATGCTTGATTTGCTCTTGTAGCTACAGCCTGACACTAGAATATGACATGTCAGATCACCCAGTAGCATTATTGCCAGAGTATTTCGGTGAATAATTGCCGTGCTTACGATCGACATAGATACTTGAATCTAGAAATGTCTCATGTTGAGTGCTTTGGGACTACTTGTACTTGTAACCATTCCCCCCTTTTCATTTGGGGGTATTAATATCTATCAACCGAACCAAAAACATACTCAGAAACTACCTCGAAGCCTTTGGAGTACACATAGAGTTCACTTTTTAGTTTCTAAGGTCCAAGTCCAGAGATAACATAACAACCATGGCCCAGAATGAAACTACCCTTATCCCAAATAAACCCGACGATGGCTCTACGCTAGACAGTGGTACGACACAGCCGAATGACGATGTCAATGATAGACACATAGGCCTTCAAGAGTATGAGCCAAAGATCCAAGTTGATTTGGGTCCTACAAAGCCTGCTACGCAAGAAAAGAGAGAAGAAGAACAGAGGCACGATGACGGTGACACCGTCGAAGATAAAGATACCGAAGAGCCGGCCAAAGACGCCGATGGCGAGATGACATCCCGCCAGCAAAACCAATGGTCCTCGTCATCCACACTTTACTGCCGCGAAAATGGCCGTCTTCATTCAAATCTCCTCGAGTTTGGCATTGATGAATGTCCCGCTTGTTACCAGAATCTTGCTAGGGTTGGCCCTACGCTTATTGATTTGCCTGTCCGCGAGGATAGGGATGAGGACGAGGACGAGGATAAAGATGATGATGAGAATGAAGAAGAGAAGGGGGGAAATAGCGAGACGAACGAAACTTCAACAAAGATTCCCGAGCACTTGAATGTCACCCACACGGTCGAGTATGTGGACATCGGAGGCTACGAAATTACTACTGTAGAATGGGGTGGTCCCTTTGAACTTGAAAAAGAGTATGCAAAGGCCTTGCAGTCAAGGTCCATGCATAACAAGCGAACCGTTTTTAATGTTGTAACAGTGTTGGGGACAACCGTGCCGGCCGACAGCCGTCGCTATAGCCATGAGAGAAGTGAAATCATAGAAAGAGGAATTATTGGCAATCCAGAGATATCCGTCACTATCAAGTCCGTCAAGCTTATCATCTTATCCCAGCTGGTCATCGACGTCCTCAAAACCGTGGCTTCCTACGACACAGGCGATCTACTAGAGGGTTCAAAGCTTGAACTCTATGAGCCCTACCCGTTGATGGGTCATCATATGGAAGAACTTGAAGCATATATGGGGCAGATCGAGGACACATCTACTGTGAACAACGGTTCGAATGGCGCCAAGAAAGAAGCAATTGCTGAAGTAGGCGATATCGACCAGGAGGCTCGCACACATGTGAGCCTTGTTTTCGATTTCATAAGTCAAGTTCTGAGGGACCCGATCGCAGAAGAGCGAGCTCGTTACCAGCAAAGCCATCCTGTGTGCACGTACCGTATGATATGGTACCTTTTCCGGCCGGGTCGCGCTGTGTATACCATGTCCGACGGGACGGCAGATGCTTGTATAGTGGACTCGATAGATATGGGGCGCTATTTTTCCCTCTCTTATCCGTTCGAGTATCTTCAACCTTGCCGTATCAATTTATGGTATCTCGATTTCAACGGCCAGTATATCACGCGCGCCCGCAAGAGCGTTGTAATACAGCCCTTTAATGGCGAGAGACGTATCACGTCGCTCAATGCGGTTCCTTGCGACATATGGGATAAACATGACGCCGGGACCCTCCGTACCCAATTAGAAGAAAGAGGTAAGAAGTGGATTGGTCACCTTCCGGGTAAACAGATTGAATATAAGGGTGAGCCGGCCAGGCCAGGCAAGACAATGGTGTGTGAATATCCCAGCATCACTTTCCGTCGTATCAATCTTGTTTCTAACCTCATGTTAAATTATGCTAACAAAACTCTGATGGAAGGTGACGGGCCGAGCCTACATTGATTGCGCTTCGTATTACGATCTGGGCCACAGTTTGGACTTCGAAACAGTCTCGCCTTCGGATGAACCAAGTGATGACGAGAGCGACTATAACGACCTCAGCAATACAAAACCCAAAGGACGAAGCACACGGTGGGCGCAATACGACAATATTGACATTAAAGAGTTCAATAAACTTAGCGATTCCTCTTTTCCACCTTACTATAAGTATTTGCTCTGCTCTCGAAAGCTCAAGGGGTTTATGTTCAATACACGTACCTGGCGTACGTACCTCTTAAGCTTTTACTTCACGAGTTAACTGTTAAAGTGTGCCATTTCTCTAATCGTCTGAAAATGCTTTTAGAAACCCTCGACGTGAGATTTTGCCAGCCCTCCAAGCCCAATCAAAACCCATTCGGAAGGCTCGTTATGCCCGAAGAAAGAAAGATGATGATCAAGGCGCTTGTGTATAAGTATACGGACCCTCGTTATGCTGGCGGTAACTCGGAGCAAGTTTGGGGCGCGGATTTTATCAAAAACAAGGGCGAGGGTCAGATCTTCCTACTCCATGGTGGGCCAGGAGTTGGAAAAACATTTGTAAGTCAAGAATGCTCTTCAAGCTATGCCTTTCCAATATTAGTATATCGTAACTATAAAAACGTACTAATAATTTGGTGTTGGATGTAGACTGCAGGTCTGTGACCAGTTCTCGAAGGGACGTATAAGTAATTAAATCCTCGCTGCTAACATTCACGTGCTTCACAGAATGTATCGCCGAATTCACGGGACGGCCGCTGCTCGCTTTGACAAGCGGTGATATCGGCATCGAAGAAATCCAAATGGAGCGCAAACTTCGTGATTGGCTCAAGCTTGCGCACAAATGGGGTGCCGTGATGCTTATCGATGAGGCTGATGTGTTCCTGGAGAAGCGGATGAGCTCGGATATGAAGCGAAATAGTCTTGTATCAGGTAAGTAATCGCTATATTCATATTTATCAACATGAGAAGAAAGATGGGCTTGATCGTGACGCAAGACCTGACGGCCGTAACAGTATTCCTTCGCGAGATTGAGTACTACCAAGGCATACTTTTCCTCACCAGTAATAGGGTGGGCTGCTTCGACGACGCGTTTGTATCCCGAGTTCATGTGGTGATACATTACAAGGATCTTGATGACGAATATCGTCGGAAGATCTGGAACCAGTTTTTCGACAAACTCGAGGCTGAGAGAGGTAAGACGATGCGCATCGACAACTCGGCAAGACGATACGTGCTGGAAGACCCGAAAATAGCTAATATTAAATGGAACGGACGAGAGATCCGTAACGGTAAGAACATACCTACCTCATCCAGATTAAACCACATTACTTACATAGCTAACTTTTGATGGTATATAGCATTCCAAACCGCCGTCGCCTTGGCTGAGTACCGCTTTCTAACCAAGCCGGAGCTGGAAAAGAGCGAGGGTGAGATTGCTATGTTAGAGGAGAAAGACTTCAAGCAGATCTGCGACATGACGATGCAGTTCAAGGAATACTTGACGGTTGTTAATGGATGGATGAACGAGCAAGCTCGAGCTGCTAATGAGAGGATACGGGCGGATGAAAGGATATTAAATACGGCCAGACCTGGCTACAACGAAGCTAACTTGTAGGCAAGACACAAGACACACTGAAGAGGAATGGCTAATGAATGATGGAAGATGAATGATAACACCGTTCTATTTACCTAGGAAGACTATGTTACTGCTTTTCTTTGCAGACTTTCAAGATGGAGAACCAACAACATGTAGGTTAAGTAACGATGAAGACATTTAAGTACCTAATATAGGTACCTAATGTAGGATATAACTAGTATAACGACGATATGTGACTTGACATGTCCTTGATGACTGGTGTTTTCGGGTTTGGGTTCTATCAGGTCTTGATATTCAATTATATAGGTATTATATTACATAAGCAAATACATGATATTTCGATATGGAATTGGGAATGTGGGGATTAAGATTATATAATACACTATCGTACCTGCATTAGGTAATGCAGCTAAGACTCTTAGCTTAGTGTAGGTACCCCTTTTTCATTACGGCGACCCCTGCTCGAAACGTCCAATTTCAGCTAAGAGAATTGAATCTCAATCAGTCGTGACATTCCCTTCTATTTTCTTATCATCACAACTACCATCAACCAATTCGTCGTTCTCTTCTTCTGCTCTATTTGCCTTTCCCCCCCGCCGGTTAGCCGTAGTCTCACGCTCTTTCTTCATTTTGCGTCGGCCCGGCATTTCGCTCCTTTTCTCAAGTTAGCAAGCATTGTTTGTTACCTTAAGGTACTCACCGCCTACTTTTCGATCGAACAGGAGATAACGATACCCCCTTTGAAAGAATCCACGCGTTCGAGCGGATCGATTTGATTTAGAGAGATAATACTACGGTAAAAAGGGAAAGAATAGGAAATATGCGTTTCTCAACTATTCTCTCGGCAGCAGTGGCCACGGGCCCAATCGTGGCGTCGGCCGCAGGACAACTAGGATTTGCGCTGGGCAACAAGAAGGCCGATGGGACTTGTAAGGAAGCGAGCGACTACACGGCTGACTTCGCCGCTCTGACCAAGGAGACGAGCGCTAAGGTCGTTCGTATCTACGCTGCTTCCGACTGCGATGTCGCGAAGCTGATCCTACCTGCTGCTAAGACGGCTGGATTCAAGGTTGTCCTGGGTATCTGGTTAGTAATAGTCCGAGGGTGGACCTCAGACCAGTTTGCAAAAAGGGGGGATGCGGTTACTAACGATGATATCAAATAGGCCCGACACGGATGAATCCTTCAAAGCCGACAAGGCGGCCGTCGTCGAGTTCGCACCAAAGTACAAGGACCAGGTATACGCCATTACCGTAGGCTCGGAATCCATGTACCGTGGCAACTTTACGGGTCCGGAGCTTCTGTCCAAGATCCAGGACGTGAAGTCTGCTGTAGGCAAGGGCTTCAAGATCGGCACGGCCGACTCGTGGAACAAGTACGCAGATGGGACGGCCGACGCCCTCGCGGAGTCGGGTAGCGTGGACATCATGCTCTGCAACGCTTTCTCGTACTGGCAGGGCCAGGTGCTGTCGAATGCCACGGGCTCCTTCTACGACGATATCTTCCAGGCGTTCGGCCACATCCAGGAGAAGGCCGGCGGCACTGACAAGATCGAACTCTGGGTTGGCGAGACGGGCTGGCCCACCGGCGGTGATAAGTACCAGAACGCGCAGCCCGGCGTTAAGCCTGCCTCGACCTTCTACAGCCAGGCCGTCTGCGGTATGGTCGACTGGGGATTCAACGTCTTTTTCTTCGAAGCCTTCGACGAGGCCTGGAAGCCCAAGGCTATTGGCGAGGACGGCTCCGTGGCTGACGAGACCTCGTGGGGTGCCATGACCGAGGACCGGACGCCTAAGTACAGCCTCAAGTGCTAAATCTGCTTCCTTGTTTTATTCTGCTAGTAGATGGGGATGCGCGCAGGAAGGGAGGCGGAGAGCATATAGGCGCTGATTTAGATGTCGATTGTAATTAAATGTTGTTATATACCACCGCTAAGTAAATGTCGACGGTAGTCGATAGAGGAGATGTAGAATATGTGATACCATATAAAGTTTTATATTCGCAATCATTTATTATGGTACCTAGCGGTACCTTTATACCAAAAACATGTCGCATTACGTACCGCATTACGTACGGTATTACGTACGATATGTACGTACAAATATCAGGGGAGTTTGTGTTGAAAGACGTCAAAAGTACTTCTACATGCTGGTATTCTACGATTAGAAGCATTTATAAATTGCGAAGTAAATGTAAATATTGTATTTCCCAGCTTCAACGACGAAAATCAACAACCAAACTCAAGTTTGAACGCAATGCCACACGCATTCATTACCAAATCTCACAACTGCAAATCTTCCTTCGCGACCCTCTCTATGTGACCATTAACTTTGACTGTATCCAAGTGACCGAAGCAATCTTTTTCAATAACTTCGAGGTCTACTTATTTATTTATTTACCCAACGCCGGCGCTTCCCTTGTTCGTTCCTCGGAACTAGATTCTCCTTCCAACGGACGCTCTCATTCAAGACGCGGAAAAGAAACGCGAGCGTGCGACTCGTTACGAGCGGACGGGGCTATATGGGGTTGTGTTAGCTGAAAATTCCCTACTCGTTTTATCTCTTTTCCAGTCCTAGTCGTAATGGTGTAGGTGTAGGTGTAGGATAGAAGGGAGAAAAAAAAAAAAAAAAAAAAAAGGAAAAAGCTTACCCGCAGCCGAAAGGAGTCGTCTGACCGAAGAAGCAGTCGTTGCTCGCCTTGGGCACGATCTGGTTCTGGTGGATGGGCGTGATTACGACGCCGGCGCTGGCGAGGGTTGCGCAGAGCGCGGCGAGGAGCGTTGTGGCGAATGCGGTCTTCATCTTGGATGATTGTTCGGGGAGCGGTTGATTGTAGATCTTGGTGTGTAGGTAGGTAGGTGTGTAGGTGGGTAGATATGTATGTACAGTTATCGCAAGAGTGGTAGGTAGCGTTGTTCGTCTGTTCGTCCGAGCGAAGGTAACGGTGTGGGTTCAGTGGGTTTTATTAATCTCGTGTCGCGCGGGCTTCCGAATTAAATAAGGTATAACTATAGTTATTTGTATAAGTTATATGCATGCAATAGTAACGATTGTGGATGAGCGATGACCAGATCGCAATGTCGATTATCAAAATCAGAATCTTTAGAGAGCGAGAAGAGAATTTGCGGAAGTGATGTGCGGAAGAGAAAGGCCAGCTGGAATTGACGAACTTCGCGATCTAGCGAGAAAAGGGCCAAGGAAGAAGAATCCATCATATGATCCATGTTAATCCATGTTAAGCCACGCCGAGGACCTACATAGGTACATAATGTTACAGTTACAGTTACAGTGCCGCGGGTACTGTGCTCGTTACCATTGGGTGCACTCAAATGAAGGGGAAAGGAGGTAATGTATTTACAGTGTGTTGATTTCCAACTGTGGACAATAACACTGTATTCCTATATAAAAACCCCGGTTCCGCATCTAAATCTGCGACGGGCTGCGTTCGAGAACAACGGAGATGAACCAAGTTTCATCAGGGCGAGACGAGCCCCGGCACGATGAAATACATATGTAGTATGAGGGCTTACACTTTGGGGGCACAATTAATATTAACTATCAGTAGATATAGTTATACTTGGAGAAGTTAGAGATTATATAACTAACTACCAAGAACTGTAACGGGAAACTGTTAAGAACTGAAGCTACTCAATTGTTATTTAGTCTAACTACCGCGCTTAGTTTCCAACTTAACTCGACTACTTATACATACCTAATACGGCTTAATGTAAAGCTGGCGCGTAAGACAAGTGACGCTGTCGCCATAATACATACAAAGGGGGAGCAAATCGTAAGATGACTAGTCCCTGATGGTACGAGGTGGTTCTGCTCGTCTATATATCTATTAATGGCACACGTTATAGCTGGGGTAGTTAGAAGCTTACGAATGCCACATTTAGATAATTACTAGTTATGTAGGTAAGTGCTAGTTAGACGCAATATAAAAAGAATTCGAATTGTAAATATTTCAAGTGCTCTGTCCCCCTGATAGAGAAATGAAATAACTATCTACGCAATGGAAACATTACGCTTCGGGCTACAACATTTTGGATAGATACTACCTGTTAGAATCGGGGCCGACCGATGAGACACAAGACACAAACGCGCATGGAATCGAATAGTAATAGGCTAACCTAGAAGACACAGGTAACCGCCGAGTTAGGACATCTTATATACAAACTTCGTCCACAGCTAAGCAAAGCTTGAATCACATACATCAACCGACGAGACAGCGCTACGGGACGTTGATGGTATTCCGACGGGCGCATATCATATCCTTTCGAGACTATGTATGCCCGAGGGAAATGCGGGCGAGCTGTAAGTTTCGTATAGTCAGAATAGAGTGGTGCTGTTCTGACGAGGGACTCGAAAACGCAACCTAACGGGTTGCATACATACATAATTTACTCTTTCGATTGAAAAGGCTGGTTGGTTTAAAGAGATTTCAACGGCAATACGGTGGTCATGCTTTAGGTGCCTAAGACTAGACATACCTAGCGATATATGATAAATATACCATGATCGAGAAGACAAATAGACTCTGAGAAAGTTTACTAGACGTATGCTGGATATTTCTAGTCACTATAATAATTAACGTATTAATTCAAGCCGAATGATTCATCAATATTGAACTACTCCCACATCGCAATCACTACATTTTAACCACAACGAGGGGGTGAAGCGTCCAAATCCAGCGGGACGTATATCGCCGCCCTGTCTCCTCTAGGTATCACTTCCTCCACCCCATCGCCTCCTCGACACTATTCCCGCAGCAGTAGTAGCAGCGATAATGTACATTAACGTTAGGAAAGGGTTATTGCCCTCCCTAGTCATCCTGCGCGTTTCACCACAGCATCCCATGAAAATCTGCGTATTTCTCAAAAAAACAACAATAAAAAAGTTATGATATTCCTGAACCAGATCAACTCCGTGGGGCATCGCAATCGGTCATATCTTCGGAACAAGGCCTCCAAATGACGACGGATTGGGTGGTTTGCGTGGGGGTTACAGTTCATTCCGTCTTCGGCGCAGAAAAACACATTTAGAGAGAAAAAAGGGGGAGGGGATAAAAACAAAGTCATCGCCCTGGAGGCTCAAAAGAACGCTAGCAGGTGAGCCTACAAGTCGATATGCTGATAAAACGCAAAAGACATGCTATCCCGAGCTTAGAGTATAAGGACGGAACCGAATCGAAATAGGAATTGATGAATCGTGAATAACAAACGTGTTCTGATACACATCATAGGCGCTGTACAAGAGTATTATTTATTAGGAGATTGGCAAGGCTGGCGATCAGCATGTTTCTAGGGGAATTTCGCATTTGGGTTTCGCAGACTGAGGTAATTACGAGGCATGGTTGCCTTGGGCGGCTCCTATGTTGTCGGTAGCGCGCTCCTCCGCGTCGAGCCGTTTCCTCCAGTCAGCTAAGCTCTCGCTGAGACCAACAGCGTCGCTCTCCTTTTTGGTTCCGAGTCCTTCAAAGTCGAAGTTGTTTGAAAGTCGATAGTTTTTGTTTGTCGCCTCCCAGTGAGACCGTAACATATCAAGTTCGTTAGCCAAATCGTTGAGAGCTGCGCTATTTCTTTTATCGTCGACACCGCTAACACCGCCGACAGGGCCGTAGGAGCTTCCCGCCTCCGAACTCTCTTGTCGAGTATGTCCCAAGCCGTTCGGATTAGGAGTGCCGATATTCATCTGATCGGTACTTATTCGACTGCGTCTCCGATAATTATCAACCGAATTTTCTACCTGGTCGAGTAGTAGACTGACTTTTTGTTCAGCATCCTGTACTCGCTTCTCTAGGAGAGCATTCTCCTGCTGCATTTGCTCGAGCTCCTTCTCTCGAATAGTCAGTTGTTCTGCAACGTCGTTGCGGGACTTGGCTGTGCTGTCGCGCTCTTGATTGGTAGCATCTAGCTTCTTCCGCAATTCTATGAGTTCTTGTTCAAGTTGTGCCGAAGTTAACTTGACTTGTTCCTGGAGGCCCTCTATCTTATCCTCTAGCTCTGAGCGCTCGGCTTCCCAATCCGCAGGCGTGGCATTGTCATGGAGGCTAGAACGTTCCTCTAGCTCGAGATTTTCGTTCTTTAAACGGTTGTTCTCAGATTGAACTTGTGCAAGCTCTTGCTTCATCTTCTTAAGCATCTTCTCTGTGCCCTTGACATAGTGGACGGCGGACTGGTAGTCGTTCTCTAATTGAACTATTCTGCTACGATAAGTAGCCTCGGATTCTTGAAGTTGGGCGGCAAACATCTGCTTTGTCTCTTCATGGGCAGCAACTGCTTGTGCAAGCTGCCGTTCAAGATCGTTGGTGCGAGAAGCGTTAGGCGAACTAGTCCTCGAGCCCATCTCTCGCACTCGAGCAAGATTAGTCGGGCTGATGCCCCTTTCAGCTAGAATATCTTTCAGGGTATTATGCTGAACTGTTATGGCGTTGGTCTCGAGCTGCTGGTTAGCAAGCTGGTTCTTGAGATCCGAGTTCAAAGCCTGAAGGGATTGTGTTTCCCTCAAGGCGGATTGCAGTTGCCGACGAATTGATACGCCTTCCCTGCTGGATTGTTCCTGGTATGCTTCAAGCCCCGCGATTCGTTCCTCAGCGCTTCGGAGCTTATCCGAGGCAGCGTCAGCCTCCTCCCGGTATTTCTTGACGAGATTGTTTGCCGCCTCAACTTGACCTTGAAGCACCACGATGCGTTCAGCGTCAGCTCTGTTTCCTTTGCTGGGATCCTTGGCAACCTTTTCTAGTCCAGAAATCAAGGCTTGCCGATGAGCGTTTGCTTCAGCTGCATGCCGCTCTGCAAGTTCCTCTGCATCTCGTAGCCTTTGCGTCACGGTCTCCAGTTCAGAAGCATGCGCTTCATGTTCTGCCTTAAGCTTGGTGAGTTTGGATTCGATTGCTTCTCGCTGGGCTCGTTCCTCATCGAGCTTCCGCTCGAGGTGAGCGCGCATATCTGCGGACGCTACTACGGCTTCTCGAAGAGACTCTAAGTCACTATACTCTTGGGCGTTACTGATGGCTTCGTTATATTTATTTTCGTACTCATCCTTCTCGATACGCAGGAGTTGCATAGCAGCAATGGCTTCAGCACTGGCGACTGATTGCTCTCGCGCCTCGCGTTGGACCATGTGCAGTTCTGCCCTCAGCTGTTCAAGCTCTGAAGATGTTTGTTGTTTGTACGCTTCCAGTTCAGCTATGCGCTTCTGTGTAGCGCTCAAGGTCTCATCTGCGAGCTGTCGCGCTCGTTTTTCGGCTTCAAGGTCTGAAGTAGCTTTTGCGAGATTATTCTGCAACTCTTTTTGGGTATTGAGTGCTGATGCGAGTTTCTTATTTAGCTCCGAAGAACGATCGCCAATATCAACGTCTCTCTCGCCGTCCAGTTGCGGCGTACTAGCTGCGCTTCCGCTCTGCGCTGCTATTTTTGCCTTGGCATAGACTGCTTCACGGACAGCAGCGTCACGCTGTCGTTCTACCTCAGCAATCTGTTTTGCTGCAAGGATCGCTTGCTTATCGATGGAGGCTTGGACATTAGCCAGTTCCTGTTTCATAGCTAAGAGCGACTCGATGAGCCGCTTATCATCATCATCGAATGTTTCCGCGGCTCGAGATTCCAGAGTAGGACTAAGAGTTGGATTTGGCACATATCCAGCTTTGCGGGCTAACTCCAGCTCAGATGCGTACCATGCGGTTCTATTGCGGGCTATGTCAAGTTCCTTTAGTAGAACAACGGTCTGAGAATTTCTGTTCGAAGTTCTTCGCGACAAAGGATTACTTGGTTGACGAGTCGGTGGAGGTGGAGAAGACGGGCGGTTAGCCACAGTTTTAAGTGTTGGCTCCGTGCTGCTGTCTACGGACCCCTGACTCCGGGCCTGGCGCGCCGACATCCTTGATTTTGATTTCTCTTCTATTTGATTTTCCGACCGCGATCCACTCCTAGGGGCTTGCTGGTTCGGTGTTCGCCTCCCATTCACAAGTGGCATTTCCTCTTTTACCAGTTCTCTTGGTACGGGGGACTGGCTTTGACTGCTGATGCCAGGTGAGCCGGCACCCGCAGCTTCCCTCTCTATTCTTTCGATAGATGCGTTTCTAGGGCGGCGGCCGTTCGCATTTCCTTCCATATTCGGTCGAGGAGCTTGGCCCGGAGGTGGAGGGCCTGAAGGAGTAGAGGTGCCTGCAGCTCTTGGAAGCTTCGATAACCCGTTACTGACGGGCGGAGGTCCATTCATGTCGATACCTGTACCGCCTTTTCCGGAGCTATTTGTTGGGCTGTTAGGGCTAGCTACTCGTTTCGCATCTGGTCCAATAGAGCCCTCGCGAGATGGTGTCTGCCTAACCCCGGGGATGTCGCTACCGCTTGGACGCCTTTGCTGCATCTTCTGGGTTGTAGACTGGATTTGCGCATCGTTGGGATACCGGATTTTGGTGGTGTCTAAAACATACACAATCGAGAGATCGCCGACCTGATTTGGAGTTGAACTTGGTTCGCCCCCAACAACAACGATCGACTTTCCCACAGATGTCATACTATGACCAGATCGAGGCGATGGTGATGGACCCATATTCTGAAAAGTATACCAACGACGAGACGTAATTCGGAACGCAGCCAAATCACCTAGATCAGCGCCCTCCTCCGTGCGTCCGCCGAAAATATACATAACGTCGTCTACAAGAGCAGCTGCATGTCCTTCTCTGGGGACGGGGATGTAACCTATACAGTCCAGCTGGGACCATTTGTCGACAGCAGGATCATAACACCATACGTCATTGAACCATTGAAAGCCATTGGTACCGCCGAACCTATTTTAGTGAGCCTCTAGGACCTATGTTGGCGTAGGGAGTGTACATAAGACTTACAAGTACATCTTATCGTTAAAGGTGACCATAGAATGATTAGTTCTGGCCGGTGGTACCTTGCCTTGCAGCGCGCCTCCAGTTTCGGTATTCTCGCCAAGTACCTCCCATCGATTGTTAGGCATTTGTAATTGGTTAAGATCGAAGGCCGCTAAATCATTCATGAAGTAGCCTTCTACTTGACCACCAAAGATATATATCTTGGACCCGACGATGTTCAAAGAGTGGCCATAGCGTCCCGACGGTCGAGGACCAGCCGGCAAAGCTCTCGACCATTGTCTTGTGGCTAGAGAGTCAAGTTAGCATACGCCGATGAGAGCGGGATCTGGCGGGGTAATAATGTCTTACAAGTATTGAGAAGATATAGAGTCTCATCCAATATATCCGTCTCGTCAATCTTGGTGTCGCCGCCGTATACAATGAATGCATTGCCAACTAAGAGAGACGCGTGGCCAACTCTTGGCCCGGGTCCCTCAGATGTTGCAGCGAGCGGGTAGCAAGACATATTCCCTCCAGCTTCAATTATCCATAAATCGCCTTTGACGGTAGAACTGTTAATCAAACCGCCCATAATATAGATGTCGCCCTCTTTAGACGAAACAGAATTGACCGCGGCTCCATATCTCGGGAACGGACTGGGTATAGATGCAGTGAATGTCAAGCGTCTTTGAGACCAAGGGTATAACGAGGAATTTGCGCCTTGCGGTGGAGTATTACGGAACTTTTAAAGCAATATTGTTAGATAAGCCAAGGGGAAAAGATGCGGTTATATAGTAACTAGATTAAATCGAAATTAGTAAGAAACTTACAGGCAAATCACTCCCGGCTTGCTGCTGTTGTTGTTGCTGCTGCAGCGGCGGTGGCGGCGGCTGTTGTTGTTGAGGTTGAGGTTGAGGTTGCTGCATCTGCTGTGGTAGATCTTGACCACGGCGAGGGGCATACTTCTCAGCATCCGGGCTAGGTGTACTTTCATCAAAAGAATTCAAACTTCCTGTTGGTGTTGACCGAGAGTGCTTCTCTTCTCTAGCAATGCGCGCGGCAGGGCTTTGGACTGGAGGTGACGATCCGGGACCTCCATCGCGGCTTTGGACATTTCTGTCCTGGTTCTTCTTGGATTTGAATAGGAAAGCCATAGCGACTTGGTCGAGCACCCTCGAAGGGACCTCGGTTGAGGAGTGCTAAGACAACGTCGTCGCAGTGGCGACAAGGTGTTCTATGGTTAAGATCGAACACTGGTTACCGGTGGGTTGCATGCGATGGATCGGCGAGTGGACGGATTAGCTTGACGACCAAGCGGAAAACGAAAGTATGAAGAGTTCGTCGCGGTAGGATTCGGCCTTCGAAATGGCTGGGGCTGATAACATGAGGTTGGAAATCTTGAAAATGGGTCCTCAATCGAAATCGCGCCGATTGCCCGTGTCCTGCGCAGCCTCTCGACTTTTTTTTTACCCCTTCCTTTTCCAGCTTGTAAGCCTTCCTTTTCCCCTTTCCCTTGTAATTGCTTTGTGGAATAATTCTAGAACTTGGGTAGGCGCGAAAGAAAACAGTTCTAAATCGTGTCGAGTTGTTAGGCTATTAAATTAGGAGTATAGGAGTATTGAATTAGGAATCAGGAGCATAGAAAGATGAAGGGTGAAATGGATCGAATGTTGCGACGGCTCGTTTGTTCTGTGCCACTGATGGGTAATCCCTTTCGAGATCGTTGGGTTGTGTAATTTGGTAATGTGGTAATGCGGTAATGCGGTAATGCTTGTAATGTACGGATAAATAATAAGTTGAAACTAGAATATTACTTATTGTTACCTTTGAATTTCCAAATACTATTGCGTCCTCCACGACCGTGGCAGTTTAGAACAGCGCCATCAAGAATTAAAAAAAGGAAGGGAGTTGAATGAATGGACAAGAAAGAGAGAAAGTTTTGGTTTGATGAGAGAGACCGCACTGGCGACGAGGTTCCTGCCGGGGACTGCATACAACCAAATTTCCAGAAAAAAAATCTCTAAAGTTCCCCAGGGCTGCCAGGACGGTCACCACCAAGGGTCGGGTTATGGGGGGGAACTGTGCCTGCGCTAATTCTTAAATTGGGCTAGCTCACTATTATGCTGTGCCTTACTGTAGACTTGTCATTGGGTAAGAAGTAGCTAATTTAGGAGACACCCATCTCTCTAAGGGGGGTTAGCGGCACTACAGGTACTAAAATAAATGAGTGTGACGAGGAGGTACCGTACATATAACGAACATATATTTGAACTCCTGAAATTCTATTACTATGTATATCTAACTAGAGTGTTATATATCTCCAGCTGCGATAGTTTAGTATAGGACATTTAATTTATCGTATAGTTAATGAACATTGTAATTAGAATTTTATTTACTATTACACGGTAGTTAATCATTTATAAAGACTTTGGATTATAACTGAACAACCTAAGGGATTGGGCTTTGTTCAAGTACCCAGGTAACCTTGTAGGTTTGCCTCTTAAGTCGTTCGACATGGTGGGAATGTACGCGTAAAAGATACGTACCTATAGAATATATCAATCAAATCGAGAAAAGGCACGTCTATGGACATTATTACTCACCATTTATCAAGTTTTAAGCTATTTAAACTGTTACCAACTCCTGATTAATTCGGCCTATCTTTATGTTCAATATTTTCTTAGGTAGATGATCTTTCTAGCTAACACATTGACACGTACAGAATATATTTAGGTACATATTTATACTAATGGAGGTATAAGTAGACTTGCTATACTGTGATGTGACAGCATGCACATGCGGAGACGGTAGATGGTTACACCAATAGACAAGCAAGCGTCCTTAACCTCTTTTTTATAGTGCAACCTAGAGTGTCCCCTTTTCCCTTTCCCATACACATATGTATGTCCCGGAACCCTTTTTTAGCTTTTGTACAATACATACATATGCATACATAGGTATATATTCCAAAGGTATAAGTACATAACATCGTGAGATAGACGGGTTGCCTTAAAATAATTGATTAGATACAGGTATGCAGCAACTACTTAAAGCTGCTAAGTTAATGGACCCTGGACTGCTTGGGCTGCTACATAGGCAAGGCTGGATAATGGCGAGGGAGCCATGTGGATACATGCGCGCTTTTGGGGGACGTGCAGATCTTAGAGCAAACGGGCCACCTGAAACTCAGTAAATTATCTTGCACGTGAACAATACAACGCTTCGGTAATAGGTTAAAAAGTAGAAAAGTGCAGCTTGCCAACTAAAATCATCATCAATATAGGATATAAAAGGGACTATTACACCCAATGATGATGATAAAGGTGTGACGAAGCACTACCCGACCCGATAAGGGTCAGCTCTGTCTCCTAGCGTGCGTGGCTTTTAATGGACTCGTCTTGTCTCGATGCCCAAGTGTGAGCAATGACCAAGTTGAATTGCCATTAATCAACTGCGGCTGAGAAATGTGACTACTTATAGCAGGACAAATGTCACGTCTAATGACTTGCATAAACAGTGCTGCTATTTGAGAATTCTCTACATAGTAGCTGGCTGCACAAAATATCAATTAGGTAGTGTAAGAGGTAAGATGACAAACGCTACCCCTATTATACATTAAATAATTACATAAAGGTAAAAGGGAAGGATTTTGAGTTAGAAGCTGTCTCAAATTATGTATTTCGTCACTGGCCTTGGAGAGTGGGGGCTAGGACTGATACCTAGGTACATACCTACATACCTAACCTCAGCACGGTCCCCACTGCCGTTCCGGATGTACCTACCAACCAGAGCAGTCAGATTAGACCGCAAAGCTTCATTCGCAAACATCCATCAGCCCAGCCGCCATCCGCCATCCGCCATCGCATCGGCTTGTTGAATAAGTAATCAACTTATCAACTTGACCGAGGTCTTTGCCTCACCACCAAACCTCAACGTCACAGTTTTAACATTTCATTTAATCTCATTCTCATTCAGGTATCCTGTTAAAAGAATAGTTTTTAACTTCGAGGTGCATTAAAGATGTGCTACAACCATTATGACCGCCGTTACATTCTCCTCCCATAGCGCGTACACCTCTGGGCAGCACCCAAATCACCACATGCCGACCGCATCTTCCGCATCTTCCACATCTAGGACTGCTTCGTCCTCGCACTCCCGCCCTAATAATACCCTTAATACCCCGACCACCGATTCCAATCCTACGCCGCTGCGCGATCATCAGCAGCTAAACTTAGAGACCAATCTACCCTTAGTTAATGGTACTTCTACCAATATGCCTTCACGTCTAGGCTCCAACGGCCCAACCTATGCCATACGATCTCCCGAATTGCCCAAGGGACGTCCGCGAACAGCAACTGATGAGCGAGAGCCCGTAGATCTTGGTCGACGTCCATTAACCGCCCCCGGGAACAAGGCTGATCCCATACCCTCCAACTCCCGTGACGACTCGGATCAGAACCAGCCTAGGTTAACAGTCTCCAAGCCGCCGCTACTGCGATCGAAGAGTGAACACATAGTAAGACGTGAAGATGCAGAACAGGCAGATGAAGAGATCTACGAGTGGGGAGCTAGGCATGGCTTCGAAGACCATTACCAATCTGAAGATATTATTTCTCAGCTAGCAAATGTAAGTCAAGCTTTGCCCAATATATTGGCCATGCATGCCACCTTGTCGCCTTGTCGCGTATAAAATCCTCTCGATGCGCCACTACCCGGTAACGGTTTGGAGATGAGAGGGTCTTGTAATCATATTTACTGCGGCATTTTTTGTCCTTGGTGGCGTGGCTGTGGCTATTTTGCTATCGTATACCTAGTATTGATCTGGAACTGATTTCCGAATATAGAACTGGTATATGTACTTTACGGATAAGCGACACGAGACCACCGGCCAGCCAGATTCGCCTAATTATGCGATTGAGGATTGGCGTATGCGAGATCGATTAAAAACTGTTTCGGCTGCTCTAGCCGTATGCCTCAATATTGGTGTTGAACCCCCTGATCAGTTAAAGACAAACCCGGGAGCTAAGCTCGAGGCGTGGCAAGATCCATTCGTACCTCCAGCTGCGAAAGCCTTGGAGGCAATTGGAAAGTCGTTACAAGCACAGTACGAGAATATTTCATTACGAACAAGATATAAGCAATACCTGGATCCATCGGTCGAAGAGACCAAGAGGTTCTGCCAGTCGCTGCGGAGAAATGCCAAGGACGAACGTGTCCTACTTCATTATAACGGTCATGGGGTTCCGAAACCGACGGCATCAGGAGAGATTTGGGTCTTTAACAAGACCTTTACTCAGTATATCCCTATTTCACTGTATGACCTCCAGCACTGGCTTCAGGCGCCTACTATCTTCGTCTGGGATTGTTCTGAGGCCGGTAATATCCTGAATAATTATCACCGTTTCGTAGAGAAACACGAAGAGGAAGAAGAAGCCGCCGCCGCCGCCGATCCTAACTATGAGAAGACTAAATATCGCTCGTACCTTCATCTTGCAGCTTGTGCTGTTAAGGAGAACCTTCCTACTAATCCCCGCCTCCCAGCTGATCTCTTTACTTCGTGTCTAACAACACCCATAGAAATGGCACTATGGTTTTTCGTTTTACAAAATCCCCTTAAGACGAGTCTTACACCAGAGCGGGCTAAGAAATTGCCCGGTAGGTTACAAGAACGGAGAACGCCACTTGGCGAGCTTAACTGGATATTTACGGCAATCACCGATACTATTGCATGGACTTCCTTACCTCGACAGTTGTTCCGTAAATTCTTCAGGCAAGACCTCATGGTCGCGGCTCTCTTCCGTAATTTCATTCTAGCTCAGAGAATCATGATGGTCTATGGATGTCATCCACAGTCATATCCGGAACTACCGGATACTCACCAGCATCCTCTATGGGAAAGTTGGGATCTGGCTGTCGATTTGGCGCTGGCACAGCTTCCTATGATGGAACGAAAAGAGAACGAGGGGATTGAATACGAATACCAAAGCTCAGCCTTCTTCGCAGAGCAGTTGACTGCCTTTGAAGTCTATCTCAGCCGCGGAGATGCTATGGAGAAAAAGCCTCCCGAGCAGCTTCCCGTTGTACTTCAGGTCTTATTGAGCCAGCAGCACCGAGTACGTGCTCTCATCTTACTGGGCAAATTCTTAGATCTAGGCCCCTGGGCAGTCCACCTAGCTCTGAGCATTGGTATATTTCCCTACGTATTAAAGCTCCTGCAATCTGCCGCTGCCGAGCTAAAACCTGTTATGGTATTTATTTGGACCCGGGTTCTCGCCGTAGATGTCTCTTGCCAACCTGATCTGATCAAGGACAGCGGTTACAATTATTTCGCCTCCATACTAAGTCCATCCGAAGCACTTGCCGTCACTAATAGCGATGAGCATAAAGCGATGTGTGCCTTTGTGCTTGCAATGCTGTGTAAGGGTTATAGGCCTGGGCAATCCGTATGCAATTCGTCAAATATCATGACGTATTGTCTAATTCATCTCCGTAACGAGGAGAATGTGTTGCTACGCCAGTGGGCGTGCCTTTGCATAAGTCAACTCTGGCAGGATCTACCCGAGGCGAAATGGAGAGGCATTCGGGAGAACGCGCCCTTGAAGCTGTCTACCTTGACGAAAGATCAGGCTTGCGAAGTACGAGCTGCAGTCATCCATGCTATGACGACGTTCCTGGGCATTCCAGACCTTACGGACGAGGTAGCTAGGGTTGAGGAGTCAATAGCTTGGACGCTTCTAGATATGGCTGGTGACGGCAGTCCACTTGTCCGTAAAGAGTTGCTAGTGTTTATGTCGCACTTCGTCCTTCGCTATGAAAATAAGTTCATCGTTGCTGCTTATGAGCAGCTAGTCGAGGAGAAGGAGTACCTACACTGCCCCCCAACGGACGACGATCTAGAGCATAAAATGGGTATGCATTATGCTCGCCCGGAAAATCGCAATCCGGATGGAACGATCAAGGCCACAGCCCAAGGATTATCTTCGAACACCGTATTCGCCGCTTGTTGGAAACATGTCTTGGTATTAAGCGTAGACCCTCATCCAGAGGTTCAACGAGATGCAACGATCGTCGTTGATTACGTCCACAACGCACTTCTATCCTCGAGCGCAGGTGTCGCAGCCCGAAATCTAATGGATGACATTCAGAAGCGAACGCGACGATCACGCGGTCACAAGAGACAACCCTCTATGTCGCGAAACAGCCTAGGTGCATCTGCTTCCGATATCATTGCCCCTGAACCCTCACCTGGCCTTTTGAAACGAACTGCAAGCCTTCTATTCCAGCTGCCTAGCATGTGGACTGGAGAAGATAGATCGGTTAATCCCACGCCATTGCCTTCCCCCGGGCTTACAAGAACCTCTTCGCAACGGCAGCGACCCGGCAGCGATTGGGCTGCTCTCCCCGAGCAGATTGATCAGGCCAGCGTATCGGCACATTATAATGTGGCTGATGAGCCTGTGTCGGGAAAATTCAAAGAGCGCCGCCTCGACGAAGCGCCTTCTCTACCCCTTCCGAGCACATTCTTAGAGTGGTCTATCGAATACTTTCGCGAACCGCAGATGCACCCTAACGAGGCTGAGGAACCGGGAAGCACTGAGTACAACGAGCGCCTGTGGCGGAGATCACGAAACGAGAATATACTCCGAGAAACGCAGCCGCAGAAGCAGTATGCTGGCAGCCACAAGTGGAATAACCAGCTCTGCATTATGAACAACGGCGCCCAACCGGCAAAAATGACGTTTCACCAGTACGAAGACCACCTCGCAGTGGCTGACGATGGGAATACTGTCTACATCTGGGATTGGAAAAAGCAGACTAGACTAAACCGATTCTCGAATGGGAACCCAGAAGGCTCGAAGATCAGCGATATGACGTTTATCAACGAGGACGACACGGCGTTCTTGATGACGGGTTCGTCCGATGGTGTACTTCGGGTCTATCGTAACTACGATACCCCTAAGACGACCGAGTTAGCATCGGCCTGGAGAGCACTTACTCATATGGTCCCTAGTAATGTCAATTCTGGTATGGTGTTCGACTGGCAGCAGGTGACGGGCAATGTACTTGTTGCAGGAGATGTTCGTGTCATCCGGGTCTGGGCTGCCGCATACGAAACATGCATAATGGACATACCCGCACGCTCAGGATCTTGCGTTACCTCATTAACATCGGACCAGATGACTGGTAACATCTTTGTGGCCGGATTTGGCGACGGTGCGGTCAGAGTGTTCGATACCCGACTCCGACCGCACGAGTCAATGGTAAAGAAATGGAAGGACGATTCCGATCGACAGTGGATTAGAGACGTGCACATGCAGCGCGGAGGTCAGCGCGAGTTGCTTTCTGCGAGCCGAAACGGGAAAGTAAAGCTTTGGGACATTCGAATGGATTCATCGCTCCGCGTTATCCAAACAACTCGCGACACCATCCGCACAGCAAGCACGCACGAACATTTACCAGTATTCTCTGTGTAAGTCACTAGCCTGATGCCCTGATGCCAAATTTCAAGTTATTTATGCTAACAATATTGTAGCGGAACCTCGGGCCACACCGTAAAGGTCTTCAACTTCGACGGCAACGAACTTTCCCGCATGGAGCCCTACTCTAGCTTCTTACAACAGAATCGCGGCGCGCCCATCTCTGCCACCGCCTTCCATCCGCACCGTATGATCCTAGGCTGCGCAGCTCGCGGCGACCACCACATCAACCTCTTCACCTGTGCCAGCGAGAAGCCGGAAGCTTTCCTCAACTCGCTATAAACACACACACATACACATAACTTTCCTTTCGGCTTTCTGGCCGTAGCCATAGCCATAGCCACCACCATCCTCTTCTCACGTAGATAGAAAAGAGGACACGTTTAATGCTAGTAACGGAGTTGTAATGACCGACCATATCTTCTTTCTCTAAATCCTCCTTTCTGAATGCTTCGAGCTCCGCTCGAGTAACGACTAGAGCACCTATCTGCTCGTAACCTACAATAGAGCAGGGTAGACGAACGGATAACTTGACACGGATTAGGCACGGGGGCAGGCAGCTGTTTCAGGGCGGAGTCGGGAGGAAATCTATCGGGAAGGGTATCGTCCGCTTTTGTTTGTTTTCGCCTTTAACCCCCCTCCTCCTCCTCCTCGTCCCCCCTCCCACCCCCTTTGTTTTTCTCTTGCATTTCCTGTCCCAAGCTTGGAGGAGGGGAAAAGGTCATGTTTCCGAAACGGATGTGATTGGTCGGTTCTAGATACGATACTGTAATAAATCTCAAGTTGGAGAATTTATCCGACCTAAGCTGGTTCTCGACGTTTTACCTTAGGTTAGTTAGGTTAGGTACGTAACCTACTTTGCTTAACTTTGCCAAGTAATAATAAGCGGATATTTTTGATGGCGATTAAGTTAATGATGATGCTGCTGCTGCTGCTGCTGCTGCTGCTGGTATCCTGATATCCCACTTTCTTCGAATGTCACAAAAGAGGGAAAAACAGTAAGGGATCCCAAATATGTATGTCGTTGTAGGCTCCTTTCCATCATGTAGCCCCTGGAATCTCCCCCTAATGTTAATAGCATGACTCTCTACATTAGCTAATAAACATGTATGTTCATGCGTACCTACCTAAGCTACCTTGTACATGTGCATGCAACATGATACCTATGATGCACTCTTCCAAGGTACCTAAAGTGTGAATGTGTGAACGTGTTAATTTTGAGACAGTAATGGAACGACGACGACGACGATACAAAGCGGCTAAACAATAGGTAGAGTAAAAATAAATAAAAGGTAAAAAGCGCAAAGGTGTACGAAAACGCTATAAGGTGTAATTGCACGGCTACATCCAACCGCAAATCCTAAGAATTTTCTGTGGATACATTCAAAAGCTTCATGGCGCAGTGGAAGCGCGCCGGGCTCATAACCCGGAGGACCTCCGATCGAAACGGAGTGAAGCTAGCCTCTTCTTTTTTTTCAAGTCGTTTTTTGTCTTTTTTTTTTTTTTCTTTTTTTTTTTTTAGGTTTCCCTTCTCCCAGTCCCACAAAAGTTTGTTCTCTTAACCCAGGCCATAGTATTACTTTAGTACGAGGAATTATGTCCGTATTAATATTCATATTAATATTTATAGCTGTAAGAATACCTAAGGTACGCTGTTATTCTGATATCCCCGTGCCTCTTCGATCACGAGTTTTTGCCCTATAAACAGAAATTGGTATCCATACTGAATAAATCTTACTCCGCTAAACTCTTATTAAACGAAAATCGCTAAACCCCCCTTAAACCTACTAAAGTAGTTAGCTCTCTCCTCACATGCCCACAATGCAGCAACTAGGAATAAAAAGGGCAAATGGATAAGTACATACCCAAAAGAAAGGCCGTAGAAGTGCTTGAGACCACAGAGCTGCCCTTAATGTGATCGAGGATACCATGGCGGAGGACTGCTGGGTATAAGTTGAGATGGGGGCGTAGAGGGGCCGGGAGTATGCGGCACCTCATCCTGCGGCTCCGATTCCGGCCGGCTCCCGAGCTCAGTAGGAGTGGTTTGTTCTGTTGGTAAAGAATCGTGAAGATCCCCTCTAGAAGCGGCAAAGAATCCTCGGCCTGGTTCAGGAGCTACAGGTTGACGTATCGACTGTTTCATCGTAATTACCTCTGGTGTCTGTTGTGCAGGAGAAAGATCCGGCTGGGATGGGTCGCGAACTTTGGAAGATAGGGATTGTGTTCGATTTTGACGATGCCGTCCCGGGTGTCTTACGTTAATAGGAACTTCTCCTTGATACGAAAGGCGGATGGGCAGACTATCTATCGCCACGTTTCGAGGCGGCAACGTAGCCGAGGTAGATTCGGGAATGAGCGTATGATCACGGTTAGGGGGGAGTGGACGTAGCGGATTCTCTATCGAGGGTTCTGGGCGTTGCCTGTACGGCAAGTATTGGGATTGCCCAGGTATTGCAGTAGTCTGTCCGTGAAGCTCCGAGGATGGCTTTGATGGTCCATGATCATGCCTTTGCTCTGGGTGCAAGTTTTCCTTCCGTACTCGTCGTACTGTGTCCAGATCATTCTGCCTATTCCTGCGTCGTCTTTGTGCCTCTTGCGCTATAACCCGCCCAGCAAGTTCAAGTATGTCCCGTTGGCTAATCACTCGCGAAGGGCCCCCTGGCTCGTCTTGTACTTCATAGAAGGCCTCGTCTAAATCCTCCCCAGCCTGGTTATCTATACATTTGCAACTTTTCCATTTCGAGCCGCAATGATAGCAAAACTGGTAACCACAATGGCATCTGCACAGGCCGAGGGATGAATGTGGTAAGCATATCTTATTAAGACAACAATGGAAGTAGGATGTATGAACTCACGTAATATGGTTACATCCCTTCGTTCGGGAAATCGTATAATTACACTGTGAACATCTCTGCCAACCCTCGTGCCGGACCAAGGCCTCAAATTTGGCGTCTTTAGGCGGTCCCTTACACTCCGACTCAATAGGCTCATGTTCCTGCTCGCATTTCTGACAGGTCTTAGATTTGCATTTGTCACATGCAATGATATTGCTTCCCCTTATCGTATTTTGGGTATTGAGAATGGCCCTACATTGTTTCTGTGAGCAATATAGGAGTGGTGGTTCACGTTTCTCGCGGTCTATTTTTCGATATTCTTCCAAGATCGCGCTCGACTGTATCCATTCGACATCTTGATCTCTGAGGGTAAAGTGACAACACTTGGGTGGCCAGAGATACCTCTCGGCCAGTTTGACTTGGAGATATCTCCCAAAGCAGTCCCGACACCAGAAGCACGCGCATTGTAATTGTCGCAGATCACAGTCCGTATCGTGACAACCAACGCATCTTCTCGTGGCCAAGGGGTTTGGTAATTTACTTCGGGCTTCTTCCTCCATAGTCCGCATTTGGTTTCGTAGTAGGGGTTTCAACTCGAACTGCGATTCTTATAGGAAGTTAAGATAATTAGCGACGGGGTTTTTAGGTTAGTAAGACTGGAAGGGTGATATCTAATCGCTATAGGAATAGTTTCTATTGGAATGGTTTCCCCAAAGTAATGGGGACGGTTTATGGTAATCAAGAAGAGGTAGAAATAAAAAATAAGAATTGCATGCCAAAAGTTGGGTACCTTAGTATGCACTTGTATTTAGGGTTCCTGCCTATAGGTAGGTACCTATAAAGCTTATATTGGATGTAGGTGTTCTTCCCTTATATGCTCTGTCGTACGAAGTAGCGACCCTTCTCATTGGTCCAGATGGGACTTTAGCTACCTAAAATGGCAATGCATAGCAATGCAATGCTGGGCCACTTTACCTAGTTGTTTCTTATTAGCTACTAAGAGATAGCAAAACAACGAAACGGAATTAAACAATCTGAGTCACTGGACTATATACCTATATTAAATAATTTTGCATTTCTTATAATTTTGTTAGTTTTTCTATGAGTTGCTGGCTGTATTGAAAAGAATGGATTAAAAGATTTGAAGTACCTGTCTTTGCCTCATCACTCAGCTTTAGGCCAGTGGGTAATTCTCCCCTTGATAGAAAGGGGAAACAGCTACAACATACCCGGCTACTAGCTGTACTATCTAAAACGTTCATTCCCTCTTGCAACATATCAAAGCGAGGCAGGAGCAATTGGCCTCTGTAGGTACCTAGGTACCTAACCTAAGATAGAAGCTTCCATGAGCTCTTTTTCCCCTTAGCAACTATACAGATCATGCATTTATCGACTCATGTCAATACCTTTAGCTTTGCCTTAGTTGTTAGTCACCCAATCGAGTCATCCGGGTAGGCCCCGAGACCTCCTTACAGTGGATTAAGCAACCCCTTCCGGCCTTATCCCGTATGTTCCTTCCTCGCCGTGACGGAAAGTAGACAGGCTATGCCCTATGCCCTATGCCCTATGATAGGTCAGACGATCAGGAGACATATGAATAGTAATATCAGAAAATCCATCACTGACGAGGTGGTATGTCGAAGGCTAAGTGGTGTAGATGTTAGACATAACTTTCGCATCGTACCTTCCTCAATCTCAGCCTGCATGTAGTAGTGGTTAACTTATCGGCCTCCGACTTTTCAGTCTAGATAGCCGGGAACCCGGGTTCGAATCCCGGTGCAGGTGCTCACAATTTTTGCTGTTTTGCCATTTATTCATGGGGTGTCGTCCTTCTTTTTATGTACCTATGTAGCTAGGTACCTAGGTACATACCCCTTTTCAAGTTTCGGTACATAAAACTATTGCCATATCGAAACAGTGCACAGAGCTAATGACATGGCATTAGAAAGTATAATGCTAACGGCAAAAGGGTACTTATTACGTGAGTTCCCTAGATAAACACATGCTAACACGGCTAGAATAAATTTAGAATCATAATTCTTCTTTGAGGGGTATGGGGGGAGAACTCGATGTTAAGGACTAATCCAGAAATGTTATTAAATATGTAGGTTAGAATATTATACTCGAGGTTAATGAGGAATTTTCGTTCAATAACCCTTACCTGTATAATACGATAGGACTAAGGTAGGATCTGAAGTAGATCGTCATAAAAATACAAGCAAATCCACCCAAACATTGACGATCCTAGAATAATCACTACATCTCCAACAAAGCGAGAGGCTTATCGCGACTTGGAGAATAAGATGGTTAGCCTGCGTTCATCGTAAGCATATCCAGCATATCCTATCGTGCTATTCGTCAAACCCTAAGCCGCAAATAGAGACATGCTGCGAAATCTGCCCTTTTGGTACCGCAAAAGCAATAGTTTGATATCTCGCGATCTTACGAATAAATCCTATTAATGGCACCCTATTACCTACGAAGTTCAGCCCCTAGGTGATTGATTGATTGGAGGAGATCGCTCCATGAGGTCACCATCCTTGGGCTAAACTTGCCTATAAGCAGGGGATTCGTACAGCTGAGATGGGGCTGAAGCTGAAGCCATCTGATATAAATATATGATACTTCCTCCACCTCAATCCCCCGAGTCAAACAATCAACTAAACTAAGAGTAGCATCACTGACGACCCAACTCAAGGAAGGAAAAAGACAATATGTTGTTAACATATTTGTTGACTAGTTTCCTTCTGCTGGGGCTTCCTACCCAACCCGTTCAAAGCGAACCGATACCAGCAACCCTGACTCCTCGCGGGACACCTCTCGTCGATTTCAGCGCCGCGCGTGGTGACGACCCCAAGAAGCTTGGAAGTCTCAATCTGGAGAAGGGCAAGGGGGATAAGCCCAAGCAGAATACCAAAGACTTGTATATCAAGTTGGACAAGGATTGGAAAGGGACCAAGGCTGCACATTTCCACCACAAAGCCGGCTATCGTAGGTAAGCGGGCGCAACAATTACCCTCCAAGTAGGATTAAGGCTAATACACACATTTTGATAGAGCCGAGTACCATTCACTGAAGGGTCAGACCAAAGCTGGAACTACATATTTCATTACTTACAGTTTCGCGCTCGAGGTCAGTACAATAAGCCCGTCTCGACCCTATCTAGATTACATCAACTAGGTAAAGCCTTTCAAATCCACCAACTAATAAAAAATTTAGGAACTTCCCGACGGCCTCATCGTATTCCAGTGGAAAGAATACAAGGCCAACAACGACCACGACAAGGGCGCCAACATCCCTCTCGCCCTGGAGTTGCGGAAGAACAAGTTAGAACTCACGCATACTTCGGTCTGGGGGGAGCACGGCCGCAAGGTCCAGTGGTCGCAAGACGCCAAGCCGCGCACTATCTACAAGATCGGTCTAGAGATCGAAGCTAAAGCGAAGGACGGCCACGCGAAGCTTTGGTTCGACGGCAAGCCCGTAACGTTCGATACTACGAAGTCCCAGACGCTCACCGGAAACATGTATCCCGGCGAGAGCGATCCCAAGTTTGGCATATACGGCGGCGAGGATGTTCAGGTCGACAGTTATGTTTATCAGGTACAGATTGGTACGAGTCAGGGAGACGTTGACCAGAGTTATTTTGGCAAGTAAGGGGTATGGAGGCCTGGGGAATATGGTGAACTATGTAGATGGAGGAATATGTCTTATCTTCCCCTATTTTTTTATTAAAAAAAATATCTTTTTTCTTACACGGCTACCTAAGCAACCAGGATAACGTCGTATAGCTCATGTTTCCTAGCAGTCCTTCTCGGGACGACTCCCTTTACTGTCGCTACGAATAGACGTTCGTTAAATCAAGTCGACCGATAATAAAACAGCACTGCCATCCTATATTATCCTGTTTCATCACCGTAATTAATACGAATATAATACTCATTTGAACAAGGATATAAAAGCCTAACTATTCAAACAACTAGCTATACATAACTGCCTATGTTTCTTGTTAACTGAACAGATGTTTGTATAAGCTTATTAGCATAACTCTGTTCTGCTCAAGATAGTAGGTTAACTACCCGCGTAAAATATTCAACTCCTAGGAGTTCCATCCCTGAATCTGGGGCTGCTAGCTACATACATACGTAGTAAGCTCGCAACCCCCTTGCCATCCCCCCCTGCCTACATCTCGGGAAGCCGTACCAGGCAGCAGTTTTTCTTGATTTAGCATTAACATTACATTACATTACATTCCATAGACGTGCAGCTATTAAGCGCCACTAGTCCGCGTCAGGACCTCCGTATTACTCAGCTCGAGCCGCCGGCTCCGACCGGCCTCGGAATCACGATCCCTTGGCGACCTTCGCATCATCTACGCTTAACACGTACCTCAGCTAGTTATCACAGTACATATACCTACTTGGGTATCTAAGTCCAATTTGGTTCTTTTTCGATAATATGACTCTCCAGTTGCGATCCTCAGGCTGGAATATCCTTTGCTCCTCGTATCACTGAAACCAGAATCATTCGGCTATCTTTTAGTCCCATACGAAATACCCTCCTTTCCAATATACTTACTTACCCCTACACCATAGCCTACCCCAGCCATGTCGCCCCAGGCCTCCACCTCCATCCGCGGCCCCCCAACCCGCTTCGCAGTGGCGCTGTACCCGGGCTTCCAAGCGCTGGACGTGTTCGGTCCTCTCGACATCCTCAACATGTTGTCCAAGATCCGCCCTCTATCCCTACAAGTCTTATCCGCAACGCTTGACCCGGTCCTGACGCAGACTTCGTCCTCGGGCCACTCTACGGGCCAATCTGTCGTGCCCACGCGCACCTATGCTGATAGCGTCGACGACACCGAAGTCCTGCTCGTCCCGGGCGGCTTCGGCTCTCGCGATCCCGCCAACGTGGCACCTGTCGTCGAGTACGTGCGCGCGGCGTACCCGCGCCTCAGGTACCTATTGACGGTGTGCACGGGCAGCGCCGTGGTAGCCACGTCAGGTGTATTAGACGGGCGGCGCGCGACCTCGAACAAGATTGCGTGGGAGTGGGTTCGTTGTTCCCTTTTTCCTTTTTCCTTTCTTCTTCTTCCTCTTCCTCAGCACCTCTACATACCTACGTTTCAGATTTTTTTTTTCCCTCAGCCCCCTTTTCCCATCCCCACCTACCCTACCCTACCCCCCTAGTCGTATGTAAGCGTGGTAATTAACGGAACTCGGTGGGCGACAAAAGGCCACGGCGCAGGGCCCGCGCGTGAACTGGGTGCGCCAGGCGCGCTGGGTGACGGACGGCAATATCTGGACGTCGTCGGGCGTCTCGGCGGGCATCGACATGATGTACGCCTTCGTCGCGGATCAGTACGGCGAGGACATCGCGCAGACTCTGGCTGATCGGGCTGAGTATATCCGGAACACGGACCCGGACTTTGATCCATTTGCCGAAAAAGCGGAGAACAGGGCTGCGAAGTAAGGGGCTATTTGTAGGAATACCTACCTACCTATGTATAGTTCCGTCTGTGCTTGCGCTTGGGACTGGTAAGACGGACGGGTGGGACGGCGAAGAGTCCATGTAAGGGATGCATGATACTATATCAAATACGAAGTATGCCTACCTAAGCAATGAATATAGTTTAGCCTATCGATCCATCACAAGACCTTCTGCTCGTCTATTAAGTGAATTTATTACATTACTATCTGCAGCTATGTTTCTAGCCTAGGGAGCGTATCGATTCTAGCAGAGTCGCCACTCAAGTTTCTTGAATTTTTATCACTTGGTCTCTAGCAACCTTAGACTGGGTATAGACACTCATACTATTCCTTAAGACTTGGCCTATAGCGACATAAATTTTAGTTCTGAATATATGAGCGTAATTTGAAGTAGGTATCCGGCCTTATGCCCCTTAGGCATGTGGATTTACAAGCGCAAGTAGCCTACGAGTGGATGTCTTCTATATTATACCGACCCTTAAGGATCATTGCAATAGCTTATCCAGGATACTCCAGCCTATTACTTAAAGAAAGAGTAGCATAATAATTTGGATTAGCTGCTTGAAGCCATGGTATTGAAAATGAAGTTACGGCGCTGGCTCCCCAAGAATATGATGGTACATTTTCAGGTCATCTTAGTAGATAGACTAAGCAATCTGCCATGCGCGATTCCGTGATATCGTACGATGGTATTAAGGTAGGTACCTTAGATATAGTTATAGTTCCGAGCTGCGTAGGGTTCGAAAACTGGGACAAGTAGCAACAGCCACGTCAAGTCAATAGGTAGGTAGTTATCTCAACAAGATCTAATCTAGATCCGAAGCGGAAGTATGATCAGTGTGACGACTAATCGAACACCAGTAAAGCATTCTGATGCTGCTATATTACCTAGTATAGACTTTCCGAATGAAATTGAGCCGGCTAACGGAGGACAGAGATTATCGTGCTATATTAGAAATATCTCGTGTAATAATAATAGGTATTGCATAGACTTGGAGTTCCTCAGGTTTTTCTATTGATATCGTATATATTTATAGGAGCGGTAAAAATTACCATTCCATATACGCAGTAGTTCTCGTCGCAAATCGAGAGCTCCGTATATGACTCGCTGGCTACCTGTCTTGTGGCACTTACCTACACAACGGGACTCCGATCGAAATAATACTCGGGTCCGTGTGCGCTATGCTGTGTATTCATAAGCTACGAAAATGACCTCGCGCCGATACCAACTTTTTGCTTCTTCAATAGGTATTCATGATTATAGGTAGGTACGATATTCGTTTTCCTCAATCTTAAACGAAACTCGCATCCTATTGCATTATGCGGCGGGCGGCAGCGTAGCCCCTGGTTGACCATATATGGTAGATATAGATGACTGTCCGGGATTGTTTGCGTATAGATAATTGTGTTGTTCTAACCGAACCAGTACAATTAGTGGCCTGTTACTCTTTGCTTCCTTTTACCGGGCGGTAACAGGTTATAAACACGCGGGGGACGAGATGGTAGATATCTAATGGGTCGCATTATCGTTACTGGCTGCTAGAGCTTATCTGCGATAATATGGTTCGAGTATGAGAAAAACTGGCAGACTACCTAATTGGATAGCGATCCGGCATCGTCGGGGGTGCGGCGGATAGACGCATGTCACAAGGATTTCCCGACTTAGCCACCTCGGATCTCGGGTCTGCGGTCTAGAATCCGAACCCGAACTAGTCATAGTGCCTCGTTTCCAGATGCCATAATGTCGGGTCAGCATGCTATGCCTAGGATGGCAGGAGCAAAATTTCTTTTTGTGATAATCTCGCGTTTGTATCCAGGCGATGTATGTGGCTAGATTTCGATATGTCGGCATGTTCTCCAAGGAGGCGACCGAAGATCGTATCGACATTGTTCCTGATTTTCCTAGCATTAGGTACTGGAGTTGGAAATGGCCCTGTAAATTGTCGATCTGATGGAACCCAAGTCTTTTGGATAGTGTAAGGCTGGAGACCCTGGTTACAAAAGCAGGTTTTGTGATCCCTGCCAATGCATTCAGATTCGATGTTTTCTGCGAGTTGCCACGATAGCTCATCTTGGCATATAGAATCAGAACTGAATTCTGACTTGAACCAGAACTGCAGTTCTTTAGCATAACGTATAACGTATCATTGTAATTTACAAGTGGTCAAGGATTGACATATAAATACGGTTGGTTGGTTGCCAGCTATCCACGTGAGATTTCATGGAGGTGACGGGTTGCAGACTCCTTCGCGCTTCAGAAGACGAGTCTACTCGTATCTCGCATGTAGACACACAGACACACAGACACACGCGTCAGGTCGGAGACGCTATAAGCGGCTCGTTGCAGTCCCGAATGATTTTCTTATGTACAGTACAATACCTACCAGCGGTAGACAGGTACAATACATACAGCACCTAACCTCATCGAGAAGGGCTTGTTGATTAGCGGTGGCATTTTTGGGACTGGGGCCGAGCCGCGGCAGAGTACTGTACGTTGTGTATGTACAATGGCAGAATGGCTCTCTTCCCTGAAGGATTGGCGATGCTAGGATGCATTTGATTTGAGGTTAATACTACTAGATCTCTCCTTCTTTGGGTTCCTGGCTATGCGATTGGTTCGGAGGATTTCTCCCGTGCATTAATTGGCTGACCGATATCCTTCGCATCTGGGGAAGATAAAAACTGTATCGAGTATCAACAGCGGTGAGGAATGCTGTTACCTGGTTCGTCTATTAGCTATCTTCTTTTCTTTTACTACTTGAAATATTTGCTGAAGGAGTAACGGATGGCGTCGAATCGAATTTGGGCATAGGGCAGAAAATGAGTTCGTTATCACTAAAAAGTTCGTATTGCCGCGTGGAAGACGGCAGTTCTAGAATCCTATTGGAGACTGGAGTACGTGGAAATGCAAGGGCAGATCCCTCGCTGTATCGACGTGGCCGAGATGTTATCAATATTGATCATACGCATGTAGCCATGCTGCCATGGCATAATTGAAAACGCCACCAGCATTTTCGACTAGGCTCGATGGACTTCGCGATGACTGGTGGAGCTTCCTTATTACCTGATCATAGTAGAAATTTGAAGTAGTATGAAGCATTGAGGTGAGGAAGATGGTCGGTGCAATCAATGAAGAATCGCGATTTCAATTGTTGGGTTGTAAGAGGTATACATGAGTACAAATGTACTTCGTACCTACCTGCTCGCGTAGAGTTCTATCTAAGGCTGCTGGTCTGCTGCAGGTGCATCACGCCAAGAATCTTTTTTTTCTCTTTAGGCATATAAAAACCAAAAGCTATAGTGGAGCCAAAAGCTCTTAAAATAAATGTTTACCTAGTGGGCCGTCCTCTTAGGCTTGTACTCCATGAGAGGTATCTGTAAATTTTACATTGTAATTGGACATACCCTTGTATATACTAGAGAGGTATAATAATCGTGTGCAACATGACAAAAATACCACCTCGCATCTCAACGCGTAAAGACATCCCACTTATTGAGACGACAAGAACGGGTACTTTTCATCAAATTACGTCATTACCGTAGTGATACTTGTTTGGACCGGATTCAGCCGTCAGGAGAAACTTTATTTACAGTGCCGGTAACTGCTAGTAACTGGGCAGTTTGAACTTGTTACGTCAATTTAGTACACTGCGGCTAGACTTAAAGGGGGTTAATGAGGTAATCTTTTACAAATAAAGGAAGGGAGTCGCGGTATCATTATCAAGCAGGTAGCTGACAAAGGTTAGGTACGCGTTATATTTTGGGCTCTATTTTTGCGTGAGCTTTGAGATTTTCGATTGCATGTAGGTAATGACTATCACTTACCGTCAGATCGGTGTGGGTTTTATATCTTTAAAAGTGCATCATCATATATACCTCATGAGTTAGATAATCGTTGCTGCTTTGCTATTTAGTGTATGTATACTCTTTTACATTACTATGTATGTACATATAGTGTAAGCTTGAGATCGAAGAATTAAGATGAAATGCGATGCCAGCAATTCCGTACTTTTAATTTCCGTTTTCAAGTTTTTGAGGCCTGCTACCCCTGCTTTTACTGCGAATTGTGCTTCCTAGCCGCTGAAAGGAATCACTCCTTGTAAGTATTCAATTAGCAGCATGTAATTAATTTATACCGCTGATAGGTGGCTGCTATGTGTGCATACCTACCTCATATATTAGTACGTTACTTTACTTTAACATCGGTACATAGATGTTCACCATGCAAAAGATTTAAAGGGTTATTGTTAATATTTACTTGGTTATTATTTGCTTGCAGAGGGTTTAAGTATAAAAGGCTCTACTTTATTAACCGATGCATTGTATAATACTTATGTTGTCGCGCAAACTTAAAATATCCAATGTTGTTAACTTCAATCAATAAGCGTTATGGAACGGGATGACTTATCGAGATGGACGGTAGGATGGGTCAAATCGCATGGATTAACGGCTGCATGTGAGAAGTAGTATGGATTATACTTAATTTGGAAGAACCTGCCTTTGTTTATACATAGTAGGTTATCTCAACTTTCGATTCCGTACCAATTATAAGTGGTTTATTATTTTATTATGTATATTTTAATGTTTTTAATATATTACACATATTTTAACGGGAAATATAAGGACTTTATAAGGTTTACGTAAGCTTTATATTTTAAGTAACTTTTATTAAATTTAAAATTTTATAATAAATTATAATTTTAATATAAAACATTTAAGCCTTATAAATTAAATAAGTTTTATAAGTAATTTATTATAAATACCTTATAAATTATTTTTTAAAGTTATTATAAATAATTTATTAAATTAATTAAAAATAAATGTTTAAACCGTTTATATAACTTATAATTTAATTACGGTTACGCGTATACGAATATAACCGTAATAATTCGTACGGTCGTAAAAAAATAAAAATATAAATTTAATTATTATATTAATACTTTATAATTACTTGTATTTAAAGTTATTTTAAAACGTTTATAAGTATTTATTTATTATAAAAAACATGTTAAATTATTAAGTTAAATACGAGATTATTATTATTACGTAAGTTAAAATTATTATTATTACGTAAGTATTATATCATTTAATTATAAAAGTAATTAATTATAAGTTTACGAAATTATGTATTACGTAATAATTATTGTTTTAATATTAAAATATATATTTTACGTTTATCGTATAAAAAGGTATTTAATTAAATTATATAACTTTAAAAGAATTAAAAGATTATAAGCGTTATTTATTAATAAAAGTGGTAATATAACGATTTTAAGTGGTTTTAATGGCTTTAAGTGGTTATAATGGCCTTAAGCATTAATATCATTAAAACCTGCTGTAATGAAATAACAGTGGTTATAAGGGAAAATAATGTTAGAATGCCCTATATTCCAGTCGGATATATCCTTCTACTAAATTTGTATGGGAATATACATCCACTTATAAACCTTGCAGGAAAATTAACCCTTGCAGGATTGCTAACCCTTGCATAAGGCTTGTCACTGTAGTTAGGCCTGTACAAGGCATACGCAAGACTTATAAGTTTGCTATAATTCCCGCTAAGGTACATACATATGCATGCATGCAAGTAAGTGTAAAGTCCTGCAGTTCTGTTCTCGAGAAGAGCTTGTTGCTCATAAGTAATAAGAAAACCTCGTTCAACTAACTTAGGTGCATTTTTAAGGCTGAGTTGGCAGTGGACAATTGCTTAGATGAGACAAGCTTGTAATCTTGTCTCAACAGCCACCGAAACTAGTCTTATTCGAAAACGCTGTGTCTAGGTTGTCTAGTTATAGGTATACATAGTACTCAACACGCGAGCGGTGTCTCGTCGGAAATAAGCAGAGTTGTAACTACGAATAACTGAAGTGCATATTCGAAGTTCCCTGGTTCCCCGTATATACTCAGCCCAGCTTGAAAATTTGCGTCCTGTGCCTGTGCGCTTCGAGACGAGCGCGTGTCAATATATAGTTCGGTCATCATGACAGAATACGAAGAACCAACCCAGCAATTCATCTGCAGTTAAAAGGAGAGCACCCCACGATACATATGCATGTACTAATGTATGTACGTAGTCTTTACACGAATCCCTCCGTACAGTATGAAGACGGAGTGGACGCTAATAGATTGCACAGCCTCATCGTCCCAAGCATTGATATGTCCCGCACATACCAACAACGTTCGATATTGCTATCCGATGGCTGTTTAGCTATGTAAGGTCCGGCACATCCTCATTCTAGAATGATAGCACACACAGCGATCACAGCGCCTCTTACTCCTTTTGCAGACCTATTGATGCATCAATAACTGCAGTGATAGGGGTTGACCGGTTGACCTACATACATGCTCCATGTATGCCAAATTTGTTGTAGGTATAGATAAGCATCAGATGTTTGGCGTTGGTTTGTCTATTCTTTAATTTTGATTCTTTGTAATCGAAAGACGATTTGATCTTAACTACATTACCTAATAATGTGGATTGACTTGCCGTACATACCTGCATCTAGACTGCCAGATATGTAGAAAGAACGATTTGAGAATAATATGCCTGTTAGGTTACCTAACATAGGTACATGTAATTGGTACATGTAGGCATGGAATGAATGGCGGGTGTGTCTAGACATACCTGTGGATGGCAGGAAGGACAAGCCTCGCACAGTGCGTGCAGGTAAGGTACCTAACACATATTGATTATGAGGTCGTTTTAAATATACAGGTCTGTACTTAGGTCCCTACCCTCACTATCGGAAGCCCGAGAAGAAGTCCGCCACGTCGGTCTGTCATTGGCTTCTTGTACCTTTCGGTTTTGATTCAATGTTTCCACTGAACCTGATGATATGTTTTTGTTTTTTCCCTTCCAGCTTCAAATTCAATCAAACCCATCAAAAAACAAAAAGGGACTGATTACTGTATTAGTCCAGCTTAATCCCAATTTTCTCAGGCATCCCGAATTTCTATCGCTTCATTGGAATTCAAATTGGCATCATTGGCATTGGTCTTAAGCTTTGTTCAACCAATCTGGTAGATCTCGAAATTCTTTTATCCCCTAACTCATCAAGGTGGGTAAGCAGGTTTCTTTTCTTGGAAAAGCGTCCCGAGTTGCTAGGGAGCTTACCTAGGACCACGGAATAGGGAGTTTAGTGCTGGCTCCGTCGAAGCCGCCAACACCGACCGACCGTTTCTACATACATACACTACAACCTTGCGAAGCTTTTGCTTACTTAATACCTAGGTAACACTACCAGCACTACAGTACCTCTCATCAGCTCATCCAGCATCACCTTAGGTACGTCTATGTACAATATTGTACTACATATGTACCTAAAAGTCCTTATGCACATACGTAACGCTGCTGTCAACCCTCTTATCCACTTACACGCCCTGTACACGTACATCCCGGTCTGTCATGGGTGGTACTTACACATAACCAGCAGTTTACACTAGATAGCTGGCCTAGACCATTTTCGACATTGTCCACCCTCCCGAATCAACGCTACCTGCGCTACGCCCCTCCCGCAGCCTTTTTCTACGCAGTACCGGTCCGTCTAGTGTACCTGTTAGGCAACTTTCTGGCTTCTTACTGGGTAATACTGGATACCCTTTCGTTGCCTTCGGTTTCTTCCTTGACTTTCTGCCCTGCTTTTTTTCCTACTCTTCCCAAATCGTCTACGCTATTCTCTCTATTCTTGCTGGACACGCACCTCGCATCGGCATCCCGCTGTTCGTCCAACCATCATTCGACTACGCTGAACTATCCACAAAGGGGCCCGCTAGAAGTCGTTGCGTCCGTTCGTTAATTTTTCGTCCTTTTTCTTGATGCTCTCGAGAAGCTAAACCTCCATCATAATCTCTTTCCCCCCCACTAGTCCTACGTTTGACCGTCCATTCCGACCCGCTCCTCGTCTTGTTCTTATCCTCACCATCCCACGACCTGTACTCAGGCCGTTACGCTCGTTACTGTTCGATATTTGGCTTTCTTGGGCATTTTACTTAATCGTTGTGGATCGGCATCTCTGGAGAAAAAAAGAAATACCTAGGGCAAATCCTGCAAGCCTACCGAGTGAAGACTAGGGTTAAATTAGACGCTATCGAATCGTTGTGTATCAGTCTAGCGGCCGCTTGGAATGGGCCAGTGAGTCCCAAAACGACAAGCCCGATCTGCGCCAATACATTCACTTCCCGCAGCCAAAATCCTCAGCTGGTCACCGAAACGGCAAAGGCTGTAGAACTCGTCAGTGTTGTAAATTGGGAAAGATAAAAAGCCGGTTTTCAGGGACGTGAGACAGCTATTGCGAGCCGTTGTACCCACGTTGTGACCGGGTTCGTAATTGTAATACAAACGCTACCTTGGCTCGTCCCGACACCATCGTGAGTACGCCCGCACGATACACAGGCACAGAGACATAAGGAATTCCAGAGGGTAGTATAACCCGCTAGTCCGCTGGGTGTCTCCATTATGGCTCCAGTAGCGCCGCGCCTCAAGATCCTCTCAGGTTCGTCGATTTCCAATTCTGTAACCTACATTCCCAACTTTGACTTCACATTACATCGCGAAGGAGATTTCTGTTTTTCTTCGTACCACTGTTACCGGAAGAGGCGGAAAACCTCCCGCTCTTTTGCTTTCATTTGTGTCTTGTTCCTTCAATTGCCTATTACGCTCGTTCTCCCTTCCACACTACTTCGAGGGCAAGGCGCGCTGGCATACGCCTAGAGCCGCTTGCGACATCTCGTCATGGCTGACAGTGAGCTAATGAGAATATGTTCAGTGGGTGGAAATGCCGTCTCTGCCTTCCTGTCCTGGAGGCTTCAGGCTACCAATGCGTGTGACGTAACGCTCGTTTGGAAGTCAGGCTACGAGAGCGTCAGCCAATATGGTATCTCTTTCAAGTCTGGGTCATTCGGTAACGAGCGGTTCAAACCTCGACGTGGTAAGTAAAAGTGTATTATTCTCTGGAAGCCCGACTGCCCAGCTAACGTACTTGTTCAGTCGTCCGAACGCCGGAGGACGCCACACATAATAAAGAGGGCGCATTCGACTATGTTATCCTCTGTATCAAGGCCCTCCCGGATGTTTACGACCTCGCCTCGGTAATTGACGCCGTTGTCACCCCTCAACATACCTGTATCCTGGTCAATACGACACATACCCTCGGAGTCGAAGCTGCTCTTGAGGAAAGGTTCCCCACAAATGTTGTCTTGTCGCTCGTTTCGAATGCCGAATTGACCCAGTTGGGATCAAGCGAATTTGAGCATAGTGGTTCAACTGAGATCTGGGTTGGTCCAGCAAATAAGAATGGCAGCATTCCCGCAGCAATACAAGATGACATGGCACAAGCACTTGCTCTGACTTTGAGCTCAGGCCGCGTCGACTGTAAGGTTTCTAGTAACATAAGACAGCAGCAATTTGAACGAGTTATCGGGTAGGTTACTAATATCCAGTCGACCTTGTTTAATCGTTTGCTAATGTATTAGCCCTATTGCTTTCCATCCGGCCAGCGTTATTTTCGAAACACCTTCCCATACGGCTCTTTTAGAAAAGACTGGCGTGAGGCAACTAATTTCCGATGTAATTGATGAGCTTATTACTCTTGCTACCGCGCAAGGGTGTACGCTCGATGCTAAATTCAAGGAAAACACTATTAAGGAACAGTGTGAACTTTCGGATAACCCAAGCATAATGTGGCAGGATTATGTTGCTCGGCGGCCTATGGAAGTCGAGACATTCCTCGGCTCACCAATCAAATTGGCCCAAAGCTCGGGAGTGAAGTTGCCACGGATTGAGACGCTCTACGCTATTTTCCATAACCTGAACATCGTCAACCAGTCCAGACCTAAGGAGATTAATGGACTACCAGCTGCTTCTGGTTCGCCAACCGGCGCGTCACCGATGCCTCGCATGTCCTCGAGCCAACCGCCTCGCCCTGTTATTAACGGCCCTCCGAACGGAAACGGTATGCCGATGCCCAGGTCCAGACCCAGGAACTCGTCCAATCTTAGTGGACCACCTCCGAATATGCGCCGACCTCCGCCTATGAACGGTGGCCCTCCAAATGGGCACAGACCTCCGATGAACGGCGCGCCGCCGAACGGGCATCCTCAGTCGCGGCAACCGTCGAGGCGCGGCTCTTTTGACGACACCGCTGATCTTGGAGAGTTTAGCCACTTAGTTGTCTATGAGGATTCGGCTGATGCTGGTGCTGGCGATGGCGGATACAATGCTGACACTTCAGATATCACTCTTCGTGAAAGGGAACTCCAATTACGACAGCGCGAGTTGGCGTTGAAGGAACAGGAAATGCGTATGCGACGCGGTGGTCCACCACCGGCTGGCGGTAGAAGGCGCGCTGCTCCTCCTGTTCGTAGTGGAGGCGGCGTATACGACGATGAGGACGAGGAGGACGACTATTTCGACCCGAACTCGGGCCCACCTGCCCCCATGATTGACCCTGACAATTTCGATATGATGAGCGTCACATCTAGGAAAAATCGCAGTAGGCCTGCTCCGAACCAAAGCGAAATGCGAATGAACCCTGAAGGCCCTGGGGGAGGAGCACCGTCCCGTGGAAGTAGATGGAGACCGGCATTTGGCAGAAACCGTTCTAGTCAAATCATGAATGCTGTGCCGGGCCTCCATGACAATATTCTTGACGATCCGCTGATGAACTTCACGTCGAACCGATATGGTAATGTCGATCGGGGACAGATGCAGGCGGGATCCAGAGCCAACTCTTTAACGGCATCGCATTTACATGATTTTCAAAACGGAGCCAACGGTATGAGCGGACCTTTTCCTAGACGTGCTAGCCAATCTCCAGGGAACCCGTATAGCCCTTCAATTCGAGGCGGCAATGGACGACCTTCACCTCCCAACGGGTTTGGAGCACCTGGTCCTAATGGACGCCCGTCGCCTCCAGACGGTGTGCGCCAGCCAGTTCCTCGGTATCCTCCCGGTCAAGGGAACATGGTCGCGCCACAACAAGTTGAACAACATGTCGGGGTGAGCTCTCTCCAACCACCAATTACGAAGACAACAAGAAGTCTGACCGGCAGTGCGAGTGCTAGCGCGGAGAGTGGTGAATCCACGAATCTAGGTTCCGAACCATCCGCTCACAGCAGTCAAAGTAGTCTCGGACCCCGACCTCCCATTGGAGTCCGCTGAAAAGCTCGAGTACGACGATGCAAAGCCGATGCTAGGCTGGTAGGCGGACCTCTGTCTCGCTATTGTCGATACATTGCGATTTTCTTTTTTCGGGTTAATTTGCATGTTTGCCCGATATTTTTTTGTAGGTAGGTAAGCTGCTGTTCCCACGGCGGCATTAGGGTTGTCGAGTTCGTCTCATTCAGATCATGGCGCATTCGATAAGGTTAGATGGAATTGGCTTGGATTACAACATAACGATGCACACATAATTCTATTCGTCTCGGCAGGGGAAAATTCACGTACATAAGCATTTTTGGAAGGTCGAAGCAGTGGCTATTCATCTTCGGTAATATTGCATTGGGATGCGGGGTCTGTCACCTTTCGGAACACATATATTTCTATCAATTTTCCTCTCTACGCAATGATTTCCCAACTTTCACTCACCGACCCGATGCCCAGCGTCTTTACACTCGCCCCCGCCACGTTTTAGCTCATCCCGGAAGTGTCGATAGCCCCGAAGACACCTCGGAGAAAAACTTGGAAGGTGTGCGGTGGATATCGGCTGGGTAAAAAAGACATAATGGGAATGCATATAAAACTCTCGTCTGCTGTCCTCGAGCGCCCATCTGCTTGGCCTTGATGTATCGTGGCTCGGCTAACCCCTTTGGCGACGCGTAATTAAGACGGACGCCCTTCCTAGTATCAACGCCGTTATCAACGCCATTTGCGGAACAGATACCTATAGTCTAAGTCGATTATCCTATAGGGGCGGTCGTTCAAGACACAAGGGAGGGAATACTGGTGCAGTTCGGGTTGGAAGAAGAAGGCGTTGGTATTATGACCATACATTACACAAAGGACTTGCTCTCTCTTTTATTTGTCGGTTTCTGTCTGGATTTTAATATTGTAAAGACTGGCGAGGCGCGGGCCTGGAAATGGGACAGGCCTCGGAGTTGTCAGTGAAGATAAGAAAGAAATAGTGAAGGTCGAGAAGGTCGTGTCAAGAATTAGACAAGAGCCATCGTAATGTGATGCGACTCTTAGGAGCTAGGCTTAATTAACAAGGACCGATTATTCGCGACATTGCAAATTCGAAAAGTCGATGGCAATGTGGAGTGGACTGGCTCATACATAAAGATGATAATTCTAATTATTCTAGTGTCGAATATAAAATCCTAAAATCCTAGTGAATGAGATGACGTCGTCAAGCGGGCCTACTATGTACATACCTAAATGTTACTGTCGTACTTTTCTGTGATATGCAGCAAAATTAGGATAGGGCTACAGCTCTTTTAGCTCAGGGGTCCGCTATCACCGTAACGTCGGGATCGCATGGGCAAGGACCACTTTTATAAGGTCTGAAAATAGCAGCGCCACAAGACACCCCGCACAACTTTAAATCACGCGTAACCAGACGCGTTATTGGATGTGGGGGGGAAGAAGGGGGGCAATAGACTAGAGACAAAGTTGACTTCGTTGCAGGTGCGATCTATCAGTTGATGACAAACATTTATTTATATTTATATTTTCTATCCCTATCGGATAGTTACCTAGGTACTTAACACACGTACCTCTTAATTCCTTAACGTGTGATTTGTTTGAAGACCCGCCTCTCTCCTATTTCCCCCACCCACTTTTCGCACGAGTTGCTTTGTTATTTGATTGATACAAGCAACGCAATATAACAAAAGACGCCAACATGACTTCTAGAGGCGGAAACTCAGATCGTACAATCATTATGCAAGGCTCAGGGTCAGCAGCGGCGAGGCCTTCCATGGCGCCACAGAGCTCTAGCTCTGGCGGCGTGGTCAAAACGCGGCAACTGGTATGTTAAGTGATAGTTATCGTAATTGTTCTAGAATAAGAATGCTAATATATATGTTTTTGTGAGTATGTAGACGCATCTCCACTCGCAACTAGCGCAGCTCTCGGCGAACTTGGCGGATACGGAGAACCTCCTGCGTATGACGAGCGTGCAGGCAGAGGCTATGAGAGGTCTGGGTAGTTGGCATGGTGGACTGTGAGTTCCCCCCCTTTGTCTCATTTCCTCTCCTGTGTTTCGTTTTCTATTCTATTATATATATAAGTCTCTTATGAAAAATGAAAAACCGAGCGACGGTGTGTGAAAAGGATGATGCTGATTAACCTGGCAAACGACAGATTCATGGCTGCGAGCAAGGTGCTAGGAGAAGAATCGGTCAAGGAGCAACAGCCCGGAGGGAATCAAAAATAACTAGCCCAGATATCTTGTATCAGTTTAGGCTGGCGAATGGCCCGACGCTTTTTGGGTCTGCACTTCTCTGGGTAGCGTATGTGAGTTATTTCTACACGCAATGGCTACGCCGCCCTTCGTCGTGTCTAGAGACGGGACCTAGAGATTACGTATAAGGGCTTTCTGTAGCTATGTACCTAGTCTTGGGGATGATGTCGTGCATGTAGCCTCGACGACACCTTTAGGTACTTACTTGGTAAGACTACCTAGGTTTCCAACGACGCAAGTATTAAACTAGATGTCTAGTTGTTAGCCGTGTAGTTACAGGGTCGAGAACTTCACCGAGCAATCGGGCCTCTGGATAGTTATCTCAACTAGCTTAATTAGGTGCAATTTATTTGATATTTGTGAATATAGTGAACGTTGAAGTTGGAAGACAACAGACGCTACTAAGTTTAAACAATATCTCCACTTAAAAAGAAGGCAATATAACTCTACGGTAAACGGCCGTAATAAGACACATTGTACTGTGTAAAATATCTTACACGACGTATAGTCATTACTTACTTACTACCTGGGTATTATATACGCCGCCACATAAGTAAATACCGAGATATTGATTACAATTGGATTAGAAATGCTTTTACAAAGCTGTCGGGAACGATTGCTCAGCACGGACGGTATTCAGCCCGGGTCGGTGGGTTTGGCGCGTAATATCACCAACTTCATCGGCATGGTTTAAAAAGAAGCACGCCTGCCTACAAAATCGATGCGGCATCATTCCTCTCAAGTCGACTTACATCGTTCCATTATGGCACAGACTATCGTTCTTATTTCAGGTGCGAACCGGGGTCTAGGCGAGGGCCTGGCCAAGCGTTACTTAGCACAGCCGAACCACATCGTAATCGCCGCCAACCGGAACCCGAGGCATCCGACGTCGAAAGCGCTCGCCGATCTACCTAAGGGGGAGGGTAGCAACTTAATTGTTGTCAAACTCGACGCCACAGTCGAGCAGGATGCTTTTGACGCCGTTAAGACTCTCCAGGAGTCGCACGGGATCCATCATCTCGATATCGTCATCGCCAATGCCGGCGTTTCTTTCGTCTGGCCGGCTGTCAAAGATATCAAGATTAGCGACCTCCGAGCGCATATCGAACCTAACGTTTATGGTGTCGTGACTCTGTACCAGGCTACGCGCCCGCTGCTGCAGAAGTCTTCCCGCGAGCCCATCTTTACACCCATCGGGTCCTCGGCCGGATTTATAGGGTGAGCCAGCCTCCTTTACAGAGAGTACCTAGAAATGAACATGGGACTTGTGTGGCTATTATTATAAGCGTGGGATTCTTGGGTGCTAACTAACACCGGGTGCAAGCAGGAAACAACCACCCATCCCTAACGCGGCGTACGGGCCCTCGAAGGCGGCGCTGCACTGGTTCGCCGTCCGAATCAACGCCGAGGACGACTGGCTTAATGCCTTCGTTACGAGCCCCGGATGGGTCCAGACCGAACTCGGGAATGCAGGCGCGCGCGGCCTAGGGATCGAGCAAGCCCCGCTGGGAGTCGACGAGTCCTGCGACGGTATGATGCGTATGCTTGCGATATCCACCAAGGCAGAGCATGGCGGAAAGATGGTGTCGTATGATGGGGAAGTCACATCAGAGTGGTAGGTAAACCGGGCTGTAAGAGTGGGCTATGTATGTTCCCGAGTCTGAAGCGTGGGTGGGACTTGAGGATATCTATTTGTGTTGCTATTAGGTTGAAGCCAGGATTAAGACGGCAAGGTTGGGATACCCCTCCAAAGGGTTTAGATATTTCTTTTGACGTACAATAGGAAGTCCCAATACCATTGCTCCGGTATCCTTTCCGCGTAAAGCTCGAGTTTTCATTGGCTGGCTAGTTCCATAAATTCCATTCCCGGTAAGCCGGTAAGGCCTAAAATAGTATTATTAAAGCAGGCATGTTTAGTCCATTAAGAATGTATCCGCGTATAGAGAGTCTTCTCATTGGTTGGTTCCTGAACACAGGAATAATACATCTGCTTGTGTACACGATGGAATGGAATTGGTGTAACTAAACATCGATAATTGGCATGTGGCAGCGCGGGTATAACCTAGATCGCCTTGTTGCCGAGTTCACGTTCTCCATAGTTTGTTAACTAGAATAACTACGCGTATAGCCGTTTGTATGGAGGCTCTTACGGATAGGCAAATGACAACGGCCTTAGAGAAGGGATTGATTTATATAGAAGCTCTGCTGCTCTGTAAGTACATGATGACCCCTAGATTTTGTCTTGACCATATTGAGACGTTCAGTATACATTAAGAGGTACGTAGCAGATAGATGTTGAATATCTGGAAAGCGCCCTAGATTCAAGGAACGTTCCCCTAAAGCCCACCATGGCTAAACTCGAACCGTACATACGTCGGTGACTACTACCTATGACAATATGTCTCCTCGCTAGCGCCCGCCAGCCATCATCTTCGCCATGCTTTTCGCCGTTAGGTATCACCGGCATTCACTGCTACCGTTTATTTCGAACGAAGCCTCTGGTTCTGCTTGCCGTTGGTAGTTGGAGGTGAGGTATCAGTATGTAAGTTGTAAAGCAAAGTCACTCTATCTTCGACGGGTGAACATTGTCTCCTCTAACAGCCGTAAAGTGGAGGTCGTGGGTTATCGTCACCGCGCGGTATCAAATTCCCGAACCGGCGATCTTATCCCTTCTCTCATCCAGGAAATGTTGATCTTACTACAGCCCGCCCTCTCAGCCTCTTTGCCGCATCGGTATACATGGTACTAGGGGGCATCATCCGAACCGTGCACGGGGAGCCCTACTACTCCCTTATCCGTGTTAATATCCTAACCAAAGTCTTCGTGTTCGGCGGCATAGCTTCCTTCTGCGTATAGGGCGGCGGGACCGGCCTCATGGCGCAAAGCGGACAAGTGGATAACGGCGAAAAGATTGTCGTCCGAGAGCTGCTTATTCAGATTATCATGTTCAGCCTCTTTATCGTTACAGCTATGACATTCCAGACCAGAGATCAAAAGGGCAAAATAGATGCTTCGGCGCACGACGCTACGGGCTGGAGGCCAGCATGCTCATGTTGTACAGCGTCAGCGCGCTTATTATGATCCAGAGTATCTTTCGAGTAGTCGAATTCGCTGTAGGTCAGGACGGCTATCTTCTTAGTTTAGTAACTAATGGACAGTCTACGTCTTCGACTCGGGTTTGATGCTGGTGGTTATGGTTTTCGTCATTGTGCGGTACCCAGATAACCTCCAGCGTTCTGAGGCCGCCCACTGGTCAAATTGGGACGGCAATCTTGCGGGGCGAAATCAGGATGAGGCCTCGGCCTCCGACGTGACGAGGCTCGATGACCCGATTTATCCGATTTCCAAGTGAAAGGCGTTTCTTGGCCTTATGTCGGTATGGTACGTTTACAGCATTCTTTCTTCCATTAGTGCTAACTACTGATATAATAAGTCTCCATGATTTCTATATGTCAGATAGAGTATAGATCGCATAACTATGTAAATATCTAACTAATATGAATCTAGGCATCACTTACAAGCTATAGAAATCCTCTTGGAGCTGTATAGATGACGGGAGGACGAGGTGGGGCTCGCCGGTCCCTTACCCCTGACTCGATGGGACTAATAACACGACTACTGCGTTACTCCGCCACAATCTTCAACCTTATAAAATCTCTTGCTGCTGTAAACTGCAATATGGTAATTAGTAATGGGCCAGTATTAACGGTTGACGGATAGTCGAAGCTTGAGAAATTTATTAAAAAAAATAATAATAAATAAAAACCTTTAAGGAGTAAAGATGCCTCGTCGATCTCATCATAAATCTCGTGCGGGTTGTCTCGAGTGTAAACGCCGACATATCAAGGTAATCACTTAGCCCTGATCCACATTCTGGCTCTAAACTCTAGGATTACCAGTGCGATGAGAACCGGCCGGCATGCGGGAACTGCACAATAAGTTCGAGACAATGTTCGTTTCTGACTTCGCAACCGATCCTCCCCCCCGGCATTAGACGTCCAGCAAAGTCTGCAAGCCCGGGCCTCCTCCGATCTTCATCGAATGCATCGACGCCCTCTCAATCGTCTTCTCCTATTAGTTCGAATTGTGAACCATCGATTATCCAGGATGTTAACATGACGCACATGGAACTCTTTCATCACTGTATTAACAGCAATTTCGACCTACCGCCTTCGTCCGAAGATCCTGACAAGATAGTGTCCCAGGGGATGATTATTGAAGCTGCCATATCTTCCCCTTTTCTGATGAATGAGATGTTAGCTTTCGCCGCACTTCATCTAGCTCACCTCAAGCCTGCAAAAGCCCAGTTCTACAAACACCATGCGGTCGGTTTGCAAACCCACGCTCTCAGCATGTTCAACCGTGAGATGACGGGTGTCACTAGCGAAAACTGCCTGGAGGTGTTAGTTTTCACTTGGCTTATGACCTTGCATACGCTGTGCGATACCACAGACTCTACAGACCCGCATATCTTCTTGGATCAGTTCATTCACTATTTGCAGATGCAACGAGGGGTACGCGCCGTCAACGCGGAGGCATGGCATCTAATGCTCGAGTCGAAGATGGGCTTCGTGTTGCGGGAGGCTACTAGGATTTTCGAGGAGGCGGGCCCAGGGTCTCATACTACTGAGCTGGAAAACTGGATTCGGCACTCGCCGGCATTGGACACCAACGAGAGAACCGTCTGCAAAGACGCCTTAGATAGGATTCAATGGTTTCTGAGCAGAGCTGACGATGCGAAGAAGAACGGTACTTCTCTGGGAACGCCATTCTTGTCCTTAATCTCGTGGCCGGTAATAATCGAAGCCGACTTCCTTCGACTCATATCGGAGAGGAAGCCAGAGGCTCTACTCGTCCTTGCGTATTATGCCATACCGTTGCACTTCTGTCGAGACGTGTGGATTATAAAAAATGCTGGCCAGCTGCTGGTTCAAAGCATCCGATTGCACCTAGACGAAAAGTGGCATAGGTGGTTAGACTGGCCGGGGGCTATAATGCATATGTTGTCGTAATATGTCTATTAGGGACTTTGCAATTTAAGGGCCTTTTGGCGTTATAGGCTGGATATGGTACCCGAGAGATGGGTTAGTCGTCGGGACTTAAAAGGGATTAGGTTGAAAGGGAAAGGTCAATAGCAACGTAGGTTCTATATTGGGATAGAGAACGTCGGATCTTAAAGATTGTATGCCGTCTATGTATTCATAGTCCAGGACTAATGTATGAATAGGGATCGGACCACCCATGCTTTAAAAGGCATAAATTCTTCGTCTGATTCGTATTTCTACCCGAGGCTAGAGAAAACTTTCAGTCCCTTCTGTATTTAATTCCTTGCGTGACGATAGTTAAAAAGCTGAAGGAGTCACATTAAATTAAACCTTCTAGAAAACCCTGCTCGATATAATATTCCAAGCCACCCAGCCTCTGATATAAAAGTCATAAGTGGTGCTTGATTAGATCTCCATCTCGGACGCGATCGGCCCTATATACTTTATGGTAACATATTACTCTAACCTGGCGTTGATCTACGGCTTAATAATAACCACGACTAGTCCGAGCTAGATTGCGATGGCTGGCTCTCTGTTTTTCTTTTATATATAGAAAATAGATGAACACCCAGAACTACGGGCACTTTGATTCCATCATAGATATATTCTACCATTTCCCCTATAGCTATCATTCGTCTTAATCTTAATAAACTCTGTAGATGTAGTGGGTTGAGGCGTTATTCTAAAGCAAGAATAAATCCTTATATCACACATTATTAGGTACCTATATGTCAATGAAGGTTGATAGAGTCCTAGATTACCCAACGATGGAAACAGCAAAAGTCCAGGGAAGCATGTCCAGTAGCTCGTTAATGCCTGTATTGGAACCCTTACGTTTCTAGATCTAGTTAGATTTCAGGCTTTCTGCCATACACTACTCTTAGGGGCAAATAGGCTCCTTTAGTCTTCAATTCCTCTTCAAAGCGTGCTGGCCAGGTCTCGAAATCATCTGCAGAAATAGATTTGAGTCCTCCTGGAATAACTGAACTATTTTGTCAATTTCATCTTAGTCGTAGCATCTAGGAATAGACTTACATTTCCCAGCTATAGTAATATTCTTGCCACCACCCACGGTACTCTCGACGCTGACATCGGCTAATCCTGGGTCTTTATGCTTGGGACCTACGCCAATAGGCAATAGCAGGCTTTTGACGTCCACAAAGCCGGCGTCTTTGACTATACCCTCTAAGTCAGCGGCAAACCCGCTCTTCGTGCCCCTCATAGCCCACAACTCGCTCAGCATATCAAGGAACTGCTTATAGGCCGGCCCATTGTTATCATTAGTTGCTTCATACTGAGGTTCCATAAGCTCAATCCAACCACCGGGCTTCACGAGCTCTCCGAGGGAGTTAATGGCCTCACGCTGCTTCGGGCCCGCCTGGAACAGCACTAGAGTTTGATGTACGTAGTCAAATCTTGACTTCCACGACTCTGGCCATGGCTCGTTGATGTCCTGGATCTGCAGGTTGATCCCTGGTCGCGGTGGGTTTGGAAAACGATCCTGAAGGTCAGTCCCGATTAGTGTAGCTGAGTTTGGGTCTTTGAGCGAAGCTTGGAACTGCGACAACCAGAACCCTATTTTTAATTATTAGTCCAAATTTCCCATTGAGAACATCCGAGGAGAATATACCGTCATTCGTAGCACTATCGAGCACTTTAAGGTTTTTGCGCGCCGTGTCGATAGGGGCAAGGAAGACATTCCCATTCATATAAGCTCGTACCACGGCAGACGCCTGCTCTAAGCGCTTATTCTCTGCCTCTGCTGAGGACACGAAATAGTCGGGCATTGTAACTAATTTAGGAAGAGTTTGGTAAACAGGCTCGACGAATAAAATATCCTAGAGCAACGGAAGGGTTCATATAGACTGGGGAACTAAGAGCCTATTTATAAAGTTATTTCGATTACTTACCTAGATAGGTACCTTGTAGGAAGGGTGATATTTGGGGTAGTACAACGGTATAATATCACTTATACGATGTTGGCATATCTTCACAGATTTTAGCGAGTATATAGCCAATAATTTGTAGACATTCCGCAGTAGCTTTCGTAATGCTTACCTGCAACGACCAGTTGTACTTTAAAAGGATATTAAGTTGTAAAATATCTATAACTCCTTAAGGGCCAAGTGAAGCTATTAGAGTAACCTAATTATTTACATCATACTATTCTATAGGTAGCAGATAAGCTACCTAACTCTTCCACGATAACTCATCGCTCTCTACGACATTCGAACATCACAAAATAACACGAAGTTGATTTATAAGAATAACGCATCCTTTAGGTAGTTACGCAATAGTGTACGTTTGTGGGATACGTAATAGCTCGTGTTAGATGTCTTCCCCACCGGAAAGCCGTTGATTTGTGTCCGTTTTCTATACCCAACAAGGACAAGCTCCTGTTATTGATCCTACGAAAGTGCATATGTACGCGGTCCAATAGTCCGCCGCCTTTGCGGTAGCATTCGTTACAATAAGGAGGATTGTACGGCGTTGAAATATGCTTCGAAGATAGACCGTCTGCACACCGTAACAAATTGCGCAAGTAGATATAAGCTGGAAAAGCCAGAGACATTGTCACGTACGACCATAGGATCTGGAAAATTCGGGATCCCGTCCGCTCTCCCCTAGACAAGCCGGATACCGCTGGATTAGTAGTTGGGTCGGTGACGACCAGCGAATCCCCAGTGTTGTACGTTTTGCCCCCTTTCTTTTCTTTTTTTTTAAGTCTTTCCGTATTACAATCTCGTAGTCGCACGACTATCAACCATAACATATCTTTATTCGATCGTAATATAGGTTTGTCCTTCACTTGCCTCAGCTTTTCTTTCTTTCTTTTTTTTTTTTTTCCTTTCGGTGTACCAATTCTGGTCCGGTCATGTCTGCCGGCTGTTACCGCCTAATGTGCGTAACTAGTATTCATTAACACGACTAGTCATAAGAAGTTTCTTAGTTTGTTATTTATAATATATTTCTTAATCGGGATTTCTCCTACCTTAGTAGCCGCTGGAGTATCTTGAGAGGACAAGGCGTTTCTTAAAGATGGCGTGTTCGCCTACAGGGATACTAGTGGCTTAACCCCTATTTTTGAACAGTTAGAGTCATCTTTCTTTGAGAGCCTAATGGATTTATCTAATTAGTATATACAAAAGTTATGTTATACCCCTCCTGCCCAATATGCATGTATTAATAGAATATCCTCATCAAGATTACTCTTACCTAAAACTAATGCTCCATAGTAGGTCGTGACGTAACGATGTGGAAGTGAACAATTAAGGATAAGGATCAAGGTAAGGCCACGGAGAAGGTCCATACTTGAGTTTCACAACTATTTCCAGCATTTTGTGACAATGGAAAGCGTATAAAATGACCCGGATGTTCGTAGACGGAGTCGTTCCACATATACTTGAATGGAGGATAGGTAAGTTAGCTAGCGAAGAGTAAGAGGCACTATTTACGACAGTACAACAAGTTTCAACTGTATCATGGCGCGATTACTCCTTTCTTTAATCTAATCTTTGGATGATATTAAGCGTAGGTATAGGCTTATAAGGATTTTTAACAGGAGGGAAAGATATCGGAGAGTCAGCCGCTACGATGCAAGCCTGGGCCGCATTCGTGCCTGATAATATATGTTTAGTTTGAGCAACTTGACTCAAGGTATCTATGGTTATGTTAAAGTCAATCAGTTCGCGGTTAGTTGGGAAATAATGATACTGCCATTGAACTGGTGACTACGTCAATATAGACTAACGCTTAGTATGGTATTGGTAGATTCAGTTTCCATGTAATAAAAGCGTCTTTTTAATTCTACTCGTTGTCATATGTCCTGATAAGTCCGGGACTAACTTGATTTAGTCATCGGCGTCCGAAGTTTACCGTGAACGGGTTCCGCGGGGTTAAGGTTAAGGACCGTATCCGCGCTCGTACATAATAGCTAGCGTACCTGCGACAATGCTATACGCGGTGGTGGCGTCTACATGTGTGTGGAGGGGAAGCTGTAGGATGTAGCCAATGACTGGATTGGCACTAGATACGACCAGATCCAGATATAATCTGGCGTGGGTATCGTGAGACTGACAACCTCTAATAAATATCTTACATAAGCTTGAAAAGATAATTGTTGCTACGGCGTAGAGGTTTAATTCATAATGATTTAGGTAACTAAGTCCCCTACTCTACATGGGTTCTCCTCTTATTCGGAAATAAAACAACCCCGAGATGCATAAAAGCCGCTAAAGCCTGACATTTTACCTTGGCCTTGCACCTCTTTATATTGGTGGTTAGTGACGTAAACATCAAGCAGGGTCGATCTACGATCAAGAATATAAACGTCGTCGTAGAACACGATCATTGCGTTTAAATTAACGACAACAATCACTCCAGAGACAGCGCATCCTTCTTTTCCAGAACTTCAACTTCAACCAAGTATTTCCAAATCTACACCCAATACATAGGTGATAAAAATGCCCCAAGTCGCTGGCAAAGAGGTAGGCCCTATTGGCTTTGGCCTTATGGGATTGACCTGGCGAGCCAACCCGTGCTCCCAAGAGCAAGCCTTTGAGACAATGCGTACAGCGCTGAAGAATGGATGTACGTGGTTAGACTACAGCTCATGACGTGCTAACCTCCAGGCAATTGGCACTATTTATTATCAGAGGTAGCTAATACCCGCTATATCAGGTAATCTTTGGAACGGCGGCGAGTTCTATGGAACGCCTGACTATAATAGTTTGGTACTTCTAGAAAGATACTTCGAAAAGTACCCTGAAGACGCCGACAAGGTGGTCATATGCATTAAGGGTGGCGTGAGCCCTACAACTCATCAGACAGACGGCTCGCCCGAGAACACGCGCCGCTCTATCAACGACAGCATAGCCCAGCTCAAGGGACGCAAGAAGATGGAACTATTCGAGTTTGCTCGCCGGGATCAGAAGGTACCAATGGAAGTCACTTTCGATGTTGTGAATAAGGAGTTCATCCAGACAGGCAAGATCGGAGGCATCTCTCTGTCGGAAGTGCGAGCCGAGACGATCCACGAAGCTGTCAAGCACGTTAAAGTCCACTCCGTAGAAGTGGAACTCTCTCTGTAAGTCACGGCCCTAACAAGTCTAGTTGCGCTGGTTGGTTGCTCTTTCTGCTAACCACGCAATAGGTTCTCGACCGACGTATTGGAGAATGGTGTAGCAGCCGCTTGTGCCCAGTATGGGATCCCGCTCATCGCATACTCGCCGATCGGCAGGGGTATGTTGACAGGTCAGATCAAAAAGATCGAAGATATCCCAGAGGATTCGATGCTGCGTCGCTTTCCTCGCTTTCAACCAGGGAACTTCGAGATCAACTTGGAGCTGGTCCGCCAGGTCGAGGAGCTGGCCAAGAAGAAAGGCTGCACACCGGCCCAGCTCGCCATCAACTGGACCCTGGCGGTATCGAAGCGCCCCGGGATGCCGACTATTATCCCGATCCCCGGTGCTACGACGGCGGCGCGGGTGGAGGAAAATAGCAAGCTCGTAGACATCACAGATGAGGAGATGGCTGAGATCGATGCTACCTTGTCTAAGTTCAAGCCAGCTGGTGAACGCTACCCCGATTCCGTTCCTACGAACACCTAAATATATAGGGATCCTAAAGTTATAAGAAATCCATTCCTCATGTGCGTATCTTAATTGAGTGCCCAGGTACCTAGTGATAGACTTTGGATATGTATAGTGATGAATGGAGCATCTACGTAAGCGGACTTACTTTCAAGCTCATAATTCGTTAAAGTTGAGTGAAAAAAAAAAATAATTTAATTTAACCAAGGCAACTGGGACTGGGTATTTGTATGCAAGGATATAAGTGGTAGAGATATATATCTCTCAATAAGATAGATAGGGGCCCCCTTTCTTTTACGCTTGTCTAGTTCTGATATATAGATAGCGTTGACGTGTCAGAGAATACTTGCCTAAGTACCCAAGGTCGCGTTCAATTGCTTCCCTATTAAATATTTTATGTTATTATTATTACAAACTCCTCATGCGATTTACCGAATGAAATTGGCTGGTAACGAGGTTCGGTTTCATGGGATGAATAGCGTCTATCGCGGATACAACTATGTCTACCTAGTATCTACCAAACATTCAAGATAGCTGGGACAGACACACTTGGGGTAAACAGCCTTCATTTATACCAATAGTCCAGTCTTAGTTGGATTTCTGGATGTTTTTGGGTTCTCCAACAGGGTTGTATTCCCACTTACTCTCCATCCTCACACGAAGCGCCAAGACACTCCAGTCTCCAGAGCACAAGTTCCGTAGTTTTCTAGCCAGTTAAAAATCAATTGAGGATTGGTATAAGATACCCCTTGAAGGAAATCTTCTGTTTGAACCAATTAGATTTTTTATAATGTCATAAGGATTAAGGCGCGGTCTTTTGGCACTTCGGGAGAGAGTCCGTTGTTGTATTTTGTGCAGGGGACGGGATCCAATCTGTTGTCCAATTAGCGCAATGGTATAGGTAAATGTTGCAGCAGGATCTAGGTGTGGACAACGCTATATCTGAGCAATTGTAAGCTGTCCATCTTTCTGTTAACTTCACAAGCGGAATAATAAATTGATATGCATGATACAAGCTCCTATAACAAGGTTAGGTACTTTAGATCTGTATTTTAACAGAAAGCCTCGATGAGAAGTAGGTTCTCTGGATCTACGTGCTGACTGACCAGATTAAGTGAGACACGTCGGTATATCTTAAAGAGTATAGTGCGTCCATAATTATTTTATCTTGGCGCGAACCAATCTGCAAGCCCTGCAAGCCCTATGCCGAAGGCAGTGCTTTGTCTTCTTTTATGTCAGCTTAACGACCTAGCTTCTCGAAGAATCTCGAAGAGTTTGCCCTTTGACTTCATGTGAAGCTATACTTAAAAAAGGGTGGTTAGGTCGAATGTTGACAAAGCCTTTCCATTTCCATACGCAACCTTATGATGTAACTTCGACAATGCTAATCAAGCATCTCCATACGAGAAAGAAGACAGACAATCAAGCGTATCTCCGGGCATACTGGTCCTACTCTCGCCGCTGTCGAGTGTGACCAATGGCTTTTCGCCAATAACAATACAACAATCTGCATACGGATGTCATTTGGCGCAATGGCGTCTCCAGATCCGGCTCGAAGCATACCAAGCCGATGATACCTGCTGTCGTTCGGAACACACATCGGAGGCTACTGGGGTGGTAAAGACAGTTACTAGCAGGTTCCATTCCTAGATACTAAATAGGCATAGCACGGGAAGCCCTGGCAATCAAGTAGATATTATTGTTCCTTTCGGATGTGTTTTCGTATGTGGTGTAAATATTGCCAGTGATTACACCTTTATCAAGCAGCGCTTCAGGATGGCAGCCCTTGTCGTTGACGATAAACATACCCTTGACCTTCTTTATCGTGTAAGAACATGATAACTGCTAAGATATAGGTAAAGTTGCAGAGGATTGGCCACTACGACGTCCGTACTAGTTTAAGAGAATGGTACGAATGAAACATCGACCCGGAGAACAGCTTTACGCTTAAATCTTGATTCTGTTTGGAGGCAGTATGGCGTAGTCTATTAACCTTCCGTCATTTATAATATTTACTATATACTCGCGTACTTGGCGCCTTTTCGCTATTGCTAAATATTCATTTCTAGGCTTGCATGAACCGTGTATCGTATATACGAAGAGTGGCGCGGAGAAAGTGACGTTCGTGGGTTACACCCTCCTCCTAGGTGCGGAGAGAGACGGGGCCTAGGTAGATGCACGCGCGGTATGAGTGAAACTGTAAGTCCATCTCTATAGGTTAGCAGAGCGAGCATGGACCACATGTATCATGGTAGCGCAACAATATATAAATGTCTTTGAGGCCGACAGAATATATTGACACGTCCCGTAACTTTTGCTTCTTTTCTTTAAACAGTTGGCGAAGTCAAACCGCTTATCCTGTCATCTGAGATAGCATATTTGCGAACTAGGTATATCAACCATCGGCTATTAGAGCGTACACTTAATCTCGCTGCCCCAATAACTGTCTACCCAACACCAACCAGTCATACCTACAATTCAAGAGTCACCATGATTCACCTGTTCGAATCTACCAACTATCCCATAGTCAACTACGTGGATTTTTCCGCCACGGCTGCTATTGGTATAATAGGAACCTTGTCATTGGCGACGATTATCAGCTTACTCAACCCGTCCCCCGCCAGGGACGCCCGTGAGAATGGCCCCACTGTGGGCTGATCTACCCCCTCGACATGAGGAGTCAGCGTCGCAATCTACATCGGTCGGAATCCCGTTTTACACCGCTTTCCGTGGCATAGGACGGCCGCCGTTCCTTGATATTCCAACTAGTCGGGGATGTTTAAGTGAAGCTTGACTCGAAGCAGCACTTGGGTTATAGAAGACGGATTGCATCTCATCATCAGAAGTACGACTGTACGAGTCTTTATACGACTCGCCGCAGTGGCTAGAAATGGGAGGGAGAACTAGAGGTGATATGGCTTGCTAGGTACATACTATATACGGAATACAACATCTTTGTGGTCTCGCTCATTATCTATAAGATGGTATACGTCTGTCGTGGTATACCAATGCGCTATTTTAGTAAAATATAGGATTCCGTCCCTGCATAGAACTAATAAGGGGCTATATACTAGGTATAAGGACCCGATAGCTCCATCTTCCGAAAGCTCTAACTAGATATAGGTAGCGCGTGAGTATTAGTTGAAAGATACTCTCACTTTCTTCTCTTTAACTCATCACACCTCCCACTGCTCGGACGCTTGGAAGGATTCTCAATGATTCATCGAATAGCATTTCAGGCCCCAGGCTGTTCTGCGGAGTAGTGATATGACAATTGATTTTCCAAATGACGTTAGATTGGTTGTTGGATGATAAGGAAGGTGATCGGAAAACGATGCCCACGGTGATGCCGTGCGGTGATGCCGTGGAACACCAAGACGGGCCGTTGATAATGTATACTAGAATAATAAGGACCTTCCCCGGTAATCGGATTTAAGTACCTGGCGTTTATACTCAATCTTTTCCATAGTATCGTTTTCCGTGGTAGAGGGGGTTCCTTGCAGGGCTCGGTTATCTTGGTACGGCATATTTGGTAATTTGGTATCGATGGATTATCTCGCACATACTTCCGCGGGGCCTTATTAGGTCCACAAGTGCTGCGCTCGAAACACTACGTAAGTGGCTTGGATGTGAATGTGAATGCGGTTACACAAATTGATAACGACTTGAACCAATTAGCAGTTGACAGTGACATCCGCGAGCACATAAGCCGCCACGTACGTATAGTTCTCATACCTAGAAACAGTTTACTCTTCCCGATCTGTTAAGCCACGACCTGCAGTCAGCCAAAGCGCTTACGAGTCGAGTATCCTAGACTCTGGGTGCCATGACATCCATAATAGCATTGTACCTATGAGCCAACGAATTGCCTCTAAAGGTGCAAATAGAGAGGATACGTATTGTATGGAGCTTCCTTCGCTAAGAGTCAATATTAAAAGGGTACTAAGGCAGAGAATTCGTAGTATTCGTATCCTAATAGCTGGTACATATGGTACTAGAGATTTATCGATATCATATGCATGCTTTCTTTTTTACCTGGGACTACGGGAGAGACGGATGTGTATCCCATCCATAGTTCTCCTTTTCTCCTTTTCTCCTTTACGGGTTTGGTCTCTCAACATACCACATCTTGAGACCTCTGGCCTCCCCCCGCCATACACGCGACGAATCGGCCTCATCCATCCACTCTATCATGACTTGGACAGAGTAGTCTATCATGACTTGGACAGAGTAGTGTCTAGTTGGCGGATATTAAATCCTTGGAACTAGAATGTGAAATGGCTTTGCTCTTGTAGGATTTTGGTAAAAAAAAGAACTGTGGGCTGCGATGATAACGACTGCCCACTGTATCTATTCTCAAAATCATCGATTCTTCGCTCTATTATCTGTTAGATGTTTTATTTGAGAATGTTAGAAAAAAAAAACCTACTTCCTCCAGACGCGTCTTTTTATTATTAAATGGGCCAGAAGAGCTCCCTTATTTCAACACGCGCCGAACTCGTGGGTGGATAGTTATAGGCCCATCCCGTAGAGAAATAAAACACAGGATTGTGCTGTTGCTCAAGACCCTTCTACTAGATTATCGGCTTCTAGACTTTGATCCGTTTTCTTCTTCGAGTCTGCTTCACGAAGTGGTCGCCGTTTCTGTCGAGGCGCTTGGACGGGGAAACGCTTAACTCCTCCGCAGGCGTGGCACTTAACGACGAGAACGTCAGCCCACGGCTTTTTACCGCCTTTGCTTTTGTTCTCAATTGATGAGCTACTGGTCTCTCCTTCGATAAGCAGGCTATCGCAGAATTTACAGATAGTATGCTTCATGGCCGGAGAAAGACGTATTTGACTCTTTAACGAGGTAGACCGGAGGTCGGTAATAAAGCGACGTGAAAGTCCATGCTTAGACTGACTTGAGTGAAGTGTTTTCTTTTCTTGTGTTGCTACTGTGTTGTTTGTTGTGCTTTTGGGCTGGCTGGCTAGATATGTTGCTGCTTGATATAAATATGAGATTCGAGAATAGACTGGCCGATTTGGCACGCTTCCGGGCGCCTTGGATTTCCCCATGTCTTAGTTATCCTTAACTAGTTGCCACTAACAACATTCCCGTGTGATTCATTTCTTGTATGATTTAAAACACCAAAACAGGAGTTGCTGAAATGTGTAGGCTACCTGAGTTGATGTGTGATGGGTACGTACCCGGTAGTTATTAAAGGTAGGGTGGTGATGATGTGAAGGTGCATATGAGAGCCGGTGCAGGTGGCAGATTAGGGAAAGCGGAAATGGTAAAAATCCGGGGCAGCCCTACCGGTGTTTAGCCGCACAATACCAATCAGCCAATGGTTGAGTGCACAGCCCCATCATTAGCCCGCTAGAACAGATCTAGCTTAGCCTCTGCAGTAAGGTCGCGCATTCCATCAGCTCCTGCATGTCGATTTCTATTTTTCTGGACCGTCTTTCCAGTCTTTCCAGCCTTTCCTAACAACAACTTTCTTTCTCCATCCAACCTTTCAACCTTTCAACGTCGAGAGTCTCGCTGCACCGCCTTCTCGCATCTGCCATCAAAGGCATCCCATTGCCTCTCGAGTTTTCACCTTTTTCATCAACTCTTACGGCATTTTTCTTCACTCTGAATTTTCATTTGACTTACGTTCCTTTTTAATATACCAAGCCTTGCGACACGTATCCATCGCGATAATCTTACCATTCCATCACCATGTCGGCTGAAGAGGATCTGATCGACTACTCCGACGAGGAGCTGGCAACAAACGAGGCCACCACCGCCACCAACGGCAAGAAGGCCGATGCTGCTGCTTCAGGCAACAGTGTTGACAAGAAGGGATCCTATGTCGGCATCCATGCTACCGGTTTCCGTGATTTCCTACTGAAGCCTGAGCTTCTACGCGCCATCGCCGATTGCGGGTTCGAACATCCATCGGAGGGTTAGTCTACATCTTACACATTCAAGCTTTTCAAAAGTTATCCCTCCTTCAAGCGTCCGTCCATCTCGCAAGTACATCGCAAGCAAATGAAGAAAACAAAGGCGGTCGGAGAAGCGGAAGATCAGCACGCGTAAAATCACGCATAGCTATGTTTTTCGATGTCTGTGGAGCGAGGATCTATAGGAACCATCCTATCAGAATGCCTTAAGAGCTTAAGAGACTCGTGTTTTATCGCGTCAGTCTCGGTAGCTGGCGATGGGTTCACGCAACGTATCTGGCCTGGGAAATGTACTGGGGTGATGAACCCAAGCTACCTAATCTCGACAACGGTTGAGTAACTTCGGCCTCGAGCCGATGCATACGTCTTAGAAAGCTGGTGCTGTGTTATACGTACCCTTTTTATCTACGTATAGATGGAACAGTCGAAAAGGCCGTTTGTGGTGGATCTAGATACTAGAAGACCGATGCTGCGATGATGGACGGATCTTGTCGAATTTCTACCTTCGCATCCCTAAAATCTTGGAAGTCCTATCTAACATTCGATCGATTACTATAGTCCAGCAAACCTGTATTCCCCAGGCTCTCCTCGGAGGTGATATTATCTGCCAGGCAAAGTCGGGTCTCGGTAAGACGGCTGTGTTCGTCCTCACTACCCTCCAACAGGTCGAACCTGTTGCTGGCGAGTGTTCCGTCTTGGTCATGTGCCACACCCGCGAGCTGGCCTTCCAGATTCGAAACGAGTACAACCGTTTCAGCAAGTATATGCCAGACATTAAGACCGGTGTCTTCTACGGTGGTACGCCTATTCAGAAGGACGCCGAAATCCTTAAGAATAAGGAGACCCATCCCCATATCATCGTTGGTACTCCGGGTCGTCTCAACGCCCTTGTTCGAGACAAGTACCTACGCCTGACCAGCGTTCGAATCTTCGTTCTTGATGAATGTGACAAGATGCTTGACGCTATTGGTAAGGACTCTAACGCTTTGTTAGCATCTTAATAACTAACCGCGTAAGATATGCGACGAGATGTTCAGGATATTTTCCGAGCAACCCCGCAGCAGAAGCAGGTCATGATGTTTTCCGCCACACTTTCCGATGAAGTGAAGCCGGTCTGCAAGAAGTTCATGCAGAACCCTACCGAACACTACGTAGACGAAGACACTAAATTGACTCTTCACGGCTTGCAGCAATACTACATCAAACTTAAGGAACAAGAGAAGAATCGTAAACTTAACGAGCTTCTTGATGACTTGCAGTTCAACCAGGTCATCATCTTCGTTAAGAGCACGATCCGTGCCACTGAACTCGACAAGTTGCTTCGCGAATGCAACTTCCCATCTATCTCAGTGCACTCGGGAGTCAGCCAGGAAGAGCGGTACGTATAGAATTATTATCCTCATCAATTACATGATCTAATGAGAATATAGTATCAAACGCTACAAGGAGTTCAAAGAATTTAACAAGCGCATCTGTGTCGCTACCGATGTCTTTGGTCGAGGCATTGATATTGAGCGTATCAACCTGGCTATCAACTATGATTTGCCTGCCGATGCTGACTCTTACCTCCACCGTGTTGGTCGCGCCGGCCGATTTGGTACCAAGGGTCTCGCAATCTCATTCGTAAGCACTGATGCAGACCAAGAAGTGCTGAAGGCAATTGAGAAGCGATTCGAGGTCGCCCTTCCGTAAGTTGTCCTGTTCAAACAGTTCTAGTTATTTAACTAATCTATTATATAGCGAATTCCCCAAGGACGGTATTGATGCTAGCACCTACATGGTATCTTAAATCCACTTGCGTTTTCAATCGATTTCCTTTATTTTCGCCCATGGCTTGGTTTTGGGTCGATTTGGTGAAGTTGATGTGTGTACGCCCGCTCGTCTCAGAAAAGGGGATATTTCCGAAAAGTAAGGGATTCGTTAGGCATTAAGGCTTTCTGTACATTATACTCTTTCAGCTTGCAACGGGCGACCAGCACACCCTCGGAGAAGACTAAGGGTCAGTAGTTAGGTGCTTTGAGCATGTTGTAGCTCATGTCGGGCTCCCTATTAGCAATTTCATACACGGCCATAGTCCGTAGTCTCAGGTTTCGCAATGAATAGACTGGTATGATGAAACTAGTACCACATATTTTATATTTTACACACTGCATAATAGTTCTTATAGGAACATAGTTGGGGACAGTCTGGGACCAAAAGGGGATTTACGCCCCATACAAGATGATGTTGCAGGATTCCCTGTCAGAGACATTCTAATTTAGTGTTATATATATGGCATGGGCCATTGGCTACTAACTACGCCAAGCTTACTTCGGAGAGCTCACCTTTTTACGCTTGCCAAGTCTACTGGATGGTGTCACGTAAATGCTACGTTCTCTTAAGCCACCAAAGATCTACAAGTAAGTCTTGACCCAAATCGGGTGATATCAGTGCGGAAGCCCCCTCCTTCTGTTTTTCCAGCTCCTTTCGTCTTACGCCTTGTTCCCAGTAATCACCATGGCGATATCAGACACAGATGCACCTTTTGACCCAGCATCGTACTGCACCGATGACATTTACTATATCATCAACAGTGTTGATACATGCACCGGTTTTGACGGTAGCACTTTAGACTGCCGGTACTACCATCTCGGCCCATCAACGAGTACTTCGGATTGTTTCCCCACAGACTGGCAGCCTATACCAGGCTCTTTTATATCTTCCAGCAAATGTCCATCAAGATACGTAAACGCATGTCAGCATGCAGAGACCTCAGAGATGATCGCAACGTGCTGTCCTATGTATGTCATTTCCAATACTCCCGTCTAGAATTTCGTCAAGATATGGAGCTAATATAAGGCGATGGATGTAGTGGTTACAACTGCCAAAGCAGCAATCTTAAAGACCCGGCATACCGGAGCACTGAACCATGCTACCAGCACATGGACACCAGATTAACATATGTATATACAACCAAGACTGCAGGGAGACCTTCCGAGACGTCGACTATAACCGGAGAAGCACTAGGCGGGTTGAATGCCTACGGGATTGAGATTAGATGGGGAATGTCCGATCCTACATCAACAGCGGCTACGACCTCAATTACAACTACAGATATTTCTTTGAAACCAACAGTGGCCTCCACCGCTCAAGCCACGTTATCATCATCATCATATCCTAGGCCCCTTTCTGCGGGAGCGGGAGCCGGAATCGGCGTCGGCGCCGCGGCTGCTTTCGCATTGCTACTTGCTGGGGCATTTCTCTTGTGGAGACGCCGGAGAAAGTGTCCTGAAGAAAAGGTAAATGTGGCGCAAAATACTCTACCGCTAGATGGAAACTTCCGGATAGCAGATACAATGTCAGGGCATACGTGTAGTGATAGAAGTGCATCTGCTAGGCTGGCACAGCGGCCCTACCAGGATACAGAATGTTCTGAGATGCCAGGCCAATCATCACCAGTAGAACTAGGACCAGGACGATGAGAATATATGACATGACGTATCATATAACCCGTTGAATAGTAGCAGGTTTCTCGAAATCTAAATCGAAGTGGGACAGTGGACTGGCTAATTTCTAGATACGAAAGCTTGCTTCTGTACTATGTAGATCGTTAGGGGGCTTTAACCAAAGGAAAACATTTACTGCACACTATATTATAATACTTTTAAAGAGATAAGAGACGTGAAATACCTTTCAGTCATGCTATAATCGTAGTTTTTTTTGTAACATTGTCTGTCTTCGAAAGTGAAACGTCTTAGACTCCCATCCCATTCTTGTCAACTTTATAAGATATATACACATGCGACGGTACGTTTCGCTATAACTCTTTAGTGTGTTAGTAGTCAATATAATCTATGCCTAATATAACTAACTAAATTATCAAGAACTACACTACAATGCTATTATACTTAAAATATTACCCTTGATTTAATGTTTACCTAGTTAATCATTATAAAATGCTTAGTTTTAGGTGTTTATACAATTGTTTTAATAGGTGCTTATTCACACAGATGCTATGGTCTGTCGGAAGCCGACCCAGGAAAGTCAATGTTTCTCTTGATATTTGACTAACCAGTTATGAAACCACTATAATAGGTACTTATAGGTATGCCCTCCTCAGTTTCGCAGGGGACGATGACAAATTCGGCGTGGGTTCTACCTTTTATCATCTTTCCAGGAATGAAATGGATCGTACCTATTTATTAGCACTCTGGCCGTAATTAGTACATTAACGATCAGACTTCAAAAGCAGCCGGATGGTTTGCCAATGTATTTCTGCGTTGGCAAAACAAAGGCCTGGGAATAAATACCTATGACAGCCAGTTCGAACCCTTATATGTGGCCTACTTTTAGTCGCTGTTAGTGTTAAATTCTTAGATGTCTTGTCCAGAGCTTTTAGTATGTAGGTATAACCAACGGCTTCCGTAGAAGGGCGGGCCGTGAAGACCACTTGCGTCAAGGGTCATTATATAAGGATCAATAGTGCCAGAGGCTATCACATACGACCATAGAATCAGGAAAACTCGGGATCCCGTCCGCTCTCCCCTAGATAAACCTGATATCGCTGGACTAGTAGTTGGGTCGGTGACGACCAGCGAATCCCCAGTGTTGTATGTTTTCTTTTTGCCCTTTTTTTTTTTTCTCCCATCCTTAACTCAAGTACTGAGTCTTCAGTTTCCACCTTTGCGCTTTCAGTCTTAAGTTCAAGCAATAGTAAATCAGGTTGTTACGATGCATATACATAAGCCTCAATGTCTAGGAACAGCTTGATGTCGTTCAAACATAAAGGGGTATGTACCGATCTTCAGCCGAGATTTCATTGGTCGAAGACTTTCAGGGGGTTTAAAGCTTTGACCATATTTGACTGCGACTCCTGGACTCCACCATCATATTTCAACAGAAATGCCAAATTGAAAGTTGTTATCCAGTATCAGCATTGTCACTTCTAAAGTCTGAAGGGGAGGGGGGAAGCAAATAGATATTGGTATAAGTTATCAAGGTGTTCGCGTAAAAGGTGAATTCTAGTAATTAAATAGGTGTAGGTACCTAGGCCGTGGTAAACCTGATGGAGCTAAACATCAAGATATACGGCATCTGACATAAGTATGCTGTAATTGACCCAACGTAGTGGTGATGTAAGAGAAGCGAACCACTTGCACATCAAAACCCACGTATTATCGAATATAACTTGACAACAAGTTTATTGATTCCTCCCATACCCCCTAGACTCCTGATTTAAATTTAACGTCGAGAGGTAATTACTGGTTTGAAACTTGTTAAATATTCGTTGTTTGTATACATCTATTTCTCATTAATACTAGCACATATCCTTTAAACTCTGCAAAATGGCTTCAAACCCTGATATTAGTCAAATTACGCGAATAGGCATCGTCGGGGCCGGTAATATGGGCACAATGATGTCTTTCGGCTTTTCCGAACACGGCCTCGACGTTTCCGTGTGGGACGTCTCGGAAAAGAATGTTGATCAGGCTCGTGAGATGGCCGAGCAGACGAAGACACTGAAGGGCAAGATCGATCATTTCAAAGATATCCACGAATTCGCCAAGAGCTTGTACTCACAACCACGGAAGATCATCATCTTCTCTATTACGCATGGCTGGCCCGCTGACTCGGTCTTGGACAAGATCAGGGATTATCTAAAGGCTGGCGATATCATACTCGACGGCGGTAATGAGAACTATCTTAACACTGAACGGCGCCAGAGGGAATTGGAGTCAAAAGGTGTCAAATGGATCGGTATGGGGGTTAGCGGCGGTTACCAGTCGGCCAGGCGCGGACCAAGCATGTCGCCAGGAGGTGACCGCGAAGCCGTCGAGTTCGTCCTTCCCCTTTTAGAGAAATTCTCCGCCAAGTCCCCAGTTGATGGCAAGCCGTGCGTTCAATATATGGGTAAGTAACGCTCCGTTTGTTTATACTAGATTATCTGTAAGGGCATTTTCCAATGCTAAATTTATCATACGTAGGCCCTCGTGGAGCCGGCCACTATGTGAAAATGGTCCATAACGGCATCGAAAACGGCATGCTTTCCACCGTCTGCGAAGCGTGGAATTTCCTCCACAGGTCTCTCGGACTCCCGTACGATGAGATAGGGAAGATTTTCGAGAAATGGAATTCCGAGGGCGAGTTAAGGAACACCTACTTAATCCAGATTGGTTCGGAGATCTGTCGGAAGAAAAAGACTCCTAAAGGCGATCAGCACGGAGAAGGAAAAGGACAGAGCGGATATGTCTTGGATGATGTTCTCGATAAAGTTGTGCAAGACGACGATAACTCGGAGGGCACCTTGTTCTGGACGGTTATGGATGCAGCCAGTCGACACGTCGCCGCCCCTACGATCGCAACTGGCCATTTCTTCCGCGTAGCTAGTGGAAATCGAGCGCAGAGGTTGAAGGTAGTTCAGAACCTAGATATCCCGAAACCGCAGCGTGTAGACGTAAAAGACAAGGACAGCATCATCGAGAATTTGCGCAGAGCAGTCTATGCGTCTTTCCTCTGTTCGTTTTGTCAGGGCCTCGAGCTTATCGCGCGGGCGTCCAAGGACGAAGGCTGGGATGTTAACCTAGGCAAGTGCATCCAGATCTGGAGAGCCGGCTGTATCATCCAAGAAGACTATATCGCCGATATGCTCGAGCCGATCCTGCTCAACGCGAAGGAGCCCATCATGAACATGAAGCTCATCGATGAGGTGGCTGCCGACTTGCGGAAGAACTTCGACGCGCTGAAGCAGACTACGTTGAAAGCTATCGAATGGGACAACTATGTCCCTGCTATCAGCGCTAGTCTGGAGTACGTAAAGTATGTGGGCGGAGGGACGCTGGCAACCCAGTTCATGGAGGCGGAGATGGATTTCTTCGGCGCACACGCTTACGATATGCCGAATGTGAGAGGGGAGGACCCTGGGAAGCCTTCAAAAGGGGCTCATCATTACGAATGGCGTCCTGCTTGAATTACTGCTACGGGGGAACTAAATAGGCCGTCATTATCTGATCTATGCGCATAATATGCTTAGATTATGCATACCTAGACACCCATTTCATGTGCTTGCTGTGTAGGTCTGTGTCTTTTGTAGATTCCACTTAGTTGATGCCTTATACAGATATTTTCTGTGCTTCATGGCTCATAACCGCGTAGCCCTGGAATATGACTCAAGTCCTAGCACCCACAATGAAGTCCATACGCAAGGGTACCCCGTGAGGAATTCATGCTTATTCGAGACCATTAGTTGGTGAGTCATCGCCGACATGTATATGTTTGCTTTACCACCCAACCCAAAACAAGCCGCCACCTCCAACACCAACACCATCACCTCTCGGCCCGAGGATCCCTCCTGGTATAAATCCCATGTCCCCACCAACGACATCGAGTCACGAACAAACACAGATGTTTCCACGTCCAAGGATACACCGCCTCAAGGATGCGATGTGGGAATTATCTGGATCACAAGGGAAGGCAGAAGTCAGATTATCTACCTACCTAATGTCTTAAAAGACTTTTCTCGGCGTACGGACTAGGTACTGCTAGGCAGCAAGCTCCATTTTCATCGCCCCAGACGGATCCATACTGCTGACCTAAGTTAGTTGCTTGTCTCCAGTTCCTACATAGACACAACCCCAGGTTATTAGTAGGTAGGTAGATACTGACCGCACGATCCGATGTCTTACTAGCATCACACACGTACAAGCCTAAAGCTTCTGGGGGTGTTTTTTTTTCAGTCAAGAGATCTTCCCCGCAAAGCTTGATAGCCTATAGATCTAATCACTTAGCTAGGTTAGATAATTATGTGCTTGACCTGTTTTTCGCCTCCGTAAGCGCGCTAGCTTTGACCGCGAGCAAGCTGCAATACCCTCTTAGAGCCGAGACTTGGTTATATTGTTCACGTGCTAGGTAGGAGGTAACTTTTGATACGCCTATCAGCTTACTGGTGGGGGCCGTAGTATAAGGGGGTTTTGTGAAGTGCGTCGCGGAAGGACGGTTGACCCTTGCGGCACAACTTCCCCGCATATTTTCGGCATCATGTGGTTTCGCGCGGGTGTGTCGCGTGTGTTCATATACAGTTACTGTTCTGATATCCCTACGTAGGGCTTTGTGGTTGGCCCTGGTCGTGTTGTATGTATGTAGTTGCCTTCACGGCCGTGCTTGTTTCATCTCGGGCCCTTAGCTTCCATGGGGGAGATCAAGCCGAAAGACGCCCCGAACGGAACAAGGCTGAGGCCTTCGGGGCTGAAAGTTTCGCATCTTAGCGCCCTTTCTTGCTTGTCCCCCGCCTTGCCTACTACCTACCTAGGTACATACTCATTACACATATACACACGCATTGCTATCTTGGCGATCCGATATGGGGTCTACTACATATGGATAGGATAGCCTACTCGCTCATATGTCGCCACTGGTGATATTTTGGGAGGCTGACCACTAGTTCAGTGAGTAGCCGGGCGTCCTGTACATAAGCAGAGGGCGGCGA